TCTATACGCACTACGACGTAGGAGATGCTCTACCAACGACTATTACTATTTTGGTTGAGACGAAGAAGTTAAGTGAAGGAACCATGTGATTATGGAGGCCTAGAAAATCGCCCTAGGTAAGCCAGTATCGGAGCCGTGATAATCATGCCGGAGTTTATAAATACGAGGATCGAGGATCGAGCCCATAAGCATACCCAAGCTCTCCCGACTTGATCGAAATGTCAAAATTGACGAAGATCAGAGAAGTAACATTCGGAATCTCAGAAGCAGCCTCAGTGAATTGTTTCCAAGCTTCTGTATTTCGCGTCCTCAATCATAATACGACTCGATAGTGTCGGCGGATGTTCGTCGTGGAGTACAAAGAGCTTGTAATGGATAATGTGCTGGAAGTATTAGTGAAAAGTACCCCATATGGATATAGGACAATCTCTGGAAGGGAAGTCTGATATACGTGTCGCAAGGTGCGGTTGGTGCCTCGTGGGCGAAGAGCCGGGAAGAAATGCTGCTCGGATGGGATTTTGGTTGGGGACATCGACTTCGGCTTTGGGGGTAGCTATGGGGGGTCCTTCGTATATAAAGTTGTACTTGTCATTTCCTAGGGAAATATGCAAGGAATTGCAGATATGTCGGCCTAACATGACAGGTAGAGAATTTTGTCGATCGGGTAGCTGTGAGACTTGTGAGATATGGAAGCGTCGATCATTTTGAGGGTAATCCATAGCCGGCGCATGAGCAGGCCGGCTACGGAGTACATGTTGGATGGTTGGCTTAGAACAGCCAAGTTTGCGGGAATGATTGATCTACACTCGCCACATGTCATTGTCATGCCATTGCGTACTTGGCTAATAGCAGTTGTTCCGTTGACTGGTTGATCGCGGGCTGAATTTGAGGAAAGGCACATCACCCCCGGTGCTGATTGAGCAAATACTGACAGCCTAAGGGACAGCATGTAGCCGTAAATAAAGGGAAAACAGCAGACTAGACAGGGAGCTCGGTAACGGTGCCGTGCCGAGCACAGAACGCGCAATCAGTCGCTTCTGACCGCTCAGCCAAGCAGAGAATACGGGATTGTATACAACGCCCAGGAATTCAGACAGAAAACCCCTACAAGCCAAGAGTTGAGCTCTAGTCGAGGAGAAAGCAAATTCAGGAAAGCGGGATTTCGGAGGCGTTGATTCGCCAAGATAAATCGGATTCGTCTCAACGGGACAGTGGAATGAAAGGACCGGAAAGCCAATACTTCCAAGGCTTCCAGGGTTAGATATCTGGTAAGAGGGTTAAGAGAGGTATTTATTTCGGCTAATCCTATGCACCTGAGGTAGACTATTGACAAAAGTTAGGTAAGAGATATTGAACCAACTGAAAATTATTTCTCCGAACTCCAATGCCAACACTCGCCAACCTCTCGGCGTCTGGGCGCCTGACCCCTTGACCCTTGGGAGGTACTCTGCCCCTGATTTGGGGGTAGGCACCTATGTATATCGTATGCCTGTGAAGTTCTGCGGGGGTTCTATGAGTGCATCACAATAGAATTCAAATGCCAAACAGCTTATCTATGTAACTTTCTAAGGCTAGAAGATTTCAAGATTATATAGATTGGGCAATAGGAGTGATACATGCCATCACGTGCGTATAGCTGTTACCGCGCCAAGACTCCAGGCTTCGTCTCAGCGCGGATCATCTCATTACAATCAACCAATCAAAGACCGGGAATCGTTTACTTATCATCCCCGATGGCCACTTGGCGTCTTGGCAGGTGGTAAAATCTCGTAATTCATCTGCACCTTTGACCCCTTAGGCCACTTAGCATCTTTGTCTCATGGTAGGACGATTTCATATCTTGTCCAATACAGCCCTACCCTGTCATCAAGTATGCTCTAGATGTCCATAATCGGGATCCGAGATAACAGGATCGACAGGATGCACACAAATGATTCTTGTACCCCATACAAGGCTCGACTCAATGCCAAGGGCTCGGCATCTGGGCGTCTTGGCGAGAGGGATTGCAAACAGCAGGAAATGCTCCTCCGCTGTCTTGCACGGCCTTTTCTGGGCTTTCCTGCCATTTCCGCTCTTTCTAGCTGCGGCTCTCCGTGGTCTCTTATAAGTCTCTCTTCCGCCCTCTCTGCCCACCCCCTTCCACCTCCGACTTGTCAACCGAGAGCCCCCTATGCCAGAAAGATTACGATTACGGAAACCATGTGGTGAATTCTACATATAATAGTCGCCCTCTGTGCGTCTACCTTCTACGGCTCTTACTTCGTCTTTACCCACTATTATCTCCTCGCCGGCCATGCGGTCACCGGAGATGTCATATAGTCCCGCCTACTATCAGGATCAAAGATCTCTTGGAACGACACATCCTCCCTCGATCGTCACCCCTCCACCGGCTACCCGTCGATCCCAAGAACACTCCTCTGTATTGGGTCACCCTATAGGTGGATCTCGACCCTCATCTCCTATACCGAGCCGGGACGTCAGTCCGCGCACCTCCGGCTCACGGACACAACGTGTATACCATAATCAGCCAGTGGGAGGATCTTCCTGGCCCGGTTCAGACCCTCGAGAGATCGACTCCGCTCTGGCCGGCTCGACATCAAGTGCATACAAGGAAGAGCGCGCCCAGAGCAGCTGGGCAGATCGGCCGTCATTAATGCCGGGGGAACATTCCAACCCCAGCATAGTCCGTGTCCGAAAACGAGCCATTCCAGACGACGAAATAGTCACCAATGAGGGCCAGGATGCTCTCCTGATGCTGGTAAGTACGCCATACAGCGGTGCCATGTTGTATATACTAATAAAATCTGGCAGTTCCGTCTCACAATCGTCCCATTCTACTCATTCGGCGCTTCTCTATATACCATCTTCGCCTTTCTCTTCGCGCTCTTCGTGTCACCTTTCCGTCTCTGCTCATTTTCCCCATACCTCCGCGCAACGACGTTCGCATCACAACTTTGCGATCTCCTTTCTCCTGTCCTCCACATCCATGAACGTCTCGTTTGCTTGCAGCCACCATCAGTGAAAAACCGATCATCCTCGACCCAATCGACTCACTGGATCCGCTCAGAACCAGATTCAGACCAACAGTCAGTCCTATCTGAGCCGAGCGAGGCCTACGCTGTGATTGGTTCATTTTCCGTCCTCGTCCTATCCCCATTACTCAGCGTTGTAATCCTCCTCTTCGCATGGACAGCCGCATTTTTCTGGGTTTTCTCCATGGTTTTAGGTAACCCAGACGGCACCGAACGCAAGGATGACGGCCGCACCGCCGTTCTTGGAGTCTGCAAATGGTGGCGGTTATGGCTTTGCAAAGCACGGAAATCATAATAAGCACCAACCAGAGCCTGCTAGAAAGACGCAGGCCAATCAGTGATACATCTCACCGCCAGCTTCACGAAAGCTGCATCAACCCCCTTCCCTTACCTTGAAATATTGTCCCACATTGCATGATACCCTCCCCTCTCGGTACATAGGCGTACGCCGGGAATACGTGGAACGACCTAACTTTGCTTTACTTTTATCCTTCACATGCTGATATTACCTCCGTCCCTGGTGGCTATGACTATACACATTCTGCATCGTTGATGCATACGGCGTCTGGGATTGGCTTTTATTTTACACGGCGTCTTAGCGGGCGCACAGTGGCCTTGAAATTATTTCGACGTGTACCCTTTTGTTATTGTGTCTTACAGACTATCTGGGGTTGATTGAGGATCCCCCTGCCCGACTCGATACTTTTGATCTTGTCTGGTGAGCTGGTGGAGATTTTCAACCTCCCTTGGAACTGTACTTGTATGTACGAAACTTGTATGTGAGAGGAGACTGTATGTACGCACTGCTCTCGAGTGCGAATTTGATACCCGGGCTTATTGCTTTTGCTTATTGGTATTTGCTTGAAGTAAACAATGTAGAGCCAGCCGCTTTGTTTTTTTCACGACGCAAGACTTCAATAATCCGATCCAATTGACTTCGGATGATACCAGGGACGTTACGTTTAAGATCCTACTTTGATACCTTTCCCCCTTCTTAGGCCCTAAGCCTTTGACAATGTCTGAGGTCGTCGTCTTCTCTTTTGCCCTGCTAGATGGGGACTAACGTAAAATGGAAAGTAAATGTGACTGATGAGTCTGGTAAGTGAATTCGAGGTCAACCGAGCTGGCAAAAAGGAACAGCAAGATACGTACTATTCATTTTACAAGATGTAACATTTACTTCAACTGTGTAGTAACCCATACCGGGATATGAACTATGGAGGTTTCCCCTCACTATTCCCGCTTGCCTTGGCCGAACGTCTAGTCTACTCCACGGGACTAGGACTATCCCTGTAAAGAAATCCCCACATTTTGCAAGTCTTTATTGTGTCCGCTAAACAGCCTTATTTGGCTACATCTTGGCCCCCTGCTCTCTGAGTTATGTAAGAAACTCGTGGCTTAGTTGAATTTCTTTCAAAGAGCTTCCCCGGGGGTCCAATATGGACATATGTCGCATGGGACACGATAATTGGCAGCGTGAGCCAACACTCATCCTATTGTAGCTTTTGCGGGGCCAAGTCATACGCCGGTCGATATTGGGATGCTGCTTCCGCCTGCCCTTAGACATGATGGGCTGACGGACTGATGAGTGATGGGAGGCGTCTCAGTCGTTTGGCTAGCATCCAGCCTAGTTTTGCCACTTTCGATACCAGGCTTAGTCACTCGATAATATGGCAGACCTCTCTTAGTATTGCTGGGGAAACACGCACTGTGTATAACAATGCCTCCAGGCTGTGAGGTTGTGTTTTGTGAAGGCCACGAGCTTGTTGAATTTGAGTGGCATCGATTTTGTGGACAAAATTTATTTGTCATATTGCATTGCGGGCCACGTCAAGTATAAAGACAAAGAGAGTAACATCGAATAGCTCAATGATTGCACGACTGAACACATAATTGAATTGTCATATAATATCATAATTAACAGATAATTACCTGTATAGGGATATTACACGTTTAGACATGGAGGTATCAAAAGAATGAAGCTGCGGCAGCTTCAATAGTTACCTGCTCGTGTTCGACACCATCACCATCATGGTCGACAAAAGAATAATCGGGGTCATTAGCATCATCATCAGACAGGTCAATGGCCTGAACATCCAAACCAGCAACGCCACGAGACAACATCTGGATCTTTATCTCCATATCATGTTTTCTCTTTTGCTCCTTCGCCTCTTCCTCCGTCGTCCTCTTCAGCTCCCTCTCGTACACGCGCACCTCCTCTTGGTCCCGGGCATTATCTGCCCATACCTTCAGGTGCTCCGGGTATCTCAGACACCAGATCACAATATCCCGTGTTGCATGTGCATCCTCCAGCGCACTGTGGCCCTGTTTCCCGACTTGAATATCATAATTGACCAATTCATTGGTAAGAGTTTTCAGACTCCATGTGCGGTTGAGCGCTTCACTGGCGTGAACATTGTAGAAGACCGCTTCGCCGGTAATGATGGAGGAGTCGACAATATTCCAGTGGATGATACCCAGGACATCAAGATCATTGTTGAGAGAATGGCCAACGAGAATAGTCTCGCTATCCATGAACTCCCATAACTTCGAGCGCGCTCCTTCCCAGCCATTCAACGCTGTCCCTTTCTTGACAGCCTTGTTCATGGCACCAGGAGTCACCCCGCTAAACCGAGAATCCCAATTCACGACTTTCGCTTTCGGCTGTACATAATTGTTGATGAGAACCTCGCCCGTCAAAAAGTCAATTGCGCTCAAAAATGCAAGCTCCCGACGACCTGCCTCGACTTGCACCATCTCACAATCAAGCACAATTGCTTTCCTTTTTGGCAAGCCGTCCGAAGAGCGAGGAACTTGGCGGAAATGTCCTGTCTTCGGAGGAGGTCTCTTCGACGGGCGTCTGCTGACCTCTGCTAAGCCAGCCCGGAAGGTGAAGCCTCGTGTGACCAGACGGGTGTCCGAGTGACACCGTGCCGACAAGTAGCGGAAGATCAAGTTTTGTTCGAGTGGCTCAAGGATAACATGGTAATTTGCGTTTTGGATGGCAGGCGATGAGGAATTCGGGGGCCCAGGTTCAGAGGTCTTGTTCCATAGGTCTTCATAAGTATCTACCCTCACCGGAGCACGTACCGGGGCCTGGTTTGATGTGCGCTTTTGAGCTGGTTTCGCAGATTTGGCAGGCAAGATATCGGAGTGATCCAGGGACTTCTCAAGATTCGTTTTCTTTGGAGCAGATTTCGCAGGTTTGGCGGACAAAGCCTCAAACAGACCCTCGGACTTCTCAGTCTTTGTTTTCTTTGAAGCAGATTTCGTAGGTTTGGCGGACAAAGCCTCAAACAGATCTTGGGACATCTCAAGCTTCGTCTTCTTTGTAGCGGACTTCGCAAGGTTGATAGACAAGGGCTCAGAAAGATCTTGGGACTTCTCAAGCTTTGTTTTCTTTGTAGTGGGCTTCGGAAGATTGACGGACAAGGGCTCAGAACTATCCTGCGACTTTCCTTGCTTCGTCGTCTTTGGGGATGGCTTTGCAGGCTTGACAAAAGACTCGGACAGATCCGGGTACTTGTCATATTTCACAGACTTTGGGGCTGATTTCGCGGGTTTGGCAGACAAGAGTTCAAGATCCTGGAAGTTCTGTTGCTTTGCGCTCTTTGATGCGGGTTTTGCTGACTTGACAGACTTGAGATCGGAACCATCTAGGGGCTTTTCATGCTTCTGGGAGTGCTTAAGCAACGCTGTTACATTGCCAAAAGATTTGTCGCATGGACCACATGCGAGTTTGTGGCCTTTGGACTCAAAATGAGCCTTGACGGCGCCAATGCTTTTGAAGCCACCTCTCTGACATCCAGGACAGATAAATAACTTATCCATGGCTGTGGGCAAGGACATGATAGAAAGAGAAATTGACTTGTTTTTGTGAGTGTAGAACTAATACGGAAGGATCTCAGCAATGTGTATGTCTTGCCTAATCGAGCCCAAACGTGGCAGGGACTGACGTTACACTTCACCGGTGACTGGGAGCGACTATGAACCAACGGGCCAATATAAATTCGATGAGATATTCTTTGATAGTCTTTGTCAAAGTTATCTTGCTTAACTTGAGCCAGTCAGATCAAAGGGCAGAGTGAATTGACAATTGATCTCAAGAGGGAGGAAATTGGCCAAGCCGAGATTCTGCCAAATTATACCGGCTTTGATTATGGCCTGAAACATCAGGCAGAAGAAGGCATTTGGATGTCACCAATCACAGCGCAAGAGAGTCTTTCTAATAACTAGGCTAAAGGTTTCGATTTGAAGACTATATCATTCATTTGAAATATTTCTCACATTCAACATACCTTACACAAACAACCTGCTCAGTAGAAAATAAAAAAATAATGACATGAACACAAACAGGAAGCAAGTCAAGACACCAATGCTTGGTCTTTGTAAATCCACGCAGTGTTTGTTCCTTTGCCACCGTACATTCACAAAGAAAAGATCGCATGCGCCAAAGTCCGGCCAGAGTGGGCCCACAATTTGAATATCAGTATCCTGATGGCATTGCCAGAGCAGAAAATCACTCATTCGGTGGACTCCCGACGTTCGCACAAGAATATCCACGGAGGATCGTCGACTGCATACATCCGAGCTCCCAGTAGGAGAAATATTTCTCTGACAACATTCTTCTGCCGAGACTCGCTCTGCGCGAGCAATTTCATCGCGTGAAGTATATGCCAGGTACACATTTAGAAACCTTTTTGTTTGGCGACAAGATTGTTTCATGTACTGAAGCCACCATCTAACTAAGACCTTTTTGCTACCTAGTTCACCCAAGGGATTTCTAGTACTTAATAGTGACTTATAGGAATATAAAAATTAAAGTTTAGATTATGTTTAGTTCTAAAAGGCCACCAATATGCAGAAACCAATAATTTCGCTAGATCAGGAAACAAATCAAACCGTGGACCTTTGTGGAAAAGGCTTAGTCTTCCTTGCCTTTTTCCCCTGCCCATGAGTCGTCTTATATATCTAAAGTTCCTCTTCTGTAGAAAGTTCTGGGTTTATAGGAAATTCTTCTTTCTCATCAGATACACCACCTATACCATAGCCTTCCTGGGGTGCTTTCATTCCTAGAATCGCCTCTTGCTCCCCGACGTGCAATCTCGCTGGATCCGGTAAGTCTGGATACTCTGGTATCTCCCCAAGTGCCAGTTTCTTTCGAACAGGAAGGCTATGATCATCGTCGCCGTCTGTGTCATCCAATCCTCGTTTGGGTGTCCTTGCGGGTGCAGGAGTAGGAGTAGGAGTAGGAGTAGGAGTAGGAGTAAGGGCAGGAGAAGGGGCAGGAGCAGGGGCAGGAGCAGCAGCAGATACAGGTATAGGCACAGGTGCGGATGCTGGCGCCGTTGCTGCCGCCTTTGCTGGCGCGCTCACCTTTGCTGACCCCCGCATTATCGCCCATGCCGATCCCGGTGGCCGCCAATGGGGGTTGCTCGGTGGAGGGAGTCCCCAATTAATGGGATCATGGTGTCGGTAGAACTGACAAAGATCTGTTAGAGCTTCACCAAGCTCATCGTGAGCAAAGCCTTGAATAGATGGGGGTAGATTGAGTATTTCAGCGATAAAACCCTCGCGTATGGTGGCTCTACGGCAGCTTGACATAAAAAGACAAGCAGTAAGCCCACCGGTAAGGAGATGTTCCCTTAGCTCTCGGTCGTGAACTGTTCGAATAACGTTCATTACCATAGTTTGGGCTTGGGGGTTCGCCCAGAGACCAAGTCTATCCCAAAAACCTCGTTCGCGTGCTGCACCCATACCCAATCTGAACTTGGCTTGCGGCATTTTGCAGATAATAACTGAATAAATTTATGTAGAGTTGAATTGTGTTGGTTGTTGGATCGTTGGGCAGATCAAATGGTGGCTGTGAAGATGGAACTAGAGTGCGCTCTTTGTGACCGAGGCGGACTTAATTTAGACCAAGGCTTCGTTGAGAATGCATTGTTTGTTATCTCTGACAAAAAAAGAACCAAAGACATGGCTAAAAGGGTTTATGAAATCCTTTAACTCACAATGTGGTGAACAAAAAGGAGATTCTTTAGGTATTTTCTGAATATAATGGCCCAGCAACAATGACAGAGTAAATTATAATGAAATTCTATATGGCCTTAAGTACTCATCTGCTTTGACATAGAGATACCATGTGGAACTAGGAATCTGTGACCGTTAAGTCTGAGTTGATTAGGGAGCACCACATGAGGGGGATTACCCATTTATGTAAAAATGAAACCTTGTCCTCTTCCAAGGTTATCAACATTCCACCATGCCATCATAGTTGAGCCATCTAAATGAGCTGCTTCATTAGCAGCTAGCATGGCCGCCATCGCCTCATCAAAATGACAAATCGGCTCTGGCAGTCCTCCTAGGGGGTATACACTTTACTACCTGAGTCCTCCTTGATTCGATCGTGCCTACTTTTTGATCTATCCTAAGCTGGCCAGACCCTCGTAGGTTCAAACGAGAATCAAACCAAACATAATTCAATACAATAATATTAATTCTCCAGTTTTACTATCAGTGAGAAAGAGAATCAAGCTGGATGTTCATTGAAAGTTGCTCGCACCTACATAGCCAGATGGGATACCTAGCAGCCGTTTGAGTATATATGGACTATCATCTACACCCTCTGAAGAAACTCAGCATCGCTTTTCTCCCAAGGATGTTGCTCTGCGAGTTCCCGGATGAGATGTTCGTGCATTGCGCTTCGTGGCCGGACAGAAACTTTGAACGGGGCCGGGTGGCTAATGACCCCGGGCAGAAACTTGAGTGGGATATTCTGGGTGACTCCGTTTTCTATCGGTTTCGAAATACTGAAAACAGTCAGAGCCTGTGCAACAGTGAGAAAGACATTTGCGTCTGCTAGTGTACGCCCAGGACAGGCTCGACGACCGAACCCGAACACAAGCAGGTGCGGATCACGCTCTGGGAGTTTGCCGTCCGGAGAGGTCAAAAAGCGCTCCGGCTTGAAGGTCATTGGATCATGATAGACGGTTGCATCGTGCGTATATGCCCTAGAAGATCGAAAACTGGATCAGGAACTACCATCTCCCGGAATGGACAAGAGCAACTCACCAAATATTTGTAAGAACCGACGATCCCTTGGGGATGAAGTACCCCTCACATGTATCGTCCTGGGTTGAAGTGTGGGCTACACTCATGGGTACAACTGGATGCCATCGGAGGACTTCCTTGACTAGTGCATTGATATATGGAAGGTCGTCTCGATCTTGGAATTGGGGTAGTCGATTACTCCCAAGCACTGTGTCGATTTCCTCCTGAGCCTTGCGTTGCGCCTCTGGAAAAAGGGCCATGGCGAGGAAGAAACTCGCAATTGAGGAGACAGTCTACTTTATTTTTAGTCCGATATGATGCGTATAGTCCGGATTTGCTCTCACCGTGTCTGCGCCTCCGGCGTATAAAGACCCAGCTGACCACTTGATGATCTCCTCTTCTTCAGTCCCGGGCTCCACAGGATTGCTTTGAAGAAGATTGGACAGGAAGGATGGCACGAATTGATCATTACTTATCTGCTGCTTGGTAAATGCGTACGGAACATCACTGAACGCCTCTGATCTGGACTTGTAGCCTTGAGCGATCTTCACGAATCCTGCCCCAGGGAACCAGGCCGGGAGATATTTCACTAGCCAGAGAGTTAGATAATGATGCATAATTCAGTGTGCCGATACAATTTATCAGGTATTACTTACTTATTGGGATAAACTCCACCGCCCATGTTGCTGGAAGCAAGGCATATGAAAAGTCCTCCATCGCCTTGTCGGCCAGATCCACAAGAGGGTCCCGAGCATGGGGTTCAATAGTATATCCATAGCCAATTTTCAAGACAATTGCCCCAGCCTCTCTGCTCGCAATTAGCCTTTGAATACAAAAGTTTTATACTATCGAGGAGACGCATTGACTCACTTCCGTATGTGCTGATGGAGCTTGTCTGGCTCATCCAATACCCTCACTAGAAAACGACTGACCTCCGCTTTCTGAGTATCGTTGAAGCGGGCAACGGAATTTTTTGAACCTATCTCTTGATACAAATGTTTCCGTGTTTTTCTTACATGGTCTGGGTTTATGAGTCCCCCAAGAACATATTGCCACCCCGACCTGGCGATATCAGTCACCATGGTGTTATACAGTTAATGCTTTTACTTACATGTCAGTAAACATATTTTTTGGGCGCGAAGAGTGTATAGCGGAACGTTTTTCTAGTAGCTGTACTGCCAACTTAGCATCATTAAGGACGATAATATGTTTTCCTAGTACAGTGAGTGAGCTAATTGGTCCTATTTGGGATTAGTCAATATCTGAAGTTGTATGTTCCACAGGTGTTTACTCTCACCATATAGCTCCTTATGCTTTAGCCAATGCATCCAATCTTGTTGGTCAGGGGTTGGAAGATGATTTAGATTTCCAATTATGAGTTGCTGTTTAGGACCCGGAGGAAGAGGCAGCGGATATCTTTTCCAGCCGCGAAGGGTAGTAACAATCCCAACTCCAACGACGATGAGGATACCCAGCCATAGCGTTGATAACATGATGACGGTGATGATGTTGTGGATAAAAATTTGTAGGATGAGAGAGATGTGTGTACTTATGCGGGAGCGGACTGTTTGCGAAATCATCAAAGAGGGGTTTGCAGAATGCATGCACTCGATCAGCATCTATAATACTACGATAGGTCGGTCATCTGCACGTAGGAGGGGGTGGGATGTACGTGCATAATCTTGTAGTCGTTCTGTATCTACACTATATAAGGTCTGCCTATGCGACTTGAGATATACAAACCCTCTGATTGGCTTCCATATTCATACTTTTGACAAGTTGGCGAAATCCGTGCCGCTTGTAACCTTGGTGTTGCATCTCTGTTCTGCCATTAAGATAGTGACGATTAAAGCGTTTATACACAGTATATATACAATATAGTAATGGTCATAGCAGATTATATATGAAAAAGACATTACACCTGCCTGGGCAGGTCATTCGTTCCGATATTGATGGTACAAGGAGGATCCTTTGTGTGGAATCTGTATGAGCCTGTAAAAACTGGATGAATTGAGAGAAAACTAAGATATTCCGAGACAGCGAGCGAATAATCTACACACAGACACAGTACGGTCGATAAAGTTCTTCTCAATTTGTCCATGTATCAGCTATGTGCCTGAGTGTGGTAGATGGCAATGATAGTTATGAGCGAGTCGCCTATTTTGCGTCCCGAATTGTGCTTCACTGTAGGACAGTAAATAGATGGTTACAGAACCTCAAACTCCACCCCTTCTACTTGTAGAGTGATAGGCCCCCTGTTTGCCTCTCCCAGCGAAGCTCGTTCACCTGGGGTCGCCATCACCTCCGCTTTCCTTCCAGCCCGCCACCAGGACACTACCTGACCCTCCTTTATCTCAAACCAATATCGATGCCCGACTTCGAGGGTATTTTGATCTACCGATCTATTAGCCAAGCGAAACCCTTCCTGGAACTCTGTGGGTGTCTCGGGGTCGCATGTGACGAAAAAGCGATCGTCGGACCCACCCAATCCGCGATTGAAGCCTGGGCGCTTGCCGCCTTTGGTGATATCTATGCATAGCGGTTTAGTGTCTGCTGTGGTGATGTCGTGGCAGATGAAGTCGTTGCGACGCTGGCTGAGACCGAGGTTAAATATTGTAGGTTGAGTAAAGAGTGTGATGGGTTCATAGTAGTGTGACATTGCTGTCAGGGTGATTGTTGGTGACAGGCTGGGATTGAGGGAGAACCTGGGCGGTGTGATAGCGAGTGTGATGGAGGATTTGACATTTTGTCTTTTGATTGCAACTGACATTACTTAGGATGTCTCGAGTGAAAAATGAGGTATTTTATTTCCGATATCAAAATCCACATGGAGGTTTGATCGGAAAGTGACTTTGGGCTTGGATGGATCTTGGTATCCTTTAACAGCATCCCTGCAAACGACGTCGGTGTTTTATGGCGTTTGTCAGATTACCAAAATCTCAGCTGAAGCTGCAGTATAAAGCCCAGGTGTAGATCGCTGTCAATCCCGTCATATAAAGGGACCAAAATCGAAAGGCCGCAAACAAAACGGAAATTCAAAATAAAGAGAATGGAATTAAATGGGGGCCACACACAACCCTGAAAATGGGATACCTGGAGAAGAACTATTCCTGACGGCAAAGATGATTGTGTATCGAATCCTTCGACGATCCATCCATTAGTTGGCGATCCTGTTTTGGTCGAAGGTGGCGTTTCTTCTCGGCATAAATCATTACTATTTACTGTTGTATGTTACTAATTGCATTTTCCCTCCTTACATTGTATGTAGAAATAGCATCTAGTCCAATGTGAAATACTAAGAGATAGCAACTAGGCGAAAAGCTCACGGGAGTTTTGGCCAATGAGAGGAATATTCATAACTGTAGCCCACGAGATGTAGGCATCGAAGCCGTATTTCACACACCCAGTTGGGGGACACTTCTGTTTCTGTATATGAACCAACCCTGCCATATGTACTAAAGGGAATCAGGCTCCTTCAACAGCCAACTATCTCATTGGTACCCCATAGTATAGTTGCCGCCTTCGCTGCCACTCAATTGGCGGATCGTGAAGGTATATTTTGTCAAAGTTTTTACACTCTCAAAAGTAACGTAAGGCTGACAGAAGAGGATACCGCTGTCAAGGCGTCTGCAACATAACAATATGCATGGGAAAAAATAGCATCGAGGAGCCACCCGAATTGCTTGACCAGACCCAACAACCCTCTAGTTAAACTCCATTCTCTTCTCCTGGAAAAGTTTGTACTTTCTATTATGTATATAAGGATCCTCTTGGTACCATCGGTTTATACACAGGCGACTTCTGCCGTGCGTGGTTGAATTAGAGGAATTCTGTTGTTGACGTAGCATTCGAGGTTCGGGTGGGGAATATAAAATCGTGTTTCTGAAGATCGTGGATCATTTGGGAGCTATTTTGAGTAGGAAGATACCTTAAAGGTGAGTTTGAAGAGTGAAAAAAAATGCAATGAGATGAGAAAATGAAAAGAATATAGAAGAAGTGAGGAAGGAGGATGGAGAAAAGAATGATAGGGCGATAGAATTTAGTTCCTATGATTGATCACCAGAGAGTTTTATTCAGAGCATATAGATGAACATGGCTAGAAATCTTTTAATCTATGATTCCATCCAAACTACACACAAAATCTAAGAAAACGATAAGGATGGGAATATTGATTGTAAATCTTGGAATCCAAGAGCCGATTCATGATACCATCTAGTAACTCGACAAAGCTCATTACTTGCAGTACTGATACCAAGAATATCAGTGTCATTGCTAAATATGTCATAGGGGAGACAAAAGACATACCCAGTTTTCACTTCCGGAGTTTTGCACGCATGTCTTGCCATGACAGCATACGCCGTCGCCGGGACTTGGATTTCCGATTCGGCAGAGGTCTCCCGGACGATGGCAGCAAGGGAATTCATCACAGGCGGCCATGGCCAGAGCCAGGAGCGGGGTGATCCAGAAGATATATTTCATTTTGATAGACTGAGACAGTTAGCGAAGGTATCTTGAAGAGGAAGAATGTCATACACCGGGAGCTTGTAGTATAAAGAATCCGATAGAAAGATGATATGTAACAGAGGATTGATAAGAGAAATTGACATTCCGAGGAACATATCGACGGATATTTATACCTTACGTGCTGCACCAGAAGTCAGTATTGATGTTTAGTTTTATTGTTCCTATTTAGGAAGAGAATGAAGATCATCTTGGCAAGCTTGGGAAGTTGGACGCCTTACAGTAACTCGGACGCCTTATTCTGCACATTAGACCTTTTGATGAAGTGACCAAGAGTTCTGGACATAAGGCTGGAGGCAGCCAGGATCATGCAGGAACACCTTGGAATTGAAAGTGCACTGCGGGGGAGTGGAGTAAAGGTTCTAACTAGCGCGAATCGTGGCTCTAATTGGCACACCTTCCACACAACTTGGCAATAGACCCTGCCGGTCTCTATATTTACACGCACCCCATCTTATTCATTGTATAAGGCCACCAACGCCTTTGGGGCGACCACTTTTCTCAGTGTGTACTGGTCAAGCTGATTTGGAAAATGACTGTATACAGATTTATGGATTAACATGTAAGAAATTTGGTCTTCCGCTTTGTCGATGTTCAATAGTTGGAGAATCATGGTTAAATTAATTGGTAGGAAGTGCCTAAACTTTCAGAAGGCATTGTCTCCTTTCGTAAGGTGACTGCATGATCATGGGCCGGGTTGTGCAATCGTAGGCCATCCTTGGGCTCAGGACAAAGCATCATTGAAAAAATGCGGGACTACAATATTTTCGCCATTAGCTGGTCCCCTTAGTGACTTCAGAAGGGGAAGAGGGACTAGAGACTTGACGATGATGAGAACCGGGTACTAATGCGTGCGCCTCCGCACGCCTCGCTTCATCCGGCCCCATCTGAGGTTCCATTAGATAGCTCATATTCCCATAGCTTCCTGTTCTTGAGAGCGCCAATGTGCCCTCGATGTCAAGTCAGCATGACCAATAGGGTGGATCTACATATGGAAAGCGAGCACCCTCTGTAGAGAACTTGCCTGGCAAGAACCCCAGCAAGACCGTCCGTTTGGACCTGCTTAGAAGCCAGACAGGAATTACACACCGAGAGTGCGGAATTGATGGATCTCATGTTTGTAGTTTTCGAGATAGACAGGAATCTCAGGGCTAAGAGCTCGACGGTGCCGATCCGTAGTGACTGCTAGCTCAAGATCACCCGGTTCGAGAATGAGCCCGAGGCGATCGTCGGTGAGGTATTTTTGCCATTGGATAATTTTAACAGGGCGCAGCCAGCACCTGCAGTCTTCAGGCAACCAAGCCACAACCGAACTAGGCAGAGATAAAGAACACGCTAAATCACAGCCGGCCACATAGACAAAGGCACTAGGGGCGGTAGGCGGATGCAGGCGCGTTAGGAGGTAAATCATCGAATCGAGGACGTAAGGCCGCCGAGGTAAATGTGCAGGCAAAGAGCAACTCGAGCACCTGTACTCTATAGAATGAGCGGACTGCATCAAGTAAGCATTCGGTGAGAAAGGCACCGGTGCGAAGGGGCATAACTAGCTAGTTAGCGGCTGAGGTCAAGTGCCTGATGTTATTTTAGGGGTTGATGCCTTAATTCTGCCTGATTTTAGACGGGCAGAAATAACGTAGTTCACATGCGAGCTGCGCAATCCAGTACACATAGTAAATGCGATATATTTTTCAATACTACACTTATGGAAGTTTTTAATCTACTTAAAATTGATATATGCTACTAAAAGTGCTTATCAATGGCCATCGGCAAAAAAAAGAACAATTTGCATTTACTATGGTGTTTCCGCTCTTGTGTGCGCAGCTCGCATGTGAACTACGTTATGACAGAGACCTTCACATTCACAAGCGAGCTGCGCACCCCACCCAAAACGCATCCATGAATTAGCATTTTATCAACTTAAGTGGATCAGCCCCCTTGTACGGTTCGAGAAATGGCGGATCTTTTACCTCAACAACGTGGAACACCCATAAAGCTCTTTATCCCGACGACTTCTTCGCGTACGAAGGGGGGGGGGGGGGGGGTATCGGATCTTGATACTCGACGGACATAGAAGTTATTTAACCGCAAAATTTAACGAGATTTGGAAGCGAAATAAGGTGATACCAATTTGTATCCCTCCTCTCTCCTCTCACCTTTATAACCCCTGGATATCGGTTGTTTTACGGTGTTGAAACGTGCAGCTATAAAAGTAAGCTTCCTCGATTAAAGCTTTATTTCGTATACGATCACAAAAGCCCTCCGAGCCCGCTAAAGATTGCGATAAATCAGGGTTTAAAAGCCTGTCAAATCACTACGCAGTCTGCTGCTTTACTCGAGAAAGGATTAAGCGAACTACGCGCTTTAAATGAGAAATAGAAGCAAAAATGGACTCGGTCCCAGAGGCAGATACCCACTGAGCAAGGCCTCTCAGTTCACAAAGCTTCTCAGCTAATTGTTGAGCCGGTGGAAGCAATTGTAGCACCTCCCCCCTCGGCGGAGAAGGCCTTCGCCACCTTTACAGCCCCGAACGAGAGCTTTACCCACGTGTGCTTTGTGTAAAAACCAGGGTCATAGGAGAGATGCATGTCTAGATGAATGATTAATTTAATTTAATTAATTTAATATGGTTTTGAGATGTATATAGTTGAATTCAATGGGTTGGTTTAGGTGCGTCACTCGCATGTGAAATACGTTAACTACCGCAAACAATTGTGCACCATGCGGACTATAAAGGAAAGGAAGAAGAGAAATAATTTTGGTTGCTGGTGGGATCATGTTGATCATAAGAGTTTGACTGCACCCACGCCAAGTTGTGAATATCGAAATCCAAACAGTCGTAATGTGCCACTTTTTTGTTTCTTCAACTCAAGCCCAAAACCAGCCGCCATATCTTCCCACACGCTCTGAAGGCTCTGGATTGTCTTGGCTGTTGAAGAGAGGCGGGCAACTTGGCCATCAAGGGCAGCTCGCTGGCGAATGATATCGCCTTGAATGGCACTGCTCTCCAAGATCATCTTCTGAATCACTTTTTGCAGCGCTACTAATGCGTCCCGTTGGTGTTGGGTTTCCTCTCGCCCCGAAGGGATAGGGTCGGCTGGCATAGGAACTGCCGTGGCACGTAGGCCATTGGCGACTGAGTCGTGTTGCGGTTCCGGGGAGGACATTGCTATATAGGAGTTAGCCATGTCTCAAAACTTTTTTGCATTTAAATACTCGCATATCACAACGAGAAAATGATGGTAGAGGTTGAATGGGAGCTCGTAGATACGATAGGATGTGGTGGAGGAAATGAAATGAAAGTGAGGTGGAAGAATAGTGAAGTGATGTGGAATCGAGAGAAATATGAGAGAAAATTGAAAGAAGGAATAAGGATATGGGATGGTTGGGGGTTCGTGTGAAGAGTAGTGTAGAATGGGGTCCTGCTAGGTCACTAGATTCCTGCTTCTACGATTAAAAAAAGGAAAGCCTCTTCCCAGTCATACGCGTATTTCAAACCATAGCCTGATTAGCTTTTTGAAAGGAGATTTTGGCCCTGGGATCTGCCTCGTGGAACTATTTCCTAGCTACGCTACAGCCTTTCAGACCCAAGCCCCATGCTCCTCGTTGCGTATAGGAACTCGATATATAACAGCTTGACCAGTAGGTTGGCGAGGGAAGGGTCATGGAATATTGTCGCAGAACCCTACAGGGCGCGCTAGGTGGGCAGTGGTTCGACTTACGGGGTCGACCAAGCAGCCCAAGCTCCTAATATGTGGCGCATGATAACAGGAAAGCCCTCGACATCTCGTTTGCAGTAATATTCCCAAAGAGTAACCTGCGAGGCTCAGGCATCGAAGAAGACCTTAGGAATACGGGGTGATTCCGTTCCAATATACCCAGTAGGGTCTGGTCATTGTTAGAAGCTGGCTGCAGGAAAGTCTTCTCCTTGCGAGTGTATATATTGACTAGATAGGTTTCGTCAAGCGGGACAACGTAGATATCAAGGACCGAAAGGCTACCGTGTCTTGAGAGATTGACCCCTTCAAGATCAATATAAAGGGACGGCGGGTTGGTAGGTATGACTTGCAGTTTCCTAACCCAGTACGATGGCAGTCCTGGAGGGTACTTATGGCCCCGCTTCTTTCTCCTATCGTATAGCGAAAGTCCCAATTCAAGTCTGCTAGACTGCGCCCACCCCTATGGGGTAGGGTATATCATCTACAAAAACTTCGTGTAGGACTCTGTCAGAAAGCATCAAAATAGGGTTATGGCCTTTCATCGAGTTTTTGTAGGTTCCTTGTAGGCTCCGGCAATTCGTGGATAGTATTCTCTTTGTTGCCGGGTAGCTCTGACACAGAACTTTGGCCGTCTAACTCGCTTGGGATACCCGGGGGCTGGAGAGGCTCGCGTTGCATTATCGATGCTTCGGTGATGGGCGTTGCCGCTTGAGATGATTGCTTCTGCGGGCGACGGCGCATGAAATACCAAAGCAAGGCGACAATGATTGCTAACCCAGCAACACCACCAACCACACCACCTGCGATAGCGCCAGTATTTGAACTAGAGCTACTTGATGATGGGGAGCTACTCGATGTTGGGGAGTTGCTTGATGTTGGGGAGTTGCTGGATATCGGTGAGCTGCTCGATGCAGGGGAGCTACCTGGAGGCTCGGCTAGTTATATTAGAGCTGGGCTCATGTCGAGTAAGCAGGACTTGCTTGGATCTTACCAAGTTTGATTGGGAGCATGGGCTTGAGAGAATTACTCAGAGACGTCCCACTTGGTGCACACCCAACCCCCCCATTAGTCCTATTATACCCCAGGTCTCCCCAATCACAACAGAAATATCCGCCCCCGTAGTTTTGAAAGAGACTCCAGGACTCATTGGCGCAGTGTGGTCGGGTATTGATTTCCGGTTCGCAGGTTGTATCCCGACAACAAACCCCTGTGATTTTGTCGCTACAAGTTGCGCCGCGGGGGCAGCATCGGGTGTACTTTTCCGATGTTCTAGAATCAACCCCTGCGTCGGTGCTGCATTCGCCTTTCAGGCAGGACCCAATTCTGCGTACTGCGAATCCGAACGGGGGACCCCAATCGAGGTCGTCAGCCATGATAGGAAAAAACGAAGCAAAAAGCCAAAGGAAAGTTGATTAAGAAGAATAGAAGGCGTGCGAGATGTATATTAACCAAAGGTGAGGAACATAGGACAGAAGGAGGTAAGACCTAGTTTGAAAATTTTTGGATTTCAAGTGTCAACCGAAGCTAGGAAAACAGACAGAAATGGAAACCTAGTGAAATTTAGTGGTTTTCAATTAATAGAGCGACCCTGCGCTCAAATAGACCCTGCACTGAAGGCTACATTGGGGCCGCCTTGGCATTGATCATCGCGGAATCAAGTTGGCGAGGGTGGCTTCCTAGACTACATAACAGAGAACATTCTAGTCCAGGCTGCTGAAAGTATATTGTGAATTCTTTGAAGATAACCACTTTTGTTCGAGAATAGCCATCGCACATAAACGCTTTGTGAATAAAGAGCAGAAGGTAGACCGGGAAAAGCCCCGTCCTGGGGCCTATTTGAGCACGGCGAGCTTCCCCACGCGGCAGAACAAGGTAAAGATCATCAAATTAAAGGAAAAAGACAGAGAGAAATTCGGACACTTATCGATTGGACTGAATCGGTAGAGTCCGCATTCTGTAAACGAGAAGTACCATAAAAAAGAGCAAAATAATTTCAACCCTATTTTTCTAAAAGTTGAACGTTGGCTGGAACAGCAAGCGGCGGCTGAAAAGTATCAGGGGGGCCGAGCGTCGATGGAAGATCGGGACGGGTGAAAGGCATCGAGTTTGACAGCGCTAAAGGGGCTACAGCTAATCGGAAAGGGCAATTTACAAGGTCTTGGAACTTTGTGGCCTTGGGGTATATGGCTATATATAAAACAGTGTGCGAAAGGTGTTACGGACATGCCAGTCGCCAATCAATTATGGAGACCGCAACTGAAGGGCCCTGAGCACTTAAAAATCTCAATTACCCCCCACCGTGGGCGATGGGATGGGCACCTCGCGCCCATAAACGGGCAACATCGCAGTCTAGCCTTTTTTCAAGACACTTTCTTTCGCCGAAGTTAGGCCTAAGCCTACTGAACGGGTGTGGTTTCTCTCGAACCTCATGCAAACTTTCACATCGAGTCCTCCACAAGGTTCATCGGGCGGATTTGGAATAAAAGGAAATCCCTTCTTATTCTAGCGATGAGTTTCCAAGTCATAGACCTCGGGATTGGGAGTCAAGGTGCAAAAGTTGACCCTGCTGTCGCTGCTAGTGAGTAACAATGCTTTGGCTGAGCGTTTTGAGAAGTACACTGATGATGACGTGCCAGAGCTTCCACATGGTGCCAAAGTAGTGTCAACCGAAAATCATGGCTATAGTTTCCGGGCCACCACCGGGCGCATTGATGTTGAATTGGTGGACGGGTCAGTTCAGAGATTCTTTATGAAAATTCTGTTAGAGGAGAGAGGTAGAGCGATGGTGCACGGCGAGTTTGAGTCTATGACTGCGATTTATAATCTCATCCCTGATTCCGTTCCGAAGCCGATCGGCTGGGGTACATATGAGACAATACCCGATACACACTTTTTCCTATGCGAATTCAAGGATATTAATCAAGAATTGCCAGACGTGCGCGAATTTAGCAAATGTCTTGCTACGCTACACAAGAATAGCAAATCACCGACCGGGAAATTTGGATTCCACGTCCCTACCTATAATGGCAACCTGTCGCAGCATACTCAGTGGTCGGACAGCTGGGAGACCTTCTTTGCGAAATCAATGCGACATGCACTCGCTCATGAAATTTCAGCTAAGGGTCCCAGCGAGGAAATTGACATTCTGAGTACTGTTATATTTGATAAGGTGATCCCACGTCTGTTGCGACCACTCCAAAGTGAAGGTCGATCTATCAAGCCCTGTCTGATACATGGTGATTTATGGTATGGGAATACCGGAAAGGATGCTACCAGAGACAATCCTATCATGTTTGATGCCTGCTCCTTCTACGCTCACAATGAATGTATGTTGAACAAGTTGGGTAGAAAAAGAATCCTTGAGCTAACATTGAGTCAAACTTGATAGATGAACTTGGGCAATGGGCACCAGTTTGCAACCGGTTTGGTTTCGAGTATGTTGAAGGGTATCATTCACAGTTCCCCATTTCGTCTCCAGTGCAGGACTACCAAGGTCGGATCGATCTTTATAAACTGTGCGTATATATGCCATGACGTCCCATTTCCACATGCCAGATAACTCAACTCGTGATTTAGGCGGTTTAACATACATGTGTCGGCCCTCTTCCCTCAAAATCGAGATCTTCGGGAACAGTACGTAACAGACTCTCATCGGTTTGAAACCCAACGATGAGACCAGCTGACATTGCTCATAGAATGCTTAACGATATGAGAGACTTGATCGCTAGATATAGCGATCTATCCCAATAACCTCTAATTAGGTTGCCTGGGCAACTTCTCTCACAGTGACACTCGGAATTTATTCTCTCGCTCGCATTATCGCATACCATCTTCTTTATATCACGGTACCTAAAATATACATCTTCGGACTTGTTACTATTTTTATCCGAGACCTGGGCGTATGTGTTGTGCACTAATCAGTTTTTGCCTCACTCCCATTGGCTAATAAAACGGCATTATCGCAACTCATAAAGTGAGTAGAAAGTTCAGCCCATGTAGATACTCCGTACTGTATACATTGACTTACAAACTGACAGGCTTATAGGAAAGCAAACAAATTGTCCAAATAAATAGGCATAGTGGGTAAGGATCGGCATGTCTCAGTGATATCCCAAGTGATAGTGGACATGGCCCTACGTAGCCCTGCGCGGGACCTGGCCAATGGCCCCGCTTATCTAACGCGTGGCCTGCTCCAAGGCACCGGACTTTGTGTTAAAGGCAGATCAAGTTTTTATTTTTATCACTCATTGTCATTGTGAATTGTTTTGAATCTTTATTTCATCTTTTGCTTTCTATCGTTTGAGCCGGCGTATTTGTTTTGTTGCTTGGCGCAGCCGACACCCCTATCAATTAGACTGCTCATTCTCCAACATGCGCGAAGATTATGCCCAAAATGACCCTGGTCATTTTCAGTCGAGTCATCTATTACAGAACCAGCCACCTGTGACTAGTGCACCCCCGCCTGCTTACGGAGCGTGGAGTGATGATGGCAAAGATGAATATTCCAGATGGGACCCGCGGGGATGGTCCTTGAAGAGCAAGATCTTCCTAGCGATTGGTGTCGTCGTGGTGATTGTGGCCGTTGTTGTTGGTGCTGTTCTAGGAGTGCGAGCCAACCGGTATCCCGATTACTCGAAACTGAACTACAGCTTGAAAGACAACTATTCGGGATCGTCATTTTTCGACAACTTTGAATATTTTACTGGCGCCGACCCAACCCATGGATTTGTCCAGTACGATTCTTATATGTGTCAAAACGCAGGCCAAACAACTGAACTAATATGTAATCCAGGTACATCGACCGGTCTGCATCTGAATGGCTGAATCTCACATCCGCCACGGACACTTCTGCAGTGCTCAAGGTGGACACGAAATACAAAGGATCAGAGGCCGCTAACGGGCGCCAATCTGTGCGAGTCACCTCCAACAAGACCTATGCTGATGGACTTTTCATTTTCGACGTTATCCACACCCCGTACGGGTGTGGTACATGGCCGGCCCTATGGCTGACAGACCCCAACAACTGGCCCGAACACGGAGAAATTGATGTCGTGGAAGCTACCAATGCTGGCACCTTTGGAATCCAGTCCACACTTCACACATCGAAAGGCTGCTCCATGAGTGTTAAACGGAAAGAAAGTGGCTCTGTGGATAACGAGGACTGTTACTACGCGGCGAATAGTAATGCGGGCTGTGGTGTGAAAGGCACTGAGAGTACTTACGGTCCTGAATTCAATAGCAAGGGTGGTGGAGTAAGTCATGATCTTAATCATCGAGCAGTGAACCCGGTTTACTAATAACCACCCCTGCAGGTCTATGCGATGGAGCTCCGTGATGCCGGTATTCGCGTATGGCAATGGGTCCGCTCCAAGATCCCGGCCGATGTCACCTCGGGAAGTCCCGACCCATCCACCTGGGGCCAAGCATTTGCAGATTTCCCTAACACGGATTGCGACATCGGTTCTCATTTCAAGAACCAGAGTATTGTCATCAATATCTCTTTGTGTGGTGACTTGGCAGGAGCGAACAAGTACTACAAGAAACAAAGTAGCTGTCCTAGCAGCTGCAAGGCATTTGTGCGGGACAATGCGACCAGTTTCGACACTGCATACTGGGAGTTTGGAGGTTTCAAGGTCTATCAAGCCTCGTGATTTGTTGAATTGTCAAGTGCTTTCGTTTTAATGTGTTTCTGAATTGATGCATTGGGGTTTTGATCATTGCCGAGGCGTTTGGGAGGTGTTTGTTTTGAGTAGGAGAAATTCCAGGACATGTTGTGCACTCACGGATATTTGTGTATCGCTACATATATGAGGACACGAAGTTATCATTCTATGCGTTTTGATTATTTGCAATAATAGGGTATTTGACCACAAGGCCAACGTTCTATATCTTTCTTCCGGCCTACGCGACACCCATAGATCCACAAGGTGACTGGGCAACTATTGGACCTTGCCTCGCGAGTCGACAGGCCATATTTCTTCAATGACCCCACCTCGATGTGCGTAATAGAAATCATGCAGATTGACCGTAGGGTCAATGTGACTCGGTACCATCTCAACACGATCCCCAACCGAAAGCGCCGGGGTACCCTCCTCCCAACTGAGTGAGCCATGCTCGTCACCAAGAACACCATAAGTGTATCTCGGGTCCTTGCACTCTGCCAAACCACTATCTGTTGTCAAGGACTTCAAGCCACTATCGATTGTGACCGACCGAGGACCTTGTTTGCTCAAAACAGTCGAGAGAATCGTAAGGCTGTTGGAATAGAATGTACCCACGGCATTTCGGTAATCCGTATCCATGAAAATAAACGATCCGGGTTGGAGCTCAGTCACGCCCGGGACTGTGGCGCAGAACTCGGCCGTTCCAGTTCCTCCTGTCGTGACCACCTCAATGTTGAAGCCTGCCTTCCGTAGAGCGTCCGCGGCATTCGTGAGGATCTCCATAGACTGCAGGCATTGACTCTTGCGATCCTCCTTATCATGCAGGTGCTGCAAATGCCCCTCATAACCGTGGAGCCCGATCAGCTTCAAATGCTTCAGACCCTGTACATGTTGTGCCAGGGTCACGGCCGGTTCACCTGGTAGGACGCCGGTGCGGTGGAGCCCAACATCGAGGTCAATCAAAACCGAGATTGGTTCGTCGATCCCGGCGGCCGCCAAAGCCTTATCGATAGCCGTTGCGCCACTTTCGCTGTCAACAACTATCCTGATCTTGCGGTATTTGCGGTACAGCTCCACCAGCCTTTGGACCTTTGCAGGGCCTATGATCTCACAGGTGATAAACAGGTCGTCAAATCCGGCCGCGGCGATGACTTCAGCCTCGCTAACTTTGGCTACACAGCCTCCCTTTGCACCCGCTTTGACCATCTTGCCGGCTAGGATCGCACTCTTTGTGGTTTTCAGATGAGGACGTATGTCCAGGCCAGTTGGTAACAGCTTGTCCATCAGTTTCTTGATGTTAGCCTCGACGAGATCGAGATCTGCGATCATGGATGGTGTGTCGAGGGTATCGACACTGTCACCGACTTTGGGGGAATACATGGTGAATTTGAAGTCGCGGATCTGAGGTTCAAAGTCGATTGGTGGTCAGAGCGGAATATATGGAAGTGCGTAAAGAGGACAATTTATAAGAGAGAATGCAAGGGGTAAAGCCCTAGAAAATGTACCCCCACACTAAGATGGGAAGGTATATCCTTGCGGGGTATGACGTTGCATTTGGAATGGAGCTCTGTAGGCCATCAGGTAATAATAGACAAATCTGGCATCTACTTCCAGAACTCACTACCCTAGATGTATGATGAATTTCTAAAGGTTGGCTATTATACGGGGTAATCTAAAGCAATTTGTGAAATTACGCAATGAAAGATGTCTTACAGACATACCCGGAATCCGTCCATCATAAATGACTTCTTGTACAGTGTGTGTGATGAAGTAATGTCCTAAATACCTCTAGGGCACATTTGTTCTCTGGCTACAGGTTGCCAGGCTGGCAGGCCATCAACACTCTCTTCAATTCCCCGTTCTCTGCATGAGTTCAAATTCTCATTGACATGATTTGACACAACAAGAGAGGCCATATTGGAGGAAATAACGTATGTTATCATATTCACAAAACTTGAGTCTTGTCCACTATCTTCGTTGTGACTCAACAAGCTAATGGCTTCAGCGACGGCGGTTCAAACTCAGTAGCGTTGACTGCAAAATTCAGCATGAGCTCTTCCTTCACAATCAATGAGGTGATCACATACCAATCGATATCATGACGAAGCCAAACTCATCAGCTTCTTCCAACCACCTTTCCGCCCTCGAATCCATGACGACGCCTGGTCTGATTTTACCAAATTCCGCTTGCAGATACCCCCGACCACTCCACCGTGAGAGCCAGTGGATATAAAGAGTGTTCCACTGTTCTTCTGTGTGCGCCTGCCAAAGGACCTTTGCCGCTGGCGCAGGCATGAATCCGAGATCTCTGCAGTCGAAACATGGCACCTTATGCAACACCGAGTATGCCCAGTGGAGAAGATATAAGGCAAGGACTGCGCGGCGCTTCGACGTTACGTGCACCCAGGCCTCCCACGATGGTCTCATTTGTGTTCGTTCTTCCTGGAGGAATAGACCTGCGTGGACGACATGATAGACCAGGAGCTCTACTTTTCGAAAGATGATGTTGTGGTCGTTTAGGGGCTGCGGCGCCCTCGCTGATGGAGAGATCAGAATGATGGTGTATATGACCACTGCTTGTAGGGCTGCCAACAGGGTTGTCTCGTCAAGTCGCTGAGACTAGCACCCGACTTTGGGTCAGCCAGAACGATATAGAAAAAGAAAAGAAACTGACCTTATCCACGATGCTGTCTAGTTCTTTTAAAATTGTTTCCCGCACCATCTCCTCCGCGCCTTCACATTGCCCATGCCACATTTTGGTTAGGGTTATGCAGTTCGCTAGTGGCGATGGTAGTAGTTTATTTGGTGCAACCTGGGTAAAGTGGAATAAAGGAGGAAGTTGAAACTCTTCGGCGAGCATTGTTGGCCAAGTTCGAAGAACTCGGAAGATAAGTTCCATGCTATGATTTGCGAGGGCAATGGAATTTGTATCCGGCGAACCGGACTGAGGAGTTGGAAGAGAGTTAGCTCGGACTAACTCTGGCGTGTCACATCCACTGCTGGTATTTAACGAAAAGAACTCTGCGCTGGCTGCTTGTGGAGAACGTAAAGCAAGACTCGTGGGTTGTGTCAGATCCCAGGGAGCTAGACTCGAGAAAAAAGAATCAAATAAATTAGGATCAAAAATTGATTGTAGCACTGGTGGCTGGGTCATCAACGATGTGTCTGGTAAAGGAGCGCTTGTGGTGTCGTTGTTGATTCTGAGCTCGCTATTCTCGACTTCGGGGGTATCGGTTGCATTCGCGCTGGTATATTGACAAGATATGCTTCGCACAGAACACCGAGAGCAATTAGGACGTTTGAGGTTGCATCTTGCTTTATCCGCGACACACTGATCACAGGACTTGCGTCTCAAAGTATGTTGCGATTTATTACAGTTGTTCTTTAGGTGGCGGATTAGCGAGGATCCTGTAGCGGGCGTTAGTACCAGGTTCAGCTGAGGTACGGTTCAGACGTACGATGGCTGAACTGAGTGGCACAGAACGGACAGTCGGCAGCTTTCTCGGTGGATTTCATTTTGTGGAGCTTGGTTGCTGGAGAGGGGAGTGTTGAATGAAATACAGTTCAATTTAACTCGGAACTCCGGGTTGCTTATCAAGTGGGGGGGCCCGGATGGAGCATATATAAGCCACACCCAAGTAGGCCAAGGTGCATATCAATCAAGTTTGAGTCAACAGTGAGAATGACAGTTAATCATATTTTCTTTTGGGCCTCTGCGGCCAAGTACACTTCTCTGCGGTCATTTTATCGTGCCATCCTGCAGCCGATCGGGTACAGCGAGATGATTCGTGTAAAGAACGACGCTCTTATCGGCTATGGCAAGGACTATCCTTACTTCTGGCTCAAGAAGCTGCCGGAAGACAAAGATCCCCTACCAACTCACATCGCGTTTGATGCCCCCAGTGAGCGTTCCCAGTACTGAAATTCTCAAAAGTTGCTAATATAGGCAATTCAGGCCGCGAAGCTGTGGATCAATTCTACCAGCTAGCATTGTAAGTTAGAACTTGCCATCAGGATATAACATATTAATTGCCTATATGACTCGTTGCTAATGATATCTTAGGCAAAATGGCGGGCGAGATAATGGAGGCCCAGGCATCAGGAAAGAGATGAGTCGGCAGCCGTACTATTCGGCTTTTGTATTTGATTTGGACGGGAATAACGTGGAGGCTGTGTATCTTCCAAAATAAATGCTTGTGTTTTCATGCTGTAAAAGGAAGAATATCACATTATCAAGTGAACAACAGGCGCATGCCTGATATTTAGGGTATATGGCCTAATTCAGCTTAACTAGATGGTTAACTAGCTTTATAGTTACTCTGGTAGAAAATTAAAATACCTCAATTACTATGACAATGAGCTTAATGAACAAAGTACCCAAGTTCGCCTGGGCACCTTTTAAACCAGACAGGCAAAATAAAGATATTCTCACTAACTATGCAAATCTCATCGCTATAATTGCTTTATGGGTGGTATTTCAAGAGACAAGATCGAAGACTTCGGCTTTGTAAAAGATGAATGTAAGGAGGCATTTAGACAGTGGGAATAGCTTTAATTTCGAGATTTAGTGGGTCGGAAGGCTTCAATTTCGGGATTTGGACAGTTGGAATAGCTTCAATTTCATTGATATGGATATTTGTACCCGGAGTATGTATAGTCAGAAGAGCTTCAATTTATAGTACGCGGTATGGAGCGGTGCCAGAAGCGGTCTAACATCAGGCATTATTTAGGCCTCAACCATACAAATCAGGCGTGGGCCACTCCGCCCCGTTGCATGCGGACTACCGAGAATCTCTACTAACCGCCATGATATGATCACCCCCCTGAATGTACCTGTGTTTTATATCTAGATTGTCATAAATAATTCCCCTATATTCCATGGTCCTGAATTTAGAGATCTCGCACATTATATCCTTCTGGTATATTTCCTCACTTAGTATTCCCCGTGATCCTGTATATGTTCTCTATCTAGTAGGATAGACAATGGTAACATGACACGGAGTCCGCAATACAACCAAGGAGATGACGTTAAAATTTCATTCCTGATCTTTCTTTGAGCTGCAAGTACTGCAAAAGGAGCTGCCTCACCGTCTCCTCAAAATCGGTAAACTGCCAACCAAACGTTTCCTCCGCCTGCCGGGCACTCAGCCTCCATTTTATTGCCGCCAAAGACCCTTCAAGCGGAAACCTTTTACTGGTTACCTCTTCTGGGAAGAACTTTCTGCAGGCATCTTGAACGTCCCTATCCCATACCACTCCATTAGGAGTATCCGAAGAGAGAATATACTCCGAATTGCCAGGAACCAAACTATCGTCCACTGCATCGACATGTGCGCGGGCGACATCGGCAACATGAACCGGCGTTCCGACATACGGAAACGAGGAGTTGAGTGAGGATGTCAGCGCGGGTGCAAGAACCGCTGCCCGCGTGCCTTGAAGGAGGCTATTGACTGTTGCAGTTGGGTCTGCGTCTAGGCGGTCATCTGGTCCAATAACCACCGAGGGCAGGAGATTGACGAAGTCAAATATCGGGTGCGCATGGTTAACAAATGCTTTGGTCGCGACTCTTGCGAGAGCTTTGGATGCCCAGTAAGCTTCCATTGCAGTGGAGAAAGGACCAGTAACACTGGTGTTTACGTCGTCCACTGAAAGTCGAAATACATTATGAGCTGGCATGCAACTATAAATGGATGGGGTGGAAGACTGACCTGTATAGAGTCGCTTGCTGTCGGGGTTGATATTCCATTCAAAGGGAATCAAGGTCACGCCTATGATGGAAGTTAGTTTCCTTGGTCGGAATAAGAGTTATCAATTGCATACATGAAGATGTCAAGACTACGCGGCGGATTGATGTGACGCGAGTAGCTGCTTCCAAAACAGTAGTCACCATCGAGATGGCTGGCTTAACGATTCCAATATCATAATCATCGGTCTGCGGGATATGTGAGCCACGGGAGACAACTGGTTGCTTTTTGTATTACCTCGATTGCTAATGGTGATGCAAGGTGAATAATGACAGTAATCCCCCCAAGGACCTTGAAGATTGCATCCGATTCGAGAAAGTTTGGAATGACAACAAATTGAAGTTGTTCCTGATCAAGGCTCTGTGCGATCCTCGTACTTTTGTTTTTCAATTCATTGATATTGCGTTCGTTTCGGACGACAGCCCGAACACGATATCCTCGTTCAAGGGCGATTGTGAGAGTCTTGAATCCAATGTAGCCAGTAACACCTGTGATCTGTTCTCGATAAATGAGAGTCTGCTCTCTTGGGTATAATGCGCATAGAGGGTGCTTACCAACAGATGCTCACAGCTGATATCATGGGCCTTGTACGACATAATGGAGGATTTAGAGTTGAACCTTTTAGTTAAATAAAGTAATGTGAAAGTTCTAGTTCTATATAAATAGTCCTGGAATAAATAATGTGGTAGTAACCAAGCCCCCACTGTGCGCTTACCGGCACTCGGAGTTCCGGGTTGCTAGGGATGCTAGGTAGACTCGGGGGCAAGTGATAATGCCAGAACAACAATATAGCATGCCAAGGTTACAAGCCTCATCCGCAAGACAGATAGAAATATAGGCAACTCAAGCAGACGAATGGTCAGCAATTCCAAGTTTCCCTTTACAACAATCCAACGTCAATCTTGATACCAGCATCTTTCAACCGATCGACATATTCCATCCCCAAAAATGATGGTGTCACCACTCCACCACATCTACGGGATTCCTTTCCCGTCCCATCGGCCCTAGTCGCTCGGTCAAGCAGCACCATTGCTCCAACACAGGTGACAAGTGCAGTGAGCTCATACAACGACCCTTCTCGCGAAAAAGATGCCAAAATTCGAGGCGCAACCTTTCCAATCCCGCTTCCAACAGCACGAAACTCCGCCCGCTCCACATTTCGCAGCTGGTTTATATCGGGAGCCGAATCCATGCGCGTTGCGAGCATTCGCATGAGCGAACGGACAAATGGAATGGACAAGAGGACAAGAAGAGCTTTTGTGAGGAGATGCACGAAAACAGCCGCCATTGCACCATTTGCTGGGAGATACTCTTCAAAGTGAAAGTCAGGTCCGTAGAGATCTGGATTCTGGGAGGCACTGCGGTAAACAACCGCCTGATTTCCTGGACCTGTGAAAGACGTTGCCAAAGAACCTAGCTCTAGTGTGTATCGATAACCGAACACACGTGAGATCCAGGATGTATTTGTCTCTTTCCGAAATGGTGCAGAGAGTATGGACGAGTCGCCATATAGGTACCAGCCAGAACCATATGTCTCGAACGTGTCAAGGACCGTGTTCAGAGAGCCAGCGCTCATCGCCTTGATACTGAAAAAGATGAATCAGCCAATGGCCTAAAGGACTGCGTGATGACCGTACTCAAGTTTTCCGGAACTAATGATCTCAGCTGTACCAGTAGAGAATGTCTCTTGCATTTTGTTTGCAATCAACCATGCGATGATGTCTGATGGGGTCGATGTTGACAGGCCTGGTATCAGCTGCCTAATGTCAGCCCTAAGCTGTCCTTGATCCATGGAAGTCATTTGTACTGACCAGTGAACCGTTTTCTCGAGCAACTTCGGCATAGTTCTTAATCACTTCTTGAATCCAGGGGATTTCCGTGGTACTGCAATTGATAAGTTTCAGGAATTGTTCAAAACTAGACATGACTTACAAGTCAATATAGTGCGTGCCAAGATCGGCACATGCTGCCACAATTGGAGTCGAGAATCGATGGAATGGCCCGATCCCGTTGATCACTACTCTTGTTCTCTGCACCAGAGGGTTAAGGCTCGAAGGACTGAGCTCTATGATTTCAATATCTTTGTGGATGTTAGAGGTGACCAAGATAATCGCAATTAACAGTGAAGTCATACCTGGGGACACTCTATTCGGGAAGAGTTGCTTTAACTCCTCCACCACAGTCTCTAGACAAGACAGTGACCTCCCTGCAAGACACCATTGCGTGGTCAAAGGGTAATTCTGCGCGATGAAGTGTGCACACAGTTTCCCAGTAAATCCAGTCGCTCCAAAGAGAACGATGTCGTACATGATTCTGTTTGTATTATTACGCATGAAGAATTGGAATGTGTTCGACGTAAATGTATAAAATCTATCTTTTATAAACCCTAGAGTTTTGCTCTGGTTCAGATGTCTAGAGAAACCGGAGTTCCGAGTTGAGCCTCTAGTCCTATGAAGTTACTCCGGAGTTCTTCGCATAGTTTGGATTCCAGTGTTTTTATACGTTGATTGAAAGTCACCAGAACCGCGGTTCCTTATAGCGCAGACACAGAGCCAAAGCCCACAGATCTAACACACTGTTAGATACTAGATTGACTATAAATAAATAAACTGGAAAATACGTACTAAAACGGTACTTGGAGGTTCTTATTCGGTGTATTTTAGAGAAAACATATATCTTTGATGTGAATCTTCCTAAAACAGAAATACATCACCTGGGGAATTTTGATCATGATCGGTAATTTTGCAATACAACTGTATCACACTTGATGGTAAATCATCTCGATAGTTATGTATGGAGACCTTGTAGAGCTCTGTACCGATACCGGTAATAAATACACCCATCCACAAAAATCAGAGTTTGAAAGTTATCACGCGCGAAGCTTCCACGCACTTTATTCCCACTCTCAGTATATAAGACACCCAAAAGGCCATGGGAGACCGGAATAATTTCCACGAGTTGTCTACCGAGCCGTACGGCATTTTCTGGCAAGAAGACTTTGTCGATGCCGAACACGAGCAACGACTCATCTCGGTCTTTTCCAACGAGCTAGAATGGCCTGACCGCCCCGGTCGGATATCACTGCACTACGGCTATAGCTTCGACTATAAAACATTCGGGATAGACCCCGATATTCCATACAAGGAATTCCCAGAATGGCTCCAACCTCTCATCCCAACAACTGAGGACCGACCTCCAGACCAGGTCTGTCTGCAGTACTATCCTCCAGGCGCGGGCATCCCGCCCCATGTAGATGCCCACAAGCCATATGATCAGCTATACGCGTTATCTCTTGGTGCGCCGGCGATGATGATATTCCGCCGGGGCGACGAACGTATCGAGGTTGACTTAACCCCGCGGAGCATGATGCAAATGAGCGGCGACTCGAGACTGCATTGGACGCATGGCATCAGGAAGCGGAAGAATGATACCCTCCCAGATGGAACGGTAAGGCCGCGCGGGAAGAGGTGGAGCATCACTTATCGCTGGCTCAGGGATGGGGAATGTGAATGTGGGAATCTGGAGCTATGTGACACAGCTCAGCGGAGGAATGGCATTGAAAAAGAGAAGAGATCGGTGAAGGCATTGGCGGAGCAAGCTGCGCTTCAGGAACCGGTTGTATAGATCCAGTTGAGATGGTTTTATGACTTGGACTGTGTAAATAATATTAGAGCGAAGTATACCTGGAACTCGTGTCAATGCTGAGGCAGAGGATGGATGGCTTCCTTCTAAAGGCAACATACTCGATATCCATCTTCTCAACATTTATACAGTCCAAGGCGGAAATGAGGCGCTGCTCATGCTGCTTCTCCAAGCAGCTTTAGACCTGAAGGTCGAAGGTGTCATGAAGTTATCAGCACAGGCATCACGGCAGTTGTATTGCCAGTCCTATATCGAAGCCTTCACGAGCAGCGGACGCAGTTAACAAGGTCGATAAAAGATAATAGACTGGACAGTCTGATGCGCCCACCATAATTGTATCCGCGCGCATTTTGGATGATAGGAGGGAAGTTGTTCTGTCGCATTCAGGTATCAGAAGTAAAAGGCAGTAACAGGGGAGATGAGGGAAGGCACGGACGAATGTGAGAATTGAATTTACGGATGATCACTGGAACATCTGAATAACTTGCATAAGAACCTGTAAAAGAGCCATGAGTGACCTAAAGAAAATCAGGGCGACAAGCAAAGTGATCCTGGCGGACTGGCGGGTTCATGAAATTTGGTATTTCTCCGACCATCTGTCCCAGGAGCCACTTTTCTACTAGTGAGATATTGGCATTGATAGCCACGATTGCTTTACGATATGACATTATTCCAGCCCATCGGCTCTGGAATGCAATACCAGGGAAGACTGAAGACTGAAGATATGAATTGACGGGGAGGTGTATTGATATCAGGTAGGGTCATGACTGGGAGGCCAGGGTAGCAAGGCTATGGGGTGGAGGTTGTATCAATTTCGAATAGGAAGGTCGATGATTTTGAAGCCCAAAGAAGTCCATGCTGCATTCGTACGGTGGACAAGTAAAAGACCTGTCACAAGAGAGAATTGAATATACACCATCCGCAAATTCTTCTTACATCTCCCCGTCTTTCGTCCAGTAACATTATACACGGCTATTTACAAGAAGGCTGCAATAACACAACCAATAAACGCGCCAGACACAAGTCTACTACCCGCATTGATCGACGCACCACCAGAGAAGATGGGGGACGAGGAGGGAGTGCTAGCAGTCTATTATAAGTCAGCCCTGAGTCTACCGGTAACAAGAAGAGAAACCAACCAAGCTTTCAGTAGGTTTTGCCGAAGGAATCAATGACGATGGGCGAGAAGAACCAGAAACACGCTGGGAGCTCACGGAAGTAGAGGAGCTCGTCGTATGAGCCGCAGTACCAGTGGACGAGGTTACCACACCGGTAGTCATAGCAGAATCATGGACATTCTCATGTGTAGACGTTGTAGTAGTACCTTCGGCAGACGTAGTGGTGGACGATGACTCGACCGGGGTGGCATCCAATCCACAGCCAGTAGCAGCCTTGGACACAGAAGTCCCATAGTATTTCCAGATGTCGAACTCAACAGCACAGTTCAAACAATCAGTCAGTTGGGTCTTGAAATCAGCGGTATCACAGTATCCGTCACTACGGCCGGCGATAATTACGCCGCCTGATCTGTCAGTTTCGATCATGACTTGTAGGATTATGGAATGTAGACATACCGCAGTCGGCGTGACAATCATACGCAGCAGTTCCGGGTTCCTGGCGTTTATGCAGAGGGACAAAGTCCGGGAATTCGAATGCGCTGGCACTGATTACAGCGCAGGCAAAAGCGGTAATGCTGACAAGACGCATGGTGGTACTAAAAGATGATAAAACGAGGGACAAATGTAGAATTTGCAATTGTAAAGACTGATGATACAGGCACCAAATTGACGGCACTTCCGTCCCTACTTATTGACCCACGGATGCTCCAAAAAAATGCATTGTCTTGGCTGAATGGTCATTTCGGAGCGAGAACTATCTAATGTGGTACGAGACTTTCAAGAATTGGAAAGTTTCCGGGTGAGATTACCCGTTACGGACATGTCTCAGAGTGAAGATGTGGAAGCGACCTCGGCAGCCGACTAAAGGCGACTAAAGCGGACCTATAAGACCCACCCATCTTATCTAATTGATCTAATCAGATCGGGATCCTGGTTTTTCTTCTCTGCAATCTCTGTCCGCGGGTTACTCCGACTTCAATGTACTAATTTCCTGATATTGGCAAGCCATTGACCCATAATCTATCTTGGCGCGTGACTCGTGACTCGTCCTCGATGGCTCTCTCACAGTGGTTCAACTCCGGCGAGGGGATTCCCGGCCATTACATACAGAAAACTCCGGCCCCAACGCGCTTGGCAGTGGAATCGGATCCGACCGAGACACATCCGTTCTTGAAAATCTCATATATCGGTCACAGCTTTCAAGCGACGTCGGCAGTTACTAGGAGCTTATAAACGACGATGTCTCGGTTTTGCATTGTTGGCTTCGAACCTTTTCTCGGAACAACGTCCTTCTATCATACCTTTGGGTAGATCAAATCTTTTAATATAATGATGAAGAACTACACCGCACTACTAGCTCTCTCAGCAATTGGAGTATGCGCTCATGGCGAAGAGGCGAGCACAGAGATGGGCCCAGCTGCCTTTTTGTGGCCACCCGATCGTCTCTGGGGTGCAGCATATGACAACAGCGCCCCGTGTGGCTCATCAACTGGGGCCGTGAACCGAACAAACTTTCCACTGAGTAATAGCATACCATTCTTTGAACCTCAAGAGGCACATATACTGACGAGACGCTTCAGTCAACGGCAAACTCGCACTTGTACTCCAGGACGAGTCATGGAATGTACAGGTTGCGATCTCTCACAAAAGCAGTAAGATAGCACGATCATTCTCATCTATCCTGACTAACTCTCTCTCTCTCTCTCTCTCTCTCTTAGACCCAACTACCAATGCCGATTTCGAGCCCTTCATTGACGGCTCGAGCCTTTCCGATGTCGAGCCAGGACATGAATGCTACTCCGTCCCCAACCCATCTGTTGATGTGGAAGAGGGAGCGAACGCTACTTTCCAGATCAAATACACCTCGGATTTCGATGCCGACAAAAATGAAACCTATTACGCATGCGCAGACGTCACTTACGTTGCGGCGAGCAAGTTCACCTACCAAGTCCCTTGTTTTAATGTGACAACAGACGAGTTCGCCGAGGTGACGACCACGGCCGCCGCCAGCTCTACTGCCACTGCAAAGTCGGATACATCCAAGAATACCAGTACCACGAGCGAAAAGAATTCTGGTATTTCAGGGGGCGCTATTGCGGGCATTGTGGTTGGGTCAGTGGCTGGATTGGCTATTGGGCTTGCCTTGCTGTTCTTCTATAGAAGACTTCTGCAGAAGTATCGCTTCTTCCGACAGAAGGCATCCACTCGGAATGTGGACTGGAGTGAGGAGGCTGCTAATCACAAAATGGAGGATGAGACTTCGATTGGGCTTCGCAAGATTAGATGATCTCGGTAGGAGTTTGTCTTCTAGATACTAGTTGTGGGAAGGGAAGTGTGCAGTTGGTCTGGTGTTGGGACCGCTAATGATTAATGTTCTTGTGTTTATGTGACTTTCGGGTTCTTTTGAAATTCGGTTCTATATCTTTATATACTGAATTCAACTTGCAAGTTGTTACATCTTTCTATTCGTGTCTTGATGTTGATAGCCGAAAAGGAGGCTAGTATTTGTCACACCCCGGATTCCAAGGTTGTAGAATTCTTACAGTAAGCTTGCCGACGGTGTACAGGGTATTCGGGTGAACAGGATGAAGGGACTAAAAGAGTAGAACGGTACAGTTTCCTCCAAAAATAAACAAAAACATACAACAGTGAGGATTCGCTGGTGGTCACCCACCCAACTACTAACTCACCGGCGTGTGGCTTAAGTACGGCTGAGCGGACGGGAAGCCCTGTTTTCCACACCCTATGGTCGTATGTATCAAGCTAAGCGTGGAAACGGAAAATAGCATGCGTGTAGATGATCCACCTACTGCCACGAAGCAGAACCTTTCCTATTTTAGTTTTGTTCAGGTTAATCATCTCGTCCAACCTGGACCAGGGAAGTGAGCTTCCAGGGCTCTTTGCCTGTACTTATGAAAAATCCATGCTACTATTAATGAATCTAAACGAAGCAAGCTGACCGCCGAACAGGGACTCTAGCAGGTTTGTGCCATCAATACCGCTCATAAGGGAGTTATCGTCAACTTCCCCCGAATTTGTACTTAACCCTCGACTGATGAACTCCTGTGTATATAAGCGAAGCCTCACTCGCTCCCGTAGATTGTGGAGAAAGGTCCACAGTCGTTTCTCTTTGCTATTTTCTTCTGCTGAATCGCTTTTCATCTCAACGTCGGCAATGGTTTCCCAGGCTTGTTTGCAAAGAATGTGAGTATCGACCGATAGATTAGAGGTATCTATTGTGGATAGCTCGTTGATTATATGAAGCATTCCATGCAGTTGGGAGTGCCGGCGAATGTGCCAATGGAACCGTCTGATATTAGGGTCGGCTAAAAGAGTTTGATAGGAGGAGATCAGGTCTTTGGCATTTCCCATAGCTCTGTTTCAGATTAAAATCGAGCACCGATTGGCAGTGATAGCATTGAGGGGGAAGGGGGTTATGACGTACCTTTTTCGAGACGGGCTCCAGTAGCTAGTATTGATGCCATCACGCTCTTTTAGGAATCGATGATATACATGGAGCCGGAGTTTATACCCACCAAGGCGACCAAGTTCCAGCGTGACTGTCTGAATAGGATCGCTAGCATGACAGTATTGTAGGTAATGTCTCTCGACCATTTCCACTGTTCCATCGAGGCACTTCTGGATCGTGTCAGAGCCAGATGGGGGGACAGGGGTTGTAACTAGCTGTCTCAGGCCGAGGGAAAGTTGGTAGCGAACGAGAGACATTGTCATATCGGTGAAACGTGCGTTATTTTTATTTTCCTGTGCTTCCTCGACAATATCCTCGTCGTTCATGTTCCCCGGCAATGCAGGCATAAGCGTGGTAGGCCAAGTTTGGATGCCAATAGACTCAGGATCTACACCACGTGCTTCGCTAGACATGAAGTCGAGGCTTTCAGGGCTATTAGACCGAGCAGAGGTAGCGTTGGCGTGCGCAATACTTACTGGATAATGACGTGCCAAAGTCGCCGGCGAACTTCGACAACAACGGCGCTGAATGGAGCTTGTGCTGGTTTTTGTATTCGCCTCCGGTCTGCCAGTGCCTGTGGATCTATATGGAGAGAGAATGATCGCGCAACACGTAGTAACAGACCAGTTAAGCAGTAATGGTATGGGACATCGGTTTCATCACACGTAATAAACTGAAATATGATCGCGCATTAGTGCACAAGAACAGGTGACTTGGGGTATCGATTCACGTACCAAAAAGAGACAGCAGGCCGAGATTGAGTGGAGACTAGGTCTTTCAAGGAGCTCGGATCGGATCAGACTCTGTTCGATGGCGAGCCGAAGGGCTTGTAAACAGCCCCGCTTGACATGTCCAGGGGCAGTTTCTTGACCTGCAGGCGATGGGCCCCAGTGCTCCTCCTCGGATAAGCTGGCGAGAGCACCGAATAACACGGTAAAGAGAAGCGCCTCGAATGCTGCTGTCGATCTTTTGTCAATTTCATTATCTTGTCTAATTTGGAGATAGTACTCTTGCATCTCCTCCAAGAACGTCGGCTTATGAATGATGCGCACAACTGGGTCCACCCGGTCGAGGAAGATGGCGTACAATCGCTCGGCCTCAGGTAGTGGTGGAATATAAGCATGCGGGTAAAATTCGGGGTCTGGAGCGACAAATAAATTTAAGGGTCGACTCGGCTGTACCCGTTTGAATGGTGGCTGTTCATCTTGGTTCGCGTCTAAGAGAGCGTTGAAATCGGGATGCTGTTTGAATGCCATTCTGTCAATATTGAGCTATGGGCCTGCGAATTCAAACTTGGGTTGCGCACCTGTGCAGCTAATTGCTTCCAGTACGACCCCGACAAGAGGCGTGGCTCACTATCCACAATATGAACATTACCCGCAGTAGAAACAGCAGACCCCTCTGGAGGGGAGCCCTCGGACGCGGTGCCCGCCAATCGCGCGACTACTGCCTCAAGATGACTTAGTCGCTGTGCAAGCTCGTTGTACCCCTCATTGCCTTCGGGCCTTGTTGAATTCGACTCAGTGGGAGTCGGGGCATATCGGCAGGAATGCCCATAACGTGCGCAGTTTTGACACTCGGGTCTTTCGCGACCGCAGCGAATCTTTCGCACTCGGCATCGCAGACATGAGTTGATTGTCCGCTTGGTAGCGGGGATCATTTGAGTCCTTGGTTCCCTGGCTGTCATAGGAGGGAAGCGAGTTTCTGAATGTGCGGGGCCAATTGGGAGTGTTGAAGTGCCTGTATGGTATTGTCCTTCTGATACGCACTAGAAGGGTTAGAGCTGTACCTGTAATACCAAGTAATCTCGGTGGCCCGTACGTTTGTGAGAATAGGCAACCTTAGAACCTCCAGGGCTTTTCCGATGCCTCCGGGCCCCCGGAATGGATCCATCTGCGGGGCCTCCCGAGCCTCTTACGAATCTTCGAACGCAGATAGCACCCATGGATTACATATTCTATTCAAACATTGAAACAATTTTCAATACATGAGAGATTAAAAAAATGTAATAACTATAAAATGGAAGGGCTCCAATATGGCACGTAATGACAAGTAGAGTGTTCTTATATAGGTTCTAGTTCTAAATTGACATTCCTCGCACACTCTAGACCTTGACCATCGGGTTCCAGCCACCCATTTGCACACGAGAAAAGATGAAACACAAAGCGCCAAGAGCCATCATAGCACCAGAAAGGCCGATCAACCCGCCCCAGTTACCAGTGTTATCAGCCACGGCGCCACTAACAGGAATTCCCACCAGAGCCCTTGAGATTGATCAGCCATGCCATTCCAATAACCATTATACTTTAAACACTTACCCAAATGCGAGACATATGCAGGCGACACCAAACTTGAGACCGAGACCGGTCACCTGTCCATCTACTAGGGCGACAACGCAAGGTGATAGTAGAGTGGTATATCCACCGGAGACAAATCCGTAAAATAAGGCGAAGAAGATGATTCCGCTGTTGGTAGGGAAGTAATAGACGGGAAACCAGATCGCTAGTAGTGCAATGGCGGAAAGTGTGCTGACGAGGACCATGACATTAAATTGACCAATGTGGTCAGATAGAAACCCCGGTATAATGCGTCCAATCATGGACCCAGCATTGATCATGGCAAGCGTATATTGAGCCAGGTCTTGCTTCATCCCCTGTTCCACAGCGATGGTTGGTAGGTAGTCGTAAGGAACCAGGAGGGAGAACGTGCAGCAGAAGACACCGAGACAGAAAGCTATCCATGGACCGAGATTGCGGCGCACATCAGAAGGCTTACTTGCGGGCTGATCGGGGGCCGTTGGACCTTCCGCGGAGCATGGTGGACCCAGATCATCTGTGTCATGCTCATGCTTTTCATCCGATTTCGTGGATTCCAAGGAAGGATTGGCGGTTGCTTCCCTTTCTTTGAGGGCAGCCATGCGCGTTGGAGGAAATGGCCCCTCACAGCAAATCACACCGACTATCATACAACAGCCAACGACTAGTGTAGACCAGTGGATCGCTGTTTTGAACCCGTGGCTATCAATCAAACGAGAGACCATGATAGGGAAAATCAGACCCCCAAAACTGCTCCCGGAACTTGCCAAGCCAACGGCAAGTCCGCGCTTTGTTGAGAACCATTGAGTGACACAAATAACCGCAGGAAGAGTTGTGCCAGAGCAGGCTAGACCAAAAGCGACCCCCTGGCAGAGCATAATCTGCCAGTACGTTTTGCAGAGACTAAGCAGACCGAGAGATACAATCCCCAGAGCAACGAACGGGGCCACCACAGGACGAGTGCCGTAGCGGTCTACAAGAGCGCCAATTGGTATGCCAACACCGAAAATGAGAAATACAGCGATGGTAGCGATCCAGCCCAGCTGAGAAGCTGACCGTTCTGGCAACATAACCTGTTTGTAGTATAGAGTGAAGACACCGCATCTATCACATGGTTAGATATCTAGGCCGCAACGAAGCATTTGGTTTTTGGATGAATATCAACCGAAGACTCACGCTGTAACATAGCCGTATGACGAGGTCTGCAATAGGAATGAGCCAAATACAGTCCGCCATGCCTTCCACCCACCATTCGGCGGCTCAAACTCGGGCTTGCTCGCAATAGACATTGGCAATAGAGATATTAATCGTTATTATTCAAGAAATCACTGAAAAATGTGTGATTAAGAATGAACCATGGGAAATTATATGTTATTTATAAGTCTTCATGCGAGAGCCATTGCCTAAGGGGGAACTCTCTGAGCCGGCGGACTTAACTCGAGGCTAGCCTGATTCCTACTTCATTGTACTTTGCACATGAATTAAATGGAGGTTCCAGTAGTGCAAAGCACTTCATGGCCTTTCAAATCACATCCATCCTGGTAGCTAGCGTCGGATGTGGGTCTCGCACGAAGGCGGCCGAGTTTGCCGAGCGCGCTCACTCCGACGGCAGGCATAAGCTTGGAAGGTATATCCACTAATTTACTGCATTTGGCATGGATAAAGCGAACTGTAATTTGTATGTCAAGCTAGAAATAAATGCAGAGTTTCAAATATGCCGTGAGCTAGTTTTTCTCGACTTGGTCTCGATTTTGCGAGTGGAAGAAATTCTTGAAGCCCTAGACTACTAAACTACTCACAATTATGGAGAGAAAGCCCTCCACATTACTTTCGTATATCAAACGAATTGTTGACTGGTCTCTTGTGGGCTTTGTCGAGCTAAGAAGCTCCATTGTTATCGCCAAAAGTCTTGTGCGAATTGTCGAGGAAGCAGAAGTACTTGTGTCTATGATGGACAGGTTGACACAAGTACTTGTCAAAAATGCGCCACATTGTTCTTCTCAGCTAAGCCAGCTCATCCTGCAAAACAGCACGCTTGGCGTGGAAACAAAGCTAATAGCATGCCACCGCATCTCTGCCAACATCCCAGAGCTGTTTAAGCGCGTTGACACCTTGGTATCCAGAAACTCTGAGGTATGCATAACCATGTGCCATGAACGGATTGAGCCAATTGGCAACTATTAAACTCGCCTATCAGGGACTGGCTTTGGAACTACACTCATTTATATGAGATTCAACCAGCATCCTCACAACCAGAGCTCAGCAGCTCTTGTTTTTGCAATGATTTGTAATCTATTACTTGTTTGAACTCGGGTTCTATTTGATCATTTTGTCCATGGTACGCATCTTAAGTCCGGTGTACTCCATGTGCCATCTACCCGCGCTATATAGGAAGAGTATAACCCTCGTCTACAGCTGTGGAAAATTCTCTTTCCAAGCACACTTCTGCTTCTTTTGGGCATTATTCTGAGTGCCGCATTAATATGGGCATGAAACTGGCCGGAATAGCTTTGGGCAGCACCTTCTGAAATCAAGGATCTACATATTACATACAGTCGCTTGGCTTTGGGGTTTCTTTATCATGATTTACCACCCTCTACTTCTGCCTTAGCAGAGATAAGTAGTCTCACATATCTCTATACCAACGCAAAAGGTCTTCCCGATGAAGTGCATTCACTACGTGCGGGAGCACATTTAATGGCACTTGCGATGCGTATTCACTGTTTAAATACAGCGCCGGCTGAGTGGATATGATAGTATTGAAATTGAAGGGTAAAGATGTATTTTGTGGTACATGGCCTCCCTTGATTGGTATAAAGAATCATAGCAGAAGGTTACGCTTAATCCCGCCTGCGATGTCAGTGGGAGGCTGACCGCTCACCAATTAATAAAGCAGTCTTTGGCGATAACTAAATGACTGTACGTACGGATGGCTGTTTGAGGGTAAAAATGGCTAAGTCTTTGTGATCGCCGAAGTGAAGCTAAACGCTCGGAGCCTAAAAAGGCACCGGAACTGCTTTTTGACATGGAAATCCCATAAACAGACGGAATAGGTAAATGTAAACAATCATAAACTCAAATATAAGGCCCATTATCTGGAAATATTCACTATTTCCGCGAATTTAATCTAAGATAATATCAAAAATGGAAGCAACCCAGCCCAAAATGCCTAGCCTAGGATATCATCAAAAACTGGCTCCAGTCTATCAACTGATGTCTTGTACAACTTGGGTAAACCAGTATCCTCAAATGCAACTGAACTGTGGGCCATATCCGCAACAGCCTTACCAGACAAGAATGCAACAGGCATACCATGACCATTGAATCCGGCCGCGATAAACTGACCCGGCTTTCCCGGAATACTACCAACATGAGGTAACGAGTCTGCGCTGTATCCCATAACTAGACCCAGGCATGGAGTTAGCAGAAGAAAAATATACCCACAAATCGATAGAATCGTGTAGACAGGAATGACACATACCACCAGCCCAGACATGTTTAATTTCCGCCTCGCTATCCTCCCACCCAAGGAACGTGCGTTGCATATAGCCATCGAGGTAATCCGCAGCAACTTTAATCAACTTCCCATCATCGGGGTTATTATACCACTCTCCCCGATCATCCTTGAAAAGATTCGATGCTCCGCCGACGATGAGCGTTCCGTCATTCCGGGAGATTTGATAAATATACGATCCCTTGCCAGATCGGATCACATAAGTACCAGGCAGGTCCTGGTGTGGTGCGCCAGGCGCCGCAGTTATCTGGCTACAGATACCCTTACAGGGAATGATAGCTTTGGAATATTCTGGAGCCAGGGCGCTGGTGAATGCGTTAGTCGCGAGGATAATCTTGCGCGCGTTGATAACACCACGACTGGTGGTTACTGGCCAGAATCCATCTGCGTTTGGGCTTTCCCCGATTTCAGATACCGGTGTGTTGGTCTGTAAGTTCAGGCCGTGGGAAACAGCAACACGGATGAGATGGGAAACGAGTTTGTAAGGCCAGAGATGGCCTGCTGAAAAACTGAAGCCTCCCTTGGCATCTCGAACATGCGCTGTCTTAATGCAAACTTCGTCAGAAATGATCTCGAAGATGGACATACTACCCCGAAAGCTCATTCCAACTTACATCTTTGGTCTCAGCTTGAGACATGTATTTAACGTCATCCATAAAGTCCAGTCCCTGCTCGACCAAAGAGTCGTAGAAGGTTTTCGCCGTCTTGAGTTCATCTTCATCTTGATACATATCATAAGAGCGGGTGAAAGTAAGATCACAATCAATGTTTTCTTTACGGACCAGCTCTTCAATGATCTTCAGGTGCGAGATTTCGAACCGGACGATCTCCGCTGCCGCTTCGATGCCATAGCGTTCGGTGAACAAGGCTGTTGCCGAATAAATATCTGGTCTCAAATGCCCACCTACAAAAAGAAAATGGAATGAGCTAGGCTTGTATATTTATATTGGAGGTTATGTGTGGGGCTCACCGTTGCGCCCGGTCGCCCCGGAGCACAACTCCCGGGCCTCAGCCAACACCACCCGGGGAGCTGGATTCTGCGGGTTCTCTGCGAGCAAGCGATAAGCGGCCGAGGCTCCGACATAGCCGCCCCCAATAATTAGGATGTCAGTTTCCTCTGGCAGGTCTGGTGTAGTCTGATGCTTATCAAGAGGATCTGGTTCTGTCCGCCAAAATGATTGGGTATACCCCGCTGCTGGTCGAGGGAAGCATTTTGTATGGGAGTTTGACATGATGATTAGTCGTCCAAAGGTAGTTTAGGAAGCGATTCAAACTCCAGAGATATGCAAATTCAAACACAGGTGCAATGCAAAAGAAAGGAGAAGTGGAGGATGTACAGGCAAAGCGTTATTGGCTCGGAGTGGGTGCGGTGCGCTGTAGCCTATCGCAGAGACGGACTATGCGGGGCTGAGAAAATGGAGCTAATGGGCTACTTTGAATGTATATTCTTGAACTTCATGGTATTGCTAATATTCTTAGGCCCATTGTTGAGGACTTGCTCGTTCCAGATTCGTTGAGCTACCATTCCCGGATTGCCGTTGTTGAGCTTCAAATGTCTCAATGACATCGGGGCAGCTGGATTGTGCTTTGGCTGATTGTCTAGCCATATATTCAGACTCTATCAATCGTGCTTTGAAAAGCTGCTTCCGAGTCTTGGAATGGACAGCGGAATGCAAGCTTTTAGCTAAGCCCTGCCCCGGATACGCTACTAAACCCAAAGCACCTAGAGACATTAGTATAATCCGCTAGTCATGTAGAGATAATGTGCGTTACAAACCTGATGCAGCTTTAGTGCCCATGCCAATAGGTCCTTTCACGAAGCCTTTGAGTGCGCCCCTAATTCCGTCTTTCTGGGCACCCTCATAGGGCTGTCGGAAGATATCAGTGAGTCCATGTGAGAACCCATGCGTGAAGTTATCTGAAGCTGCAGAAACCCCAGACTTGAAGTCCTTGATGTTGTCGTAGTCTTTCACCTCTTCGCCATAGAGTCTAGGAACAGCTCTCAGGCCATCGTTCACTGCTCCAGGTATGTCTACCAGAATGCCCTTGTAGTAGTAGGCTATGATCCTCCCCACGCTTTTGGCAGATCCCCCCACTGCCTTTCCCATAACCCTCCTCTCTTCATCGGTCAGGTTGCTTCCGGAAGTGCCTGAGATGCCATCTGATGGGCTTCGCTCGGGTTGGGGATTGGTAGACTCGATGACCACGAGCTCAGGCTCGCTCTGTTGACGGGCGCGACTGAACTCTTTGTAGGGCCGGATGACGACGTCACTGGATGCTGTGAGGATATCCTTGTACATGCCTAGTAAAGATGATGTGCCTCCCGTGATGGGATCCCATCGCCGAGTTTGAATGAAGATAGATTTACTCTCGTATCTAGTTCAATATCTGTGTTAGCATAGATAAAATATGATGACTGGGATATATGGTCTCACGTTTTCAGGTCCTTAACATCAATGAGAGAGTTTTCAAGCAAGATTCCCGCTGCCATTTTGGACAAATTCACAGGGGAATTGGCATTTTGTTTCAACTGCCATGTAGCAGGCTCAGAATCGAGAAACTGACATTTCATTCGATGGGTCGGTAAGTTGCGATGGAAAGATGCAGCAGCCGCAGAAACTCCAGCTTCTTCGCTCATTTCACGAGCAAGATTACCAGCTGCTGCTAGGGTATCAGTATGCAGGCAAAAGCGGATGGCTTCCGCTAGATTCTCTGCGTTCAAAGACCGGTGTGGTATGGGCATTGGTCCAACTCCACGGGATGCAACCATGTTTCCCCAAAATAGCTGACTATGACAATTTAGCGACAAAATGGGAAAGGCTTGCAGGGAATGACGTACTCTCCAAAGAATGGTACAACAAGAGAGGGCCTTCCAAATCGTAAACCACATGCTGTGGTTCCTGCTCCTCCATGATGTATAACTGCGGCTACCTTCTGGAATAGCCATTCATGCGGACAGTCTCCAAGATAAAAGATCTGATCGTCCGATTGTGCTTCACCAAGATTACTCCACCCACGGGATATAATTGCACGACCACCCCAGGACCTCACTGCGTTGACGAGTGTGGCAGTCATGGCTGGGGGATCCTCGATAACGATGCTCCCGAAACCGATATACACCGGCGGCGGCCCATTTTGAAGAAATGCGGCAAGGTCTGGAGGGGGTGTGAAGTCTGGAGGAGAGCGGAAGAAGAAGCCACAGACGTTGAGATGTGCCGGCCAGTCCGCTGGTTTAGGCATTAATGTAGGCGACCAGCAATAGGTGAAGGGTATCTTCAAAGTCTCTGCTAAACGGGGACCTTCGGTTGCTGATATAGGTTCTAGGTCGATGGTTTTTCTCCAATCATTGATAACATCACCGAGGCTATTGGGAGGTTAGCGTGTCGTATTAGGGATGAGCAGGGGTATCTGGTTATTACCCTTGCCATGTCAGCCATTCGACAATCCCGTAAGAAAGGTAATTGGCCATTTTCGGCTCTGTGGTTGAATATTTGAGGTTTGCCAAGGGATGCGGGAATGACCTTGTGCTGGTCCACGGCATGGTAAACATCATATGTAGAGGGATTCCAAGCGCCTGCGCGCAGTGAATATGGGCGAAACTTGGAGGGTTCGCGATAATAGCATCGGCCACAAAGGGTGTCTTCGTCACCGAATCATCCTGAATACAGGACTCCCAGCATCCCTGCAGTATCTGGCCTACCATAACACGCTTGCGTTGAATATCACCATCTTGGACGGATTTCATCTGTGGTATCAATCCTGGATTCTTCACCATGTATGCCATCAGCTCCGAAGGATCTCCTCCGATACAGTAAAATTCTAGACCGGAGTCGCGAACAAAACTCTCAAATACACCATGTGTGGCTAGTCTTACGCGGTGTCCATGGCGCTGAAGCTCGTTGCCTAGTGCGACAAAGGGCTGGACGTCGCCTCGACTGCCAACAACTTGAATCACAATGTTCAGCTCCAGACCACATCCAGCATCGCCTGAAGGTTCTGGTTGTGGCTGTGTTTGCTCTTCCGTATGCAGAAATGGTATCAACTTCGACACTTCCCTGCCCACTTTAGAGTCCAGGTCGATCTCAATCCGTCCATCATCTTTGAAAAATCAGCAAACGGTTCTCACAGATGAGGCAGAAAGATGAGCACCTTGAACATTTGTTCCATCCTGAGTAAATCGGTTGCGTGCAAGTGTAGAAGGCCGGCGCGGTGGTTCTTCCATGATTGCAGCCGGATGACATCACACGTGGGAAGATCAAGATCTTTCCGATATAAAATATTCGTCAGACAGCTATTTGTGTGTGGAATCTTTTTACAACCCCCCGTGAAGGATCTAATGATCTCAAAAAAAAATAAAGCAGTATATCAAGCGAAGTCACAAAACAAGTGAAGACCATGGTAGCTCCGATGCTTCTGGGCCTATGACGGGTGGGTCTCCGGGGTTGAGGCACGTGATAATTAATCATATCCAATCACTGTTCATCCTATAAACGCCATATGACGACATTGCTGAGGTAAGGCATCAATGTTTCCAAGGTTCTTGTGCCTACAACCCAGATTTCACTTTGTCATATATCTGATCTTGAGAGAAGCAGATATCCATTTTGGGCAAAATGAGAGATAACTTGACTCGGGTATCAATATTTTGTCGAAGGCGACATCCTGCTCTATCTAGTATATATATTGAGTAGGCAAAACCAACTACTAGCATGATGAACTTGGGCTACTACAGTAACAATTTATATTCAGTCTCTGTAAATTCCAAGTTTTTGTCTTCATTTAGGCAGTTTTCCATGTTTTTCATATTCTCTTTCCAAATTTATTTACTTTTATTCCAGAGATGCTCAAAACATCGTCCAAAACATTAGGATCATTTGGATCACTCGCATTTAAGCATGGATATTCAGAAATCGTGAATTAGGAGTGGAGAGCCAAGAAGTCGGTGTCACTGTTGAGGACATCCCATACCGAGCTATCCAGAGATAAATTAACATCAACAGCACATGGCAGACTGGGACCAGCCAAATAATGTCCGTTAATCTGGCGTCGGGCCAACTGCTCCTCGGTTGACATGATAATTGCGTAACCATCCACCCTATGGCTTTCACTGAAAGCCGGCGACACCAGATCGGGGGCAACCCGCCTGCCATTAGCGGCGACTTCAAAGTCAACCCCAATGTACGTCTTACCCCTCGTCCACTGGGTAGCGAGGAAGCTACCATCTGGCACCATGTTCTTGGACTTGACATGACTTTTGTTGGGCTGTGCGGCAACCCATTCAAACTGTCGCTTAACCTCCTCCATGTCAACCGAGCGAACTGCACCATGTACCACCCGAGTAACCTGCCAGAGCGCGCCCCTTGCAAGTAATTCGTGCGAGGCGGAAGTTGTGAGACAGTGGACGGCATTTGGAAAGTAGCGTGCGGGGAGCTTCAGACGGGTGGAGTCGCGCATGTCCATAGTTATCCAAAAGCCACGAAGTGACTGTAGTGAGTCTAGGTCGGATGTGAGTCTCCCACCACGCAGAATCCGAATTCGCGCTTGGTAAATTCGTTGGTAAAGGTAAGCCGAGACGACCTCGAACGTGGTGAATGAGGTTTTTCCCTTGGTGCTGGGATCAGTTGCAGCATTTTTGAGTGAGATCAGATCTTGACCCTGAAAGCGCAGATGGCAAGCGATGACAGTGGGAGGGACTAAAGCTTTATGCGTGTTCGTGGTGCTTGTGTCTAGGTAAAAGTTTGGAGGTTTGAATGCAAGGGCTGTCTCCTTCCGACTGGCCGATGGGCTATTTGTTCCTCGAAAGTGTGAGATAATTTCAGGGGGAGAGATGAGTGTTGGCGGAGAAGAGTCGCGCAGCTGTCTGTAGATATCAGCGAGGTCGCGCACGAGCTGCATAAACCCAGTGGCATCGCAGACTAGGTGATGAACTCGAATGCCGAGTGCGACGCCTCCACAGCGAAACCGCGTGTGCTGGATGGCGAAGATGGGATTGTGGGAGGTAGCCCCCTTTGTCGCATGGAAAATAGGTAAAAGTGCATTTCCAGAGTCTGGCAGTTTGCTTACCAAGATACGGGCGGAAAGAGCAGATGCGGCGATATTTCTGAGCCTTCTGGGGCACTCTGCCTCCCAAAGCTCAGCGCCGGTGCCCAGATTACCGATTTCTGGTGCTTGGCTGACTGTATTCTGCCGAAGACGGCCAGTCAAATGTGGATAATAGTCCAGGAGGTGGGATACAGCCACCTTCAACCGTTCAACCGGAAGGAAGTTGTCATCTGGTAGCGTTGTTGGTTTCTTGTAGACGAGGATGGCCTCGATAGTCAACCTGGCGGGCACGGTGTGGTCCATTGGCCCTAGGCTAAAAGGAGACTCGAGCGTGGCGATAGTCGCATCATTGGCGCAGTTAAGCGTGTGCCGCGTAGAAACGCGGACTTGGTCGAGTACCATCGCTGCGATTGGACTAAGCACAGAAAATGATCACGAGATAATCAAAATGAATAAACACGCAGATGGTGAAGGATGAAAGATGACAAGGATAAAAGAGGATGAAGATGAAAGAGTGAAAGTTTGTTCTGCTTAAAGCAATTTGGGCAACTGTCACTTCATCCCACCTTTACCTGCGTTGTTGGGATGAAGCTTTTTGACCCCTTCAATAATGGAATACAAGAACATCTGGCATCTTCCAACAGTTACTTTGGCTGCATAGACTATCAAAGAAATAAATATAGAAAATCAAAGAGATGCAACTCCGTAGTGTAAACACATATTGAACAAAGAAGCGGACCCATAAATGCTCTTTTAGGCTCTTCACAAAGACAGCCAAATCCGGGGAGCTGAAGTCCTATAATTGGTATCGATTGTATGTGAGATACTTTGCAGAATAATTGAAGTCTAGAATCCAAAGTTCATAGAATCTTTGACATATATGAAGTAGGACTATATAAAGAAGGTACCATCTAGGTAACGTCTACCTTCCCTTTTTCGGCTTGTCACGCACCCCAGTTCATCACCTTCAACCACTGGCAAAATATAAACACCTGTTGTGCGTAAGCAGCAGCTGCATGGCAAAGTATGGTGCAAGTCCTGATCTCTGGAAGTCCTGATCTCTGGAAGTCCTGATATTTAATGGAAACACCATAAGATCTTGATGAATTGGGGTAGAAAAAGGGCCTCATAACCTGCTGTTCTCTAAAGGAGAGATAGGAAGAAGCTAAATTTCTCCGCTATATAATCTATGGGAATTTATACTGTCTGGCAAACAATCGTCAAACAATTGCTCAGTCTGTAGCAAACAAACAATTGGGATGGTCCAATGTCCCAACGATTCCTGCCCGCCCTCCCTAACTTCATCTCTTTTATTTCTTCCTTTCTCAACACTTAGGGTCCACATTACACATCGTGGTTCCTGTATATTCAACAGATGTCTGCTGTGGTCCAGCGAAGGAAGCACCCCCCGAGAACGCTAATGGGTCTCCACTGGTCACTCAGGCTAGGCTGTAAATGGCACGAAACAAGTACATGCGGGCTACCGACTGGCGATCTTCGGGCATCTGAGACGCTTTTTCTATGACCTCTTTTGATACAGACGGGACGTGTTTGGGTGCTCCCGTTGTCCGCCGGGAGCCGAACCAACCTTAGAATGGGATCTGCTCTCATCTCCTTCCCAACTTTTGGAACCTTTCTACATAGATAGCTCTCTGTTGTCCAAAGAACTTCCCGAGAACATTTGTTTTCTTCGATGTTCCCATTTATGGCCCCACATATTCCTGGTCTATCCTTTTCGTTGTGCGCCATCCAGATCTTTCTATTATGAGCTTGACGGCACTCGCTACTAACATGAATCTGCGTAGGTGGCGACGACTTCTGAAGTGTGAAGGGGACAATTTGTCATATGGGTGCGAGTGAGAATGACATACCATATCGGACGCGGATTGTAAAGTCTCGTTAGTGATACTATACTCGTAATATGTGAAGAATGAATATACTCTAAGTCTAAAGATCATTTTATCTTTTTCTACGAGTTATCACTACCCCGCCTCGCTGGGAATGTAACATCAGCCTCCTGTCTGACTTTGGAATGTAGGCACCGGTGCCTAGCTAGTGCCTAGTTAGTACACATGCGGCTTTGGTCAAGACCGCAATGACAATAAGTGTTGACAGCTACATGCGGCACAACTCTCATTATTGCGACTGATGGCTTGTACAACCTTCGCGCGGACAACACAACAATTCTTCCAGTAAAAACTCCCAGACAGATGTTGATAAAACTGTGGGTCACTTTTAGTCATACATAGTATATAGTTATATATGTACGACTAAAGAGAGCCGCTGGTGAGATCTGACCAATCAGTGACCAAAAGTTTGCGGACGGCGCGGGGCGGCTCCGACCAAGAGATCCACTTTGGTGCGGCTCCGACGTGGGGACATGAATGTTCATCCAGATATTTAAAGGCTTCATGTCCATCTCAATCACAACTTACCATTCTTCATTCCTATTCGGCTTTAGCACAACTATATTATGTCCAATCCTTCAATCGTCATTGTGCCAGGCGCATGGCACCGGCCTGCACACTTCGAGGGCCTCATTGATGAGCTTGCAAAGATCAACTACGATGCAGAGGCCGTTACCATGCCTTCTGTGGATTCTAGTCCGCCACTTGCTACCTGGGACCAGGACGCACAGGCCGTCCGAGAAATGATTATGAGCAAACTGGATGCCGGAAAGGACGTCGTCGTGCTCGCACATTCATTTGGCGGCATCGCCATGTCCGAGGGAGCCAAGGGCCTAGGAAAAAAGGAGCGAGGTGCGCAAGGTTTGAAAGGCGGGATTATCAAGCTGGTCTACATGTGCGCAATGGCGTTGCCTGAAGGCCAGAGTCACATTGGACACTTGGTCCCGCAGACGCCTGAAGAGGAAGAGGTTGAGCGTCAAGGCAAAGAGCTGGAGTTGAAGTGCGGCGGGTTAGAAGTAACATCGGTATGCACACGGGATTCTTACCTTTATATCTTCAAGGCTAATCACACCCAGGACGGAGCAATGCTGCTTCCGAAGGATCATATCCACCTCATCTTTTATAACCGCTGCGACCAAAAGGATATCGACAGGGCCGTTGGATTGCTGGGCACATTCCCCATGGGCCCATTAGCCGTTCCTGTCACGTACACTGCCTACCGTGAGATTCCGAGCACATACATTGTCTGCAAGAACGACATGGCATTGCGGGAACCATTCCAGCGGAGGATGATTGCGCAAGGGGAGGGCTGTTTTGAGGTGGAGGAATGCGAGGAGGGCCACTCCCCATTTATGAGTAATCCAGGCTTTATCGTCGATTGTGTTCAAAGGGCAGCCGGAGAGAAGGTCTAGAGATGGGACGGTGTCGACTAAACCAGGCCGACATCTCTGTCCGCCCAGAGATTTCCAGTGGTATAATTTGCCCTGAGCTGTGTACGATATTTGTATTTTTTGATGTTTTATGATGGTTCTCCTCTCTTTCGATTGAATGTAGTTGTATTTTAAATGTCGGAGTATTCCTATTGTATAATGTATAGGTCCAATCAATGATATTCAACTCTCTATATTGCTGTATCCACTATTCCGGCAATTTATACTATCCCGATTACATTAGAAATATTGCAGTAACTATATTTAGGATTAATAAATCCTCCGGTATACCGGCGTAACTGGACATTTGAACATCAACCTCATACTTCAGGCGTATTTAAGGCATCAGTGGGGGCGCGGAACGGAGAAATAGTCCAGCCGCGTCAGGAATAACCTCAATGCAGTGGACGCTACCGCGGCCTGTAGTTAACATGTAGACACGGAATGCCTGGAGACCTCAATTCTCCAGCGGCGTCGACATCTCCCGTAAATCAACCGCGGCGCCAAAACACAAGTTGTGATCCATGCAGGCGTTCCAAGCGACGCTGTGTTGTGCAGTCCAGTCCGGACGGAATTTCTGATGCGATCTGCGGAAATTGCAAGCGTCTGAGACGTCAATGTACATTCGAATTCGCTATATCCCAGTCCAGTCCTTTTTCCCACAGGCGGCAGAAACGCAAGTACGGGGAAAGCAGTGTATCAACCACGCAAAATGAATCGAATGACATCGATACAACGATCGAGGATGTCGCTGGAAGCCCGAGCCATCGATTCGATGCTACCTCTGTCGCTGACCAAGATATTCTGGCGGCTTGGCTGAACCTTGATTACGATGGGATTGTGGCCGATAGCGCCAACGCGTTTTCAACCAACATCGAGCCTTCTGACTCATGCACTGCGCTTCGTTCTGATTACATAGTGCCAGCACAGGCCCAGGGTGGGGGTCAGGGTCAACTGACCCGCTTCCACGAAGGCCAAACCACCGGGTCAAATCATCACCGACCAGTTGTTGGCCTGTCATTCAGCAGTCCCATCCACCTACTAAATTCCGGAATAGACGCAAAGATATTTGGTGATCGTCTCGCCCGGATATATGAAGCAATCGCAACAGCGAGTGCGTCAAGGTTTTTGGACTATGACTGCAATCTCTATGCAACTGGGAGTCGCTACCGGATGGGAGATAGTGACTCAGGAAGCTCAAATGGATCGGCACCTGCTAGGTCAACCGTAGATTCGACCGCTATCTCTCCCCGATATGGTCTTCCGGTATCATCGCAAGCACTTCCTTATGACATTTCATTGCTTGGAAGTGTTCGGTTCCTTGATCATTTGGGCGACCTCTATGGTAATCGACTGAACTCGGTCGCGCGGAAGAAATCAGATGAGACTTTCAAAGCAGTCCTTCGGGTATTCTCGATGCAATGGTTACCGAGCTCCGCTCATGATCACTCTTCTCGGAATTTAAAGTCTGGAGAAGCAGGAGACTCTTCCTTGGACGCCTTCATAGATGCTTGGGTGCGAGCAAGATCACTTCTCAGCGATGCGTGCGAGGTTCGATCATTTCGAGTTGTATTGGCAACCCTCATGTTTGTTGGTATTGTTATACCAACTAAAATAACCGACAGAGAGGATCTCGCACCGAACCACTTTCTTGACACGGCTTTGCAAAAGTTATCTTACTTAGATGGACTTGTCACACAATACTGTGCTAACCTGGGACCGTCATCTACATATGGCGCTCTGGCTGAAGCAAGCTTGAGTATTGTCCGGTGGACTGCATATATCCGCGACACGGGGGCAGCGTTAGCGATGGATCGTAAGTGCAAACTTCCAGACATATGGGGTACTACAAAAGGTCAGTGTCCTGGTATGGAGATATTGGATTCATGGCAATGAACTAAGACTGTACAGTCCTTTCAAACAAAGATGCCGTGGCAGCGTTGGCAGTCTCTCAAAATATCCTCGAGTTGGATATCAATGTTCAACATATCTGCCGGAAAGCTAGTGCAGAAACATTCTGTGTCTGGAGGCAGATTATAAACATCAAAACCGTTGCTACCCAGACGTACGGCACTGTCAATGAGCGGTCATCGTCAACAATTGAAGCAATAAAGTTGAGCGTGGCGGCTGTCCGTGACTTCAGCGAAACATTCCAACCTTTCATCCTTCATTGCATCAAAAATTTCCATTGCCTGTCCACGTGTCCTAGAATATCCCTTGGTAAGTTACACTCTTACCAATTTGCCCACTTATATTTTCTCTCGCAGTTCTATCGCCGATGTCTCTCTGACAGGTCTTGCCTTAGTTTCCCTCGTGATGTTCTGGAACCTTGGCATTTTTCTCCTCGCGGAGGTCTTCAAAAAGGTGACCAAAGATCTTGATCGCTCTTTCAGCCAAGAAATAGAGCTAGCCGTCCGGGAATATCAGCGGGACGCAACCTCGTGCGTGACGCAGGTCGTCGAATGCGTATTGAACTTACCCGCCGAGGAAGCCTTCAATCTCCAAAATGGACTAGGTGCAGAAGTCCCACTCACGGCCTATCATGTCACTCCCAGTTTGGCTGTTACGGCCCTTCAAAGAGCCATTGAGAATGTGATAGACCTGCAGCTGTACTCCAATTGTGATGCTGGAGTATCAGACGACGATGCACACTCTTTGATACCAGACGGGATATGGGATCGGCAAATCGATGTTCTCATGAAAGGACTCATGTCGCTTGACGTTACTATTGGCGGGTCACAGACCTGTGGCGTGGCCCTCAGGGGGTTGATGCACAACCACGGGGATATACTATCTGAGTGCTGGATTTCAGGGTTTGACTCATGACATGTACACGAGGCGGACACACAACCGAGGGACCAAGGACGCATGAAATGAGGGGAATGAATAGGTGACTGTTGATCGACGTACGTCGGAAACAAGTACATCCTGTCGATATTTCTAAGATAGAGAAGCGTCACAAAAGGGATAGTAAACCTAGCCCGGAGGCTTTCATTCAAAGTTCCGATTGGCTCTAATTTTATCGAGCTACGCTACACACTCACACACATGCAGACCCTGCACGCTACACTGTGGCGCGCTTGCTTTCGATTAAATTGAATCTGCCCGTGGCCAACTTAAGTGTCGACTGTTCCTCTCAGGGTCACGGTTTTACCCACACAAGCTGGACATTTTCGAGGCCATGGGAAATGACCTGCTGTGTGCTCAATCCCGTTTTCATGGTATCACTTGATTTCAAGGAAGATCTAGGCGAGAAGGACAAGGATTAGACATAAGGCAAACCTGTCTATTGGTTCATGGTAGAAGATGACACCAACAACAATCCTGGCCCGAAACGCCACTAAATGCTTGGCAACGGCACCGTCAGTCTCATCTCAAATTCTCGGGCTGAAGATTAGAAATAGGTTGACACCATGCAGCGCTACTGGTTGATAATATAATTACGTCTCGAGTCAGGGAATATTTCGAGTTTCTTTTGGCGACTCTACATGCACCCGCAATGATTAACAAGCTGGGCTTCAATGGAAGGCCCCCAACACATGCATATTCCTCCCCTCATGCACGGCAGAGAATTCCATCGCATGTCTTGTCTTTTCGAATTGCAGATCTGCTACAAATACCCCTCGTCTATCAAACCCACTTTCTGAAACCAATGAGCATTGAGACTAAGTACCGACTAATGCAAGACGGGGGGTTCCAAGGAATCTATGCAGAATTATGAAGTACCACAACACGGCTGGCCGGCCCGCTAATGTCCCTTACCGAGGTGCTTTGATTCGCCCTACTCCCAAATGGAACTACGTCTCCGGAGCCAAGTGTACAATGAGCACACCTATGGTCAATCGGTGGGGTACTGCACGTTGAACACATGTGATGAAAAGACCGAGAGGTTGTCAATGAAGAGGTTTGCCCCGCTGGCAAGGAAAGCAGGCTGTACGCCATCACCTTTCACACTAGGGAGTATGCACACAGCTCAAGTACAAATATCGAGACAATCCAGGTCGATATGCTTACGATCTCAAGGTATCGTATCTACTACAGCCCATCGTGACTATGGCACCAGTATCTTTCGACCTCTTACAGATTCCCTTTTACGGCCTTGTCGCTGGGGCTGTCTTCATTACTTGGTCTTTAACGAAGAGTATACAAGCCTTCCACAGTATGTAACCGTTACTCATTGACAGTGAGCCAGAACTCAGACTGAACACTCATACAGGATGGAGCTACGCTCGTGAGAACGGCTGCGAACCCCCTGCGCACTCAGTGTGCCACGGCTTGTTCGGCTTCGGTATGGCCATGGAACTAACCAGAGCCGGCCCCGAGCATAGATTTCTTGAGCTTATCCGCGGCTGGCATCAAAGCTACGGTCCGACATTCAAGGCGAGAATGGCCAATCGAAGGCTCATTTTCACTACCGAACCACAGAACATTCAAACAATCCTCGCGCTAAAATTCAAAGACTACTCAGTGGGTTCGACTCGTCTAAATGCAGTCCGCCCATTCTTGGGCAATGGCATCTTCAGCGTAGACGGTAGCGCGTGGGAACATTCGCGGGCTCTCCTCCGGCCTAATTTCTCGCGCACTCAGATTAACGACACTGAGTTATATGAGAGCCACATTGTCGATCTCATTGAGCAAATTCCACGAGACGGATCAACCATCGATTTGCTCCCACTGTTTCTCAAGGGCGTATGTTATCACTTCCTGGCATTTTTCAAGACATGTGACTGATCAAGAGCAGACCCTTGACACCGCTACCGAGTTTTTGTTCGGAGAGTCTGCTCACACGTTGCGCAAAGAAGGGTCTGCTGCGGGTGCAGCGTTTGCAAAAGCCTTTGATGTAGTCCAAGGCGTGACTGCCCTGCGCTTCCGTGTCGGGCCTTTGGCGATGTTCTACCGCAAGAAAGGATTCAACAAAGCAGTGAGAGATATCCGCACCTATGTCGATCGATTTGTTCAAAAGACGATCGATTACCGTGTCGCAGTCGATAGTGGGCGCAAGGTTGATGAAGATACCAAACAACTGACTGACAGTCGATATGTGTTTTCCTACGAGCTGTCGAAGCAGACACTTGACAAGACCAATATTACAGACCAGATATTGAGTATTATGTTTGCTGGTCGCGATACGACTGCCAGCCTACTGAGTATTGTGTTCTTCATTTTGGCTAGACGGCCTGATGTGTGGGACAGACTTCAAAAAGAGGTCGTTGCTTTAGATGGACAAAAGCCATCATTCGAAGTTCTCAAATCGATGACCTACCTGACCTGGGTTCTGAATGAGAGTAAGCAACCCTCCTTCCAACTCTGTGTATGCCGTCCACTAATTAGTCTGCAGCTCTACGTATGTACCCAATTGCCCCCTTCAACATACGCGAAGCCAAGCAAGACACATATCTTCCCGTCGGGGGCGGCCCGGATGGAAAGTCCCCCGTTCACGTACCCAAGGGTCACGAGGTTGTCTTCAGTGTATACACAATGCACCGCGAAAATGAGATATACGCGCCCGATGCGGATGAATTCCGGCCTGAGAGATGGGAAAGTCTCAGACCCGGTTGGGCGTATCTCCCTTTCAACGGAGGTCCTCGGACGTGCATAGGCCAGCAGTTCGCATTGACGGAGGCTGGATACACTATTGTTCGGATTATGCAGCAGTTTGAGTCAATCGAAAATCGAGATCCTAATCCCTGGACGGAAAATTTGGTGTTGACGTTATCGAACGCTAATGGAACGAAGGTTGCTTTGAAGCCTGTTCAGAACTGATCAGGAGAAACGATTATGGTGCCAATATCTCAATTTTCTTTTTTTTTTGCTGTTTGTTCTAATCCTTGTAGCTTGAATAAAGCACTATGTTACTGTATTATCAAAATCACAAGGGTGTGTTCTTGGATTCGTGATCAGGTGCATCAGGTGCTGAGTCCACATTTGCACTTCTGTCTTTCTGGGTGCCCCGTCCCGTGTGTTGTTTACATTTTGAGTAGAACCGGAGGTTGTAAAACGTTGAGCCGTGAGCGGTAAACTGGCTGTTTAGACTTTTCAGCCTGGGGCCTGTGGAAACGAATGTCTCATTAGGGCGCCTAAGCCATTTACCCAGGCAGAAACATTTCTTTCACGGCCCACAACCTGCCACCCAATCATGACAGACGAACAAAATAGTCGGCTTTAGTTAGCAGCTTTCGAACTTTCAAACTCCTAAGGCTTTTTGGGTGTCTTCTCACGTGTTTTTTTTTTTTAGCTATCCCTCTCTTTCTAGTATCATAACTAGGAGGATGAGAATAATTAGCCGCAGAATATAGGATATAGTAAGAATGTTGTAAATATGCACCTAAATTTTTCATATAGAACATGTGGTAATATTGGTGCCCTAACTGCCACACTAAGATGATATCGCCCTAGGAAAACGAACACCAGAAAAAGAAAGCCCCTACGGGCCTTTCCGGGCTAAGTGTGGAGATCTCCATCCACAAAATTATTTTCTATACCGAATGAAAAGATCACGGATGTGAGAAATCAGAGTTATAACACATTATCTATCCCTAGCCTTTGGAACAGAGAAAGGCAGGGCATACATTCTAAATAGGTCAGAAATGCACTGGTGAGGACCATCTTTCAAGCTTTCAAAGTTCCGAGCTATAGAAAACTTGAAAGCTTGTACATGTAGCCAAGCTTCTCTCCCGAAAACCACTGGACGTATAACCTTGGTTTATCTGACAATATTTATCTGATCGTAAACTTATCTGATCATAGATCAGATTTATCTGATCACGCCACACGGGCTGAAAACCTTGGAACCCCACCCTAATGTTTATGTGGGTATGTACCTGTTATGTTTAACCGCGGGAAACCCTCGGGATAATTTTCTACTGCACGGGTTAAACTTCCTTTTACCCCTTTTTTACCACCCATATTGAGGCCTCAAGTCCTATAGGCAACCTTCTCTTACACGGACGAAAGGGTCTAGAATTTGATCTAGGACTACGAGAGCTTAAAAAGCCGTCTCCGCCCTTCCACCCATTCATTCTGTGTTTTTTCGATCCCGCAGGCTTCCGCAACCTACGCGGTGCTTCCAAGCTCCATGGATTCGGACACAATGACCACCATTAAAGGTGCCACCACGGAGCACCCACAGCCATTGAACACGGACGGGTCAAAGGTCCCAGATAACGAGATTCAGCAAGATGGTGTTCAGATTGCTGAAGCAGTCACAACTACGTGGTCCCGCAAGCACCTCATTATTGCTTATGGCAGGTGAGCAAGCTTAATTAAAAACTTTGTTCCTAAAAGACAGATTTAATGCGAATATAGCATGTGGCTGGTGTATTTCGTCAACAATCTCAACAGCAGTCTCACCGCAAATCTCTCCGCGTACATTACGAGTGAATTTTCGGAGCACTCACTATTGACCGTGATTTCTGTGGTAACCAGTGTCATGGGTGCGGCATGTTTGATGCCCATCGCCAAAGTCCTGAACCTTTTTGATCGAACCGTTGGATTTGTGATCATGATTTTGATTGCAATCATGGGTTTGATCATGATGGCTGCTTGTGACAATATTGCGACTTATTGTGCTGCACAGGTATGTTTTCATCACACCCTCCACTGCCCGGGGTCAAAATCACTAATTGACCGACAGTCTTTTTATACTGTTGGCCTCACCGGCGCCATTTTCTGCATTGACGTGATAACCTCGGACACCTCATCGCTTCGTGATCGAGGTCTTGCTTATGCCTTCACCTCCTCTCCTAGCATGATCACAGCCTTTTCCGGCTCCCCTTTATCCAACCAATTTCATGAAACCAATTGGCGATGGGCATATGGGACGATTTGCATCATTCTCCCTATCGCTGCACTTCCTTTAATTGTTACCTGGGAACTGGCTAAACGAAAGGCCGACAAGCAAGGTCAATTACAATACAAACAGAAGATAGCGCGATCCTGGCAAGCAAGCATTTGGTACTACGTCATAGAATTTGATGGTGAGTTCACGTTTCAAATCGGTTCCCTGCATCTTTACTCACCACTCTTCACTCCGCACAGTCATCGGAATCTTCCTAATGATAGGAGGCACGATTCTCTTCCTGACATCTTTCAATATCGCCGGCAACACCGAAGGCCAGTGGCAATCACCCAAGATCATTGCTATGATGGTTGTGGGATTCTGTGTTCTCGTGGCATTCGTCGCTTACGAGCGATGGCTGGCGCCAAAGCCTTTCATTCCATTCCATCTAATCACCGATCGCACTGTTATTGGCGCATGTCTACTGGATATTACCTACCAGGTCTCTTATTATTGCTGGGCCAGCTATTTCACCTCCTACCTCCAAGTCGTCTACAATACAAGCTTGACACAAGCCGGTTACATCAGCGCCATTTTTGATTTCATGGACCCGGTCTGGCTTATTGGCTGCGGCTTTCTCATCAGAGCAACTGGTCGCTTCAAGTGGCTCCTCTGCTGTGCCTTACCTCTCTACCTCCTGGCAAGCGGTCTGATGATTTATTTCCGCTCACCAGGCCACAGCGTGGGATACATGTGCATGTGCCAAATCTTCCTCGCAGTAGGTGGTGGAACATTTATTCTGATCGAGCAGGTTGCTGTTCTTGCTGCAGCCTCGCACGAAGACTATGCCGCCATGTTGGCACTTCTCAGTACGTTTGGAAACATTGGTGGTGCAGTGGGAAGTAGTGTGTCTGGCGCTATCTGGACAAACACGCTTCCTGTTAAGCTGCGTGAGTACCTTCCAGCCGAATTGAAGGAACAGTGGTCGGATATATACGAGTCGTTGGACATACAACTCAGTTATCCGGTTGGCTCTCCTGCTCGCATTGCTATCCAGAATTCATATGCATTCAGCCAGCGATACATGATGATTGCCGGCACGGCGGTAATGGGACTTTCAATTGCCTGGGTGCTTATGATGAGAAATATCAAAGTCCAGTCTAACAAGGATCTTTCTAAGGTGCTTTTCTGAGTGGCTGGTCAAAAGGAGACCACTTAATTCCGATAGACCCTTGGACTCAGGGAGTGGAGTGGATGGTGCAGTGTCAAGTCTCGATTGACGGGATGAAAAAAAAATTATATCAACTTAGAGCGGTGAAGGGGCAGAGCAGGGAAGAAATGGTATATACTGAGAGCTAGCTTCCCCCTTTGTTTTATTATCACGCCTAATGTAGACGTGGTGTTGAAATATTCTTGTGCGTGGTGAAACGCTATCAAATAGAGAGTGTCGGTAGCTGTCGGTTTAATCGGTAGACCCAAGTAGGTGGACAAGAAGTGGCAGGATGTGAGTAGTAGAATAGAAGGGAAAAGTTCTCGAGCTACAGACTAAATACCAAAACGAGAGTAAAGACTTTTGTATTGTAACGCCCTGAGAAACAAGTATAACTTTTTGATAACCATACACCATACACCATATACACCATAGCTCCAGCCATAACTCCGATGCCCAGTGCCGAATGTAGGGACTAGTTCGGAACAAGACTCAAACGCTTGCACGATGAACATTCCGGATATGCGCAGTCAAATTATCCTTTCGATTGAACGACTTGCGGCATTCTCCCTCGGGGCATTCATATAAGCCCGGCGAGATGTGCTTTGTTTTGATGTGGCGTAGTAGGGCCCCCATTTGAGAGAATCCACCTGAGTATTCGCAGTGCTTCCATTTACACTTTAGTGGGCTACCACGGCTCGATCTGCGTAAATGAACGTTAGAACCCATAAAAAGGATATCTCAGAGGAGCAGAGAGTAATTCCAAAAGAAACATACTTGACGCCCATAGAGACTTTGCCATAGGATGTAGGAATCCGGAGGCTATCATCTGGGCCAGGGGTCGGTCCTTGCTCTTCTTCCGCAGTGGAGATGATTGTAGAGGTGATATCAGACATCCCGTCGTGGAGATCAAGGCCCGGAGTATCAGCGGCAGCAGTGCCCTCAACCGCGAAGTCTTTCTCGTATTGGCCATCGGTGATCTCAAAGAAAGCTCCGAGTGAAGCGGAAGCCGCAGGGTCAGGGGTGAGGGGGGCGGAGGGGGATTTGAAAAAAGCGCCATAAGGAAAGTCATCCACAGCAGGGGACCAGTGGTCAGCGAAAATGCAGGAGAACGGGGGACCACTTTCGTTCCACTGATAACCTCCCTCTTGGTCGAGGTACGAGAAGTCATGCTCGAGTGGTTCTGTCATGGTGTAGATCGTGGTTCGCAAAAGCGGAAGGTACCAAGCTGAACGAGTTTCATGTAGAACAGGAATGATGAGAGCGACCTACACAAAAATGCGGGGGAAAGCCTAGGGTATCTACAAGTTATATACTGGGCCCTGGAAGGGTTCGCGATGCCCTACCTGGGTGCCTTGCGAGGTATTTTGGCAGAGTTTTCATCACCCCAGTGCCACACGTCACACCGATTGGTGACCTTAGCAAGAACTTTGAGAGGGGGTAGCTCAGAGAGTGGCGCAGGCACGATATTTGACAAATTGAATTCTTGTGACATGACTGGATGCGCACTGGATGCGCACGTTCAGGGAGACATGATTGGATGCGCACTGGATGCGCACGTTCGGGGATTGTTCAGGTGCCTTGAAAACGGCTTACGTGAAGAAGAGCCCCAAGTGTCAATTGGTCTGACAGCATCGAAACTGTGGCTGTGATTTCTATTAGTTGGGAAAATCGACATCTGACCAAAGAGGACCTCCTCTCTATGGCCCAAGCGTTGAGTTCTTTGTTTTTTTATCGCACCCCGCGCCTCGAAATTTTCGCATCCCTGTCGTCATCCAGGCGCAGTATGATAAGATCTCCTGGCCAACCAAGTTGCAGATTTCTGAGGGATTGCGATAACGAAAGAATAAGCAATATGTATTATCAAAGGAAAAACAAGCGAAGACAGGAAGGCACCGAGGAGAGATGAGATGTCGAGTCCAAGGAAGCCTAACCACTTTAGGCAGCAATCTAGCCTGAGGCCAACATTCCGACGATCAGTCAAAATATTGAAAGACATTGACACATTTCTCAGTGGCCGAGGGACTAGACTACATTCAGATGCACTTCGAGTGAGGGGTTATCAAAGATAAAGATTGTATAACAGCAAACTTACACTCAAGTAATCTTGATTATGGTCATATAAATTATATATCCGCCAACTGGTGACTGGGAAAGTACCCTCTTCGCATATTATTGGAAGATTCAAGATGCCATCCGCGCATTAATAAATCTAGCGGATTATTTTAATTCAAAAGTTTCCACTATTAATCGAACACGCTAACAAGCGCGCCATATGAGCACAACTAGTTCTAAATCAGTCAAGTGGATATCATTTTACTTCCACTGCTGGTAGTATCGCTGATCAGCATGTCACAATGCCAATTACTGCTTCTTGCTTGTGAAGAGTCGATATGCCTAAAGTTCATGAATTCCGTGAGTAGGCGCGATATCAAATCGCGTTTCTACTCCTCAATCCATCTTCGAAATGTATAAACACTGGTGAGTGTCCATATTCTGTTCATGTGCAATTTCTACAATGCTAAAAGCAAATAAACAGTTACTATAGTCCACGACGGGGCGATAGAGACGACCGTGGAGGGTTTGCATTGAGCTCTCATTCCCGTTAATGAATCCTAGAGTGCACTAGTCGAGGCCAATCTGGTTGTCACTGCGGGTCCCGCCAGGGTGGTCCGTGTCGGCGGGTGGCGCCGGGGCTGCACCATGAATCACTGACCCCCAATACAACCTTGGAAGGTTCCACCATCTCTATCCATGCTCTCTCTTGTATGCATATGCGCCTCAAGTCACAGATCTAGGGGTTCCACTATATCCAATAAACCCCAGGGCTATGGATATAGCGTCCGAGAAACCAATGACCTCACATCATCAACTTCTTCCCAGACCTCTTCCCTCCTTCAATCGCTTCTTTCCCAATGGTCCCCTTTTGCGATGTCTTGATGTAGTTATGGCGGGCCAAGTTTTAAATAGGGGTAATCATAACACCCACTTTTCTCGGTGATTCTCTTCACTGTCGTTGCTTCTTGGTTTTCATGCTATAGGCCAACGTAACACGTGAAAAATTTGGATGGAATATGGGGTTAAGGAGGCTTAATCTGTAGTCTTTAATAGAGGCGGAAAGTGCCAAGGGAGTAAATGTACCTCGTTAGTATCGTGAATATTCTGTATCATCTTGGATGCAACCTTCTAATCGCTCTCATACCCCATATCCTCCAATGACCACAGCAAATGAGCGTTGTTGTCGGGGTTTTGAACCTCCTGGGCATTGGGAATCACTTCATCGATTCCCTTGATCTCTTTCAGTTGTGATGAGCCAGACTTGTAAAATAGCATTAAAGCATCCATCTGCTCATCGTGCTCCTCGTTCTCGCCCTTCTGGTAACCCCGAACACACAGGTACTCTAGTCCAACAGGTAGACATTCTACCAGATCCCATTTTTCTCCCTTCTTGTGTTGTTCTCCGCTAACACCAGCGGCAAAGTATAACAGAAAGTTTATCCCCAAGCTCAACCGTTTCAAGGCCACAAATTCTTTCAGTGACCCACCGTATGTCCATATCAATTCATAGAATGCCGCGGTGTCGTCGCTGATATCGTTGTCATCGGGGCCCCCGTGTTCATTAAATTGGATTTCTCTCTCTTCCTCGTCATCGATTTGAAATATATCAATATGATTTTCCGTGTCGACATCAAGGATTTCCAGTGTGTCCTTGTGTGCGTAAAGGACTTTGATGAATGCTTTGGGATTGAATATAGGGACCCCTCCATCACGGCTCGATCTACCTCCGATAGAATACTGAAATTCCCTGAGGACCTTGCACGACCATATCAGATTCGCAAGGTAGAGAGAACCAACCGACGAATGATGGATGGAGATCTTGCTGATATTAGAACATTTCTCTTTAAACTCAAGCGTTCCGCTCTCATTCTCCTCCATTATATCAACGCGGACGGATTCAATTGACAGAAGATTGTTAAATAGCGTCAGGCAGCCAGAAAGATCCATTGCCTGATAAAAACGACCATCAGACCAGGAATCGTCGCTTTTATTGATGATATAAACACTGTGGAGGTTGCGAAGATATGGCTTGTTTTCAGGATTGGCGTTAGCTTGACAAAAGAGCTCGGCAAGCGGGAAGTCGATTGCACTGTTGGAGCTCATGCTAGCTGGATGTGTCATAGCCATCGACACAACGTTCGGCGATACCACAATCAGAAGAGCGGTCAGCGCTTGGGTGATGGATGTACCGAGGCTCTCGCGATATCTGTTGACCTAGTCAGATGGTTTCTCGGAGGCCAATATCAAACGAGGTTCTCACCGATAATCAATTGTTGCCGTTTTGTCCATCCTCTGCATAAGCATATTGACCACTCGATGCTCTTGGGCTGTGAAACCAGCTTTTCTCACTGCATTTCGCACGAGATTCATCTCCTCGTTGCTCAAGTCTCGTTGAGACTCGCCCTCCTTGTAGCCCATGCGCATGCATGTTACGGCACAGCATTCGATATGACGCACGTAATTACCCAGACTAGGTCGTTTCAAAACATCCATAAGCAAGGCAAATGGCCTATCAATACCTTCCTCCCCAGAGGAGACACTAATTCGGTGATACTTCTTGCGCGTTGCCATATCGCACATAGAGTGGAGGGTTCGACATTGTACTGAGAGGGCAGCCACGTCACGGTGGGAAAGAAGGGAGGATATGATCCGCTGGTGAATCTCGAGGGGCAGACTGAGAAATGACATTATTTCTCCTCATCCTCTGTTAATGTGGAAATGGAGGTTTATTTAAACTACAGTTTTTTCGCTCTCGAAAATGACTAGCCTAGGATCCACACTGGTGCCTAAAATTGACTCTTGGCATCTTGAGGCCTTGAGTGCGCTAGGTAAATCCAACCTATGTTAGTAATAGTAATGGGATCTGGGCTTCTATTTCACCTATTCCCTAAGCGAGTCTAACCACTCACTAACACTCAGCTAAGCGCTCTAATTTTCTCACTAAGCACAACCTGATCGCAAGGTGAGCAGTTACCTTAATAAAACGGAACACGCTAGCCCCGTCTATGTAAAACCTCTCTGTTTGGTTTGCCTGGATAGCCTCATCAAAAATGCACTCCCATCAATAATTTGATGGTGCATTAGGCTACACATACTACGATTCATTGCGCCTCGATGATGCTTACTGGCTGATCAGCCATTCGGTTAGACTATATGCTCCTGGGAATCCTTCGCCTATCTAGAGGAATTCTAGGCTAAGTGTAATTATATAGGTCTACTCTGAAACTAGAAATCTTGCACTGAATAAGCGTCTATACAGTAAAGATTGTTCACCATTCTATCCTACCAAATTATCTTGACTGAAGCCCCTGCTTCAGATTCGGCGGCTGGTCAAAGGCCCTCCGTCATCATGAAGTAGCCTTACGTATAGTATACCTTATCACAGACAGGGCATCATTTTTGCTTGCTACAAATTTGCAGGAAAATGGGAATACAAATTCATAGAGGGAATCTTTAATCTACCATATATAATTCCCGTCGTTCTCTCCTATCTCAATATGACCGAATTGCCGATGCAAAATGGCAACTACGAGCTTGGTCTCGGTGGCAGCTTCCTCCAAGATCTTCCCTCTTCGATAAAAAGATATACATACCGCGGGGAGTCAGACTTCTTTGACATCTTGGAAACCGAATCCGCTCGTTTCGAAGCCTCCCCCCACGCAAGCGAATTCCTCCTCTTTCATGCAAGCAAAGAGACCATCGATACCCTTATCGAAAACGAAGACGCTTCTCCTATCGCGAAATACCTTACTTCATTTGACACCAACGAACAACTCTTCTTGATCAGGATGCCGTCAACTCCACACAGTCGGGCGCCGGTCGTTATACACGATATGATCATGGAGGCCATAAAACCGATGGGGTTGTTCACTTCCCTCAGAGGGTTTACAAGTGCAGAGGTCAGAGGAGAGTCCCGAGGAAAAGAGGCAGACTATGCCTGGGGACCGAGAAGGACCGCTCGTGGGGTACCTCGTTTACTATCCGTTACTCTCGAAGTAGCGTACTCGGAAAATGATGTCAAACTAAACTCCGATGTGCGCTTCTGGCTCAATCCTGACGATGGAAAAGCAAGCGTATGCTTGACACTTCGGATTGGTCGGTCTCAGCCAGAAATCCGGATTGAGAAGTGGGAGAATCCGAACGACCGCATTCATCGCTCCCAAGTCGTCTGGATTACCAAGCGTGGAAACCAGATAAACGTCAGTCACCATCCTCTTGTCATCTCGTTTGAAAGTCTGTTCTGTCGCCCATCATCATGTCCACGGGAGAAAGATTTGGAATTCTCAGAGCAACAGCTGAAGGAGATTGCGGAGATGATTTGGGAAGACCAAAACTGGTGATCTACCCTAATACAGACCGACGAGGGAAATCATCCTAGATTGAGATTAGTTTTCTATCTGATCACCTGATTACACACTTCCATTTTCACTACCTCGTACTAGCCAACTATGGTAGACCCGCATGACTGATATGCCCATATATTTGGAAGACAGCTGGATAGTACGCAGGGGACTGACCCGATGGCTCTCAAGTGTTACAAAAGTCCTAATTTAAGCCACAGATGACACGATAGAGAACCAATTACCAAACGAGTCCTTTGAACCATAGATTATACAATTAGTTATTATTATGCCCACTTACATTGCTAGATAGGGTCTTTATGCAATTCAGACATATTGATATTCTACTGGTGCACCCAATATGAGCCACTGAGCACTCTGTTATGAGCCCGATTCGCCAGTAAGAATGCTATATTTGTCAATTGACACTATACGCAGTAGTATCCGCGGTAGCTCTACCCCGACAGACATCTGCCCCTTGCCCCCGACCCTCCTATTCGCAACAACTGCCATCGAAAGAAGCTATCACCATGGATTCAACTGTGGTCTCCGCCATAAAGGGCGAGAAACTGAAGCAGCCACAACAATAGAAGAATTGGTTCGCACGAATCAAGATATACGCCCACCAGAAGAAGGTGTGGTAACTAGTTAATCCACAGATCAAAGAAGACTATCTCGGGGAACCGATTCGCGAACTATGAATACATTAATACCCAGAGAATCGTAGCGAAGCAGAGAGACGTGGAAAGAGAGATCGCATAGATATCAATAATATAAGGCTAAATAACAACAGCAGAGCAAGAGCTTAGACACTATAAGTGAAGGGCTGTGGCTGAATTGATTCAATTGTACTAGGCCGACATGCTGTTTAATACAATGAAGGAAAGGAAAGTGGACCGTTCCCACGAGATAACACTGTCGGAATACAGGAGCAGTTACGTGGTTGAGACAGGGTAATTAGCCCGAAAATCATGTAACAAGTGGTACTCGACATACCATACAAAAGTGCATATTACAGTTAGTCATCTATGTCCGCTCAGATTGTCAAAAAGCGGCATTTTAGAGAGTTAAGAGTTTTTGTCAAATACCGGAGCCATATACCCCGGTCGGTTACAGTACTAAAAACCCCCGGATCGGATACCAAGGTAATTTTACCTTGGATCTCCACAAACGTCGGTTCCATAACTAGTTAGTGATTTTGTCTATCTATACTCGCGCGTTTATCCTGTTTTATTACTAGTCAGAGAGTTCCAATATACTCAGTTCATACCATAAATTTTCATACAGTCAGATTTCTGTCAGTTTTCAATACCAGCCAATTTTACCATACCTTGGGAGTACGCCTGATTTCTGTCAGTAATCTCAATCTTTAAACGACTACCTGTCCTATCTAGTCAAAAGCAGCTGAGCGTGTTTTTATTCATGCTACCACTGAAGAGGTCTAGCCCAGAAATATATATATATATCAGATTCTTTTTCCCAACAACGCTTGCTCAGAGGGGCTGTTTTTCAAAAACCTACATTCTGAGTCACGACCTAGATAGTATATACAGCCATCAAGTATGCAGCATTGCTATTTCTACAGTAAGTTAATTGCTATTCAGTACCATCAAATTATGTTTATAGTTGGCCTGGGCTGGATGGACAAAGGAACTACAGATATATTTAAGCTAATTATTCCTCTCATATTTATGGCCTTTATATAGGTCATGTTATAGTAGGCCCAATGCCATGAGACTTCAAGTATATCAATGTTATCATGGTCGGGTCTGCAACCATTTGTAGCAATATTACTAATGGGAAAGTGGTCCTGTGTGTTTATTAAAAAAGCGAGTGTCCTTTGGAGAGCTTGCTAGCAAGCAGTATTGTAAGATTACAACCGCTGCATAATCCCGGTACCAGCCTTAAAATCCCTTGAACTGATCTGCATTCGGATCTCTGAATGAGAAGCAAATCAGCCAGAAGGGCCGTTCGCGGCAGCCTCCGCCGATCCATTCCTCGGGCACTCCGAGACACCTCAACAATTCTTTGCGGGGCGGGATCAAATGTTGGGAGTAAAGGAGCAGCTATGATTATTTGGCGAGCCTCGGCTAGATTTAATCAGATCCAGTCAGATACAAAAAAACTGGAACAACTTTCCACTCCGATCATCAGTTACACAGTCACACTGCCGCCCCCACTATTCAGCTACCCCACATTTACTTTTCAGCTGAAGTCACCACATCAAATCCCTAATGAGTCTTAACTATTCGCATTCTGCTCTTGCTTTTGAGTAAATCTTTCATTCGCTGCTTCTTCATCTGCGAAATCTACCTGATTTGTCATACTTTATAGCATGGTTATCATAGCATGGATATAACACGTAATATCAATTCATGTTTTGTCTATCTCTTTTTTTTCGGGGCGGCAGCGGCCGCAGCGGCGAACAAGGTCGAATGTTGGGGACAAAGCAGCTCCTTTTAGTTTAAGCATATTTAGCAAATCGCGTTGCAGATAAAAGTTCTCCACTTTAGCGGCTATTCATACCGAATCCTCTAGTATTACTCCACATTTACTCGTCAGCTAGAGCCACCACATCAGATCCTGCATGAGGTCCACCGGGTCTTATTTTTGTACGATGTCCTTCAGCCGGTCACATGTAGTGAACCTTACTTGAGATCTACCCATCATCCTGCGGAGTTGCCTGAAACAGAGTCCTTTTATCGCCCTCAGAGAATAGGATAACTGATATGTCATATCTCCTAGCAGCAATAGTTGCTACAATATGGATCAACCTGTAATACATAATAATTAGTTGTGTTTCATTTACATTACATTCCCTTTATAGCCAGTTTGTCTATCTCGGCCGATATCAAGTGTTTCTCCAATTGACACAAACCATGGATTGACAAAAAGAGTCGATTCTCAAGCATGAATAGTAGGCTTGAGAAGCTTCTCACCACACAGTACTGGATGAACAGAATATGTAGAGGAGAGTATAGGTTACATGATAACATGACGATAGAAATTCGGTACAAAGGTTGTACGACTGATCCGACTTGCATTACACTTACATTTGATCTACATTCCGACGCAGCTCCTGATATAATCAAGCATAAACGCAACCTTAGAGGGAAGTATTACTAACACCGCAATTTGATCACTCACTTTAGTGCCCCTATCGCATTCAAATTCAATGTGTTTGGTGTCTCGGCTCTTTCTTGGCTACGTGGTAATCTACCTAGCCACAAGGCCGGCCAAAGTAGTATGGAGTACTTATACAGGAGTGTGCTGGCACAGTTTTTCAAAGACCTCAATCAACACTTCTCTTGGAATAACTCAAATAACATTTAACACCACAACCCAATCAATCAACCATGTCGTCTGTGACCGCTTATACTGATGCTACACCAGTTCCAAACCCAGGCAAAGACGAGCTTTCTATTTTACGTGTGCATACTTATGACCGAAGCGCAGGCAAACTGACCCAGGAACGCCTTCTCCAGGTGAAGTCTACGGAGCTTCAAAAAGCCAAAGATGGAACATTGAAGGAGCTGAGGGGTGTTTTGAGGGCAAAAAATGTCTTCAATTCTCGAACGTAATATTTACAGAGTCGGTCGAGAACTAGCGCGGCGGCTAACATTCTTTTAGCATATCGAGTCCATTCTGCGATAAGAACGGGTCTGAAATGGACGATGATATCCTGACCAAGACTTACAACAACCTCGTTGGGAATAATAATCATGAGGTATGAAAATATATGATCCACCATCTACAGGGAGGGTTTTTTCTGACATTACCAAAAGGCGACTCATCTCCAAGACTCCCAAGTAGTCCCAGGTGAATTGAGTGTGTACTACAAGAAGCAAATCACCGCAATGGATGATGCAACAAAGGAATTCCTCAACAAGCCACTAGATCTGGATCTTAAGGTGGGCTACTTACCGCCCTCACAGTCAATCACGTATCTGCTAAATTGGTTCAAAGGAGGGTCAACAATTGTCCAAGGCGGATATTGCGCGCCTCAAGTCTGCGTTTGAGGCAAAAACTTGGACAGCGGCGGAAAAGAAATCTTCATCGTTAAGGTTAGTGCTCTTACTATACTTAAGTCTTGGTACAAATAACAAATTTATGAACCTATCTACTTAGTCACGCTGCCACCCTCACTGAAAAGGAATGGGATATCATTACCCGTACAAACTGCCTTCTCAGTGGCCATAAAATAGTTGAATTTGAGAAAACTATAGGAGGCCCTATACCAATCACTCCTAACAAGCCGGACAAGCCATGGAGTAAAAGTAAGATTCGCGGCAGAAAGGTCAAAGACTTGAAAGTCGAACGCACCCCCTACAACGGTACGCAAAAATTTACATTCTGTGATAGGTTAGGATGAGTGGCTACTAATGAACAGCATCTTGTAGCTTTTGCGCTCAAGAAAAGAGATTTAAAGTTACCAAGTTATGGCGCACAACCTTTGATCTCAATCCCTGCGGCACAGGAAGGGGGAGATAAAGTGAGATAAAGGGCTCTCCCAACTACCGCAGACATTGGCTAACGATGTGTATGCCATCTAGCTTGAATATCCGATCCCCCGATTTCGAGTCGATGACGACTCATATGTGAGCGTTTATGAGACGCAAAACAATCTAGAGAAATCACTTGCCAGCGGATCGTTTTCTGAGAACTCACTGGAAGCATCTGCGTAAGTATAATGGAATGATAGTCTCATGATTGACGGTGATTGACTTATCTTTCATCATAGCGGTGCTAGTTTCTGGGGTGTATCCGCTGCAGCCAAGGTTGGAGGCGCTTGGAGCAGTCAAGATAATGACCTCCATGCAACATCTAGTGAGAGCAAAAACATGAATGTTAACTACAAGGCACGTTTATATCAAACATAGTCTTCGAACAACAAGTATTAACCATCAACAGTTTCCACGTGTCACTGTGTACCTTGACAAAGATTCTCTTGAGATAACTGCGGAATGCCAGAAAGATATGAACGCTGTCAACACCAAGCAGCAGTTGATAGATTTCAGCAACAAATATGGTTCGTAATTTATACCCATCCCCTACTCAACTAGCCTACTTATTGACGCTTGAAGGTGATATCTTCGCCCAACGGGTCCAACTTGGTGGTGTCCTCTCTGCGAGTGAAAGCAGCACTGCCACAAGTACTCAGGACAAGGAAAAGCACGCCAAGGCAATGAAGATTTCTGCAGCTGTCTCCTTCTCATCATCGTTTGCTCAGGCTTCCCTCAGCGCAAGCCACGGCGGAGGCTCTAACTCTGACACTAGCACAACATCCCAGGACCTCACGAGTGCGATGGCCTGGGAAGCGACCGGGGGCGATACATTGTACTGTAATAAGTAAGCTATTCGGAAACTTGATAGTCAATATCGAAGATAGCATATGCTAATGACGGTATTACAGCCCTGCACAGTGGTGTGGAACCGTGGGTGAGTTCTACAACTGGAGGGTGATTGATGTAAGTCAACCGTTTTTTAGCATGAGGATTTGATTTACTAACCGCGAAAATAGCAATGCGACGTGCTCCCACTGTCCAAGGTTATTGACTCCATCAATGGCAACAACAAAATCACCGAAAAATTCGAGCAGGCCGCGAAGAAATAATTGCAGAGTTACATTGCCGCGGACCTGCAAATCAGCTCAGGTGCTTACAACCCTCAATCGTCGCCGAGAGTAGGTCGAATCTTGAGGGTTTTCCGTAAATACCTGAGAGACGAATTAGAACAGAGAAATAAATGTCAAGGTTTAAATTAACTAGGTCCCAAGTAGTCCCGTTAAACACTTCATCGGGGAAATGTTCTTCGTTCTAATCTACCGTCCGGAGTTCATCAATTTCCACAGAATGGAGTATTCAGATGATTATCTAGCTGCTGTTAAGCCAAGTAAAATACCATGAGTTGAATACTACCATCATATCTACGAATATCCAGTCCTCTGTCGTTGGTCGTAGCAACCAAGAATGAATCATGTTTTTGAAGGTCTGACAAGCCAGAACGGAAAATTACAGGCTCAGGGGCCGTTTTTATGAAGCGCGCACAAACCCCTTACGTGTAGGGCTGCCAGCTTGCCGGGATCGAGAATTTCTCATTAAAATCTTGGACTTGCAGAGTCATATGATCTTGCGATGTATTCAGACAGCGTCAGGACGAGGGCTTTATCGAGCTACGCGACGTGGCTCTTGGTGGGGAAGTCATAGCATAGTAGGAATTAATCGATAATTCAATAATTCGACTAATCAAAAATGACTTAAGCAGAGTGCAGACATCATAATCTAGCAGCTTATCATCTACACAGATACTTGGCAATAACTATTGCATTAAAGCTTCAAATCCAACTGAGATAAAACGTAAGTTCAGAACTTGATTGACTTATAGGACTTCTAACATAGAAGAAAGATAATCAAGTGAAACAATGGTAAGTAACTTGCAGGAAATGCTTCTTGGTACACCTTTATACAAGGGTCGCTGATGAACCCTTGTAAAATCAAAGCAGATGTTGTTGAGCGAAGTTGCAGGATTGTCCGCCCCATTCTCAAAAGCCATTATACCCAAGAGAGCGAAGACCACTTGTCTTTAATGTAGAATGGGCCAGCCATCAAAGTATCATTGTCCTCTTTCATGCTAATTCGTGCGTACCGATCCCCAGAGAAAACATAATAGGTACCATCATAGTTGTCAAGAATCGCGTCAACGGTTTCGAATTCCGCCTGGACGAGAGATGGCCACGACTCGGCAATTGTGCCACGCGAGACAAGGTTGTCATCCCAGCTCACGTCAATCCATTCCTTCCCCTGAAAGAAATAGATATTTGTCTCAGACCCTGGAACAACCATTGCCGCGTCGATTCTATCCCAACCCGCCCTTTTCAGGGTTTTCCAGCCGTCCGTAATGGGTCTGAGTCCAGTTTCCACACTTGTTTCGACGGAGGGATCAATCTTCGATTTCAAGGGACTCGTTTCCAATTTCACGTCAATTTCCAATTTCACGTAGTTGGCGCCAGAGAAGACATATAGGCGTTTTTTGTTTCCTGGTACTGGACAAACGGCATCAACTCTACCAATATCCTCCTCGGCGAGAGACTTCCATTCGGATCGAACTCCGACGGGGCCGAGTATGGCATTGTCATTAGCACCAGGTGTATACCTGACTCTGGCGAATTTTGTGCCTGACCAAAAGTAGGCTTGGTGGTCTGTCCCACGAATGCAATAGGCGGCGTTAACCATGATGGAGAATGAAAGAGAGTTTAACTTGATTTGGAATGAGATGGTCTCGGAAACAAGAATAGAGAATCTTAAATGGGTTTGTGAATACAAAAGTTTATGGTCAAGCTAAACTTGCTGATGCTATGTCTGCTTATGAAGAGATCTATTTCGTAAGATTCATCGATTGAGCTTTCTGGCATGTGGCGAAAATGAGTTCACCGACTTTTCATATAGTTGCAGTTAACATGTATGATATAATTGCAGAATTCCCCAACAAAATGCATTTTGCATTTGTTGGGTAGAAAGTTCCCATACCACCCTACAATTAGGGCCCTTTTAGTTTGTTTGTTTGTTTTTTTTTTTCCAATCCTTGAAATGACTAGCCCTAGCTGTGTGATGAATACGCTCATTAGCTGGTATTTATGACGAAGCTTAATGGTACTTGGGTATTTAGGTTATTACCGACAGACAGTATTACCCCCCACCCACCAGCTCTGACACTCTCAAGCTTTCTCGACGCACAGCGGCTGCTTCTTTCCACTCACCATACACCGCTATGATTATGAAGAATAGAACAGAGATTAAGAGCCCATCCCTTTTATTGAACGAAAGCCCCCCAGATGTTACCAGCCAGTTCTTCAAGCAAAAGAGTGCATTTCAACTAGGATTCTAGGTTCAGAGAGGGAAAGGAAAGGGAGAAAGGCAGGGAGCCGAAGGACCCTCTACGGTCTCCCTCTAGGCTACCATCCTGAGAGAGCGAGCCCCTTCCCGAATAGGAAATACTCATAGCCCGAAAAGGAAATCACTTAGGGCAGTGGTAAAACGTCACATATTAAATAATGACAGAAGTCTGACTAACGTATTCGGTAAGCGAGCTGGCCATGTAAGCCAGCTGGCCACTTCACCCAAGCCATTAAATTCAACTATATTTATCTCAACCAAAACACCATTAAATTAATTCAATTAAATTGATTTATCTATCTGGACATGTTTCTCTTCTATGCCCCGGTAATCTACATATTCCACACGCTCGCCCAGCCCGTGTAGCCGGCCGTAAACCCTCTGAAACCTGCTCACGATAGGTATCAATACGCGCTACTTAGGCCTTAAATTGCTCTGTGTCACGATATCTTCAATCATGAGGTTATACGTGTATTGGTGCCTCAGGCCTATTGGTACTGCCTTAGGTTTATGGGCCAGGTAGAATCCCGGCGCCACGGCGGTGAAACCCCGGGTTTTCGATATCCATTCAGGAAAGGAACCCTGCCGGCGTTGAAACCGGTTTTGTCTTGCAAACCTCTACCCCACTCCCCATTTGATTTCCCCGCTCAATATATCACATTCTCTTGCCGTCTTATCCGAAGGAAAAGATGTATATAACCAAGAAGAGATAGAAGGAGCCTGAGGGTTCTGTAAGAAACAGTCTTTGACTTGGAACCCGCATATTGATACCCTTTTCCTACCTGGTTGACAGGCATCTACCCTGACTAGTGGACTATCCGTAACAAGATTCCTCCTCAGTTTCTGTTCATTTCTGCGAATTTACGCGAGAATTCGCGCGGTTTCTGACACCATTGAGGCGCGTAGTAAGGGTGGAACGGGGTACGTTAAATAGCCGGGCCACTTCACGAATTGATGAAATTTCTTGCTTTTGAAAAGCCTGAATAGCTAATAAGATCCTACCCTCTTGCTCTGCTGAATTGCTAGAGGATCGGGGGCGAATTGGTGGCATGGTGGGTGGTTGAATTGATTAAGTGCTAATTAATGGGCGCGTTTTAGGTGAAGTGGCCAGCTCGCTTACCGAATACGTTATGTGAAATGTATGGTATGAATGAGTATATTGGAAACTCTGTCTGACAATAAAAATAGGATAAACGCGCGAATATAAATAGACAAAATCACTAGTCGATACTGCACTTTTGGTCAATTGTATGGAACCGACGTCTTGAGATTCAAGGTAAATGTGGGAAAGAATACAGCATATTTTACCACTAGACCACATAAAAACTAAGGTAATTATATGGGGCCTAGAGGCGCCATATCTGACATTTGACAGTAAATTACCTTGTATCCGGGCGGACCGGGGTATGTGGATCCGGTATTTGACAAATAATGTAAACATTAATAATCTAGAAGTGGCAGAAGGCTTTTCGACGGACCTCGAGATCGTCACTATAGTCCTCGATAACCCCATTAAGCCATTCCTATAAGCGTATAGGGGGGCTAGGTTTCGCCGGATACTAGTTATAGAATTCTTAAATCTTCTTTAGTATATGCTTGAAATTACTAGTGGGATACCATTATAGATCGAGGTTATATCTAAGCCAATATACTGTGACGGATAAAGATCCTTACAACATGGAGAGGGAGTCACCTGACTGCATCGGTCGGGTATCGGGAACGAATCGCCAAGGAATCGTCACATGGCCCCCACGTGAGCATGGCGGCACACATATACTTCGGTCGGAGCAACATCTTAGCAGCAACCTGAACAATATTTGAAATATTTATCCCAGTTTGTTTTCAATATCTTTTTTATCCTTTGGCATCCTTGTCTCATTTGGAGCCTGACAGATATGATAAGCGAAACTTGCAAAATTCCTGAGGTTGGCTCGGAGAAAAATAGTAATCACGGCGTCGGGGGTTTGAATTGCAACGACCGCATCTAAAAATTGAGTTAAAATTTTTCCATTTGGAATAGACCCACTCATATGGCCAATTACATCCTCAGATGCCATAGATCTCGGCAAGTTCTGGAATACATGTCTTCCAAAGCATCGGAGTGGATCAGTAATCAGTCTCCATGCCAAGATAGTTAGGGTCCACTGCAAGTATAATTACATAAGCATACTAATCACATTGGAATTCCCTAACCCTAAAGTCCTATAAGAGCGTATCCTATTTCACTGTGTATCTTTGATATATAGAGCCCTTTAAACCCTTGGTCCCTTCAGCCAAATTTCGATCATCATGACGTCCGTATTAAGTGATTCAGTTAAGCTGCCTTGTGGATTGGTCTTTCCCAACCGGTTGTCCAAGGTATGAATTATGGGGAAAATAAGAAAATTTACAAGCACTTATTTACAACTACGCAGGCAGCAATGGCCGAGAACCTGGCCCAGTCAAACAACAATCCCAATGAGGACTTCAACGAGGCCTATAACAAGTGGAGTGAGGGTGGGTGGGGCATGATTGTCACAGGTAAGCCGGCCACTCTACATGCATATCTAGTCGTCCAATCCGTCGAAAAGGAAAACCTGAAAAGAAAGAAAGAAACAAAGCTTATTTTGGCAATTGGCAGGAAATGTGCAAGTCGATATTGATCACCTCGGACAACACTTGGACCCTGCCTTCCAGGGTGAAAACGCGGTCTCAGACGACAAACATCTTGAGTCGTGGAAGAAATATGCCGCAGCCAGTCAGAAGCACGGTTCTCCCACCATTGTTCAAATTTCTCACCCTGGAAAACAATCCATGCGTGGCGCGGGGCGCAGAGGTCTTTTTGCTTCTACGATGGCACCAAGCGCGATTCCGTTGACACTTGGTACTAGCTTCTTGGATTCTGTCGTTACTTCTCTTGCATTCCCAAAGCCCCGAGAAATGACACTGAAGGATATCGATAGAGTTATTCGTCTATTTGTGGATACAACCCGTATGGTGGCGGACAGTGGGTTTTCCGGAATTGAGCTACATGCAGCTCATGGTTATCTCCTAGGTAAGCAGGACACATAATTTACTTAATACGCGTTGGCTCACCATGTATTGCTGGATAGATCAATTTCTGAACGCCAAGGTATGTTAGACGAAATAGGCTTCACAGCGGCGTATAACTGATTTCCTATAACAGTCTAATCTTCGCACCGATGACTACGGAGGCTCTCCAGAGAGACGAGCAAAGCTTCTTTTGGATATCCTGAAAGGATGCCGAGAAGTTGTTCCAGACAACTTTTGTATCGGTGTGAAACTAAACTCGGCTGACCACGGAGCCACAAACATTGAAGATACAATGTCTCAGATAGGTCTGCTTGTCACAGCAGGCATTGACTTCCTCGAAGTCAGTGGTGGCACTTATGAGAACCCACGAGTAAGAGAGGCCAGATCCATTCATAAGTTTATGCTTAATGATCACTGATACGATTTATCTATAATGCATAGATGGTCGAGGGCGATAATCCACAAACAGTCCAGAAGAGTGCACGAACCGCAGCTCGCGAGGCCTTCTTCCTTGAGTTTGCCAAAGAGACTCGCAAGCGGTATCCAAATCTCGTCCTGATGTTGACCGGTGGCTTCCGTAGTCGCTCTGGTGCAGAAGCAGCGATTAAAGAGAACGCCTGTGATATAGTCGGTATGGCGCGTCCAGCGGCCATCTATCCCAACTTCCCAAAAATGCTCTTAGATCAAAGCATATCAGACGAAGATGCGCAGATCACGCTGAGCCGGGTCCAACCTGGCTTCCTTCCCAGGCTGCTTCGCAGTCAAGTTCTAGGTGCAGGTGCTGAAACTGTAGGTTTTCTTTTCTTTTCTTTTTTTTTTGGCGTCAATCCACAGCTATTTCTATCATTGAAGTTGTGGATGCTAATTGTAAACTTAGGGCTTTTATGCGAACCAGATTCACAGGTTGGCAAAGGGAAAGCCGACATTCGCCCCTACCTCTGCATAGAATCAGAGGTCGTTTTATCGATCTCTACGGACCAGTTAGTTAATACTGTTGTTTTTTTATTATATAGATAGAATCCTTATTTTATAGTAATAATGTTGACGGTAACATTGCCGCCTCGGGAAGTGATCTGCTCCCGGATTCCAGGGTGGGTTAGTCACCCCGCCGCCCTAAGCTGCCCACTGAGCGACCCTGAGCTGCTCAGTGAGCAACCTGATTGCTCACCCCGGTGCTCTCCCCTGATCAGCCCCTTCACCCTCCGTCTTGCCTTCTAGCTTTCGCCTGCCCCGATGGTAACCGCACTGCCTACCGGTGTTCCTGGGAGTTCTGGTCTGGAGATGACGTATTCCCACGTCGCTACAGTGACTTGCTGTCCTCTTCGAACTTTCCATCGGTTGACTCGATCCCTTCGGCTTATATGAGATATTCAGTACCACCTCACCTCTACACCCTCTCATACGTTCTCTCGCTAACGCTGCCGACACCACCCAGTAAACGAACCACGAAAATTCACCGTTATCCTCGTTCCTCTATATACTGTGCTAATTTAATCCTAGGAATAACATTCGCACCAGCCTTCGGGTAACCTCTTTTTATGTGGTATACCTAGGTCTCGAATAACTCGCCGCGCCGTGTGACGTAAGTCGACGACATCGGCTGACGGATCTAGTTTAGTTTCGGGCTAGATATCTGCCACTGAATGAATTAAGCTAGCATTCCTAGGAACCCTTTCCTATAACTGATCCCTCGCAGCTAGAAATGGCTCTGCGATTAGCTGCAGCGAATACCGGGGCCTTATCGATAGATCTAGAATCTATGCAGGTTCTGTCGATAATTCGCTGCTCTATCCTACGGGCTGATTAAAACGATGAATCGAAATAAATAAATAGTCCTAACTATCCCTCCTTTACAGCGTTTATTTGAAATATCATCGAACGTGAATTTTACTACCTCCTGCTTTGATTCCCATTCATTCAGAACCTCTTAAATCTACCTACCATGGTAACGCTAAACCATCAAAGATCTTAGCAGCCATTACTAAGAGCTTCAGTGAGACGCTCTTCCACCGGCTTAGAAACCTAGACTACCGATCTAGTGAGGTAATCGGACGCCCCAGAAGAAAGAAATGAAGCAGACTACACCCTAGGGAATAATGTGCCATAAGAAGAACGCAGTACATTGAGTCTCGGTAAGACATATTTTAAACACCCTCCTCCTATGCCCCTTAGAATTAATACGGTCTCTCTAATCTTAGAACCCGGCGAGCCCCCTCGAGCTAATTCGCCTGAACTCTATCTCAATGATGCAGCATCAGCCGCTGGAAATTATCCTGACTACCCCGAGGAAGTCACTCTTTATCCTTCCTCCCGAGATACTGCCTCCGTGACTGGCTTAGAAGGCCCTGGTACGACGAGAGTCTTCGATGTCTTTAAGTACGATGGTACCAGATAAAGCGACGGGGGGTATTACAGAGATTATAATCTAAACGAAAGGAAGCGAGGTTTAGAATATTCAAACATATCCTCTCCGAAACCACGCCGGCACCGGACTTCTACAGTCATAAATGCGAACAAGCCGCGAGGAAGACGAGCACATAAATCAGGAGCCGGAAATCTACCAAGCGAAATCACAGAGGGCGATTCCGCGGGCAATCTCGTAGGTAGACTTCGGCACAACCCAACCCAACCCAACCCAAAATGGGTTTTGGGTCCAATACTATAACCCAACGATGGGTTTTGGGTTATGACCTATAACCTAAAACCCATGGGGTAACCCATTGGGGCCCCAAACTCGTGCAAACCATCTAAACATACCTCTTGCGTGTGACTACATAATTTATGCAATTTTTACTTGTATGTATGTGTATTCTGTTTACAGCGCTCTTCTGGAAAGAAATTTGAATAAACTTAAATGTGTAAATATTTCTCAATATTGCTTAAAATTGTCATTAGCCCTGCTCTTACGTTTCCTTCCTGAGGCCCGTACCTGAGTTACACTCTCTGGTAACTGGGGCTCTATTGTCTCTTTATCTATTACATAAGGAGAAGTCTCTCGTTCTCTATTATCTATTTCCTCTTCCTCGTCATTATCACTGATTAAATTAACCTCATTATCCCTTATGAAATTGTCGTTTTACTCCTTCACTAATTCGATCTCCGCTAATGTAAAGAACTGCTGAAGCTGCTTTACCTCAGTATCCTTAACACTGAACCTTATTGCACATAGAAATAACATAAGCTCCTCAATCGTTTCAGACTTAAGACGGCCACGGCGAAAATGATAAATATCCCGAGCAGTATTAAAGAGGCGTTCGACACTAGCACCTATTACTGGTATTAAGAGGATATCGCGAGTAAGTAACGCAATTACAGGGAAATGAGACTAGTTCTCCCGCCAGAATTGAAGAGGCTTAATATCAATTAGATCTAGAAGTGAGAAGTGAGTAAAAAATATTAGTATAATTATATAAAGGACCAGTTTATTAAGATATTAGGTCATCTTATCACCAGCTGGCTTCACAGATATCTTATTTCTCTTTAGCATCTTACTTAGCCTTAAACTAGACAATGCCGCCGTAGGAGTATTGCTTGATCCTTGATTCCTTGTAAGGCGCTCTTAATATATAATCAAGAAATCCTGGAATGATCTTCGGTAGGTATCACGCTAGTGAGGTTCCCAATAATTAGATAAAAAGAATTGAAACCTACTATCAGGGGCTAGCATTGTCCTAACTACGTAGATATAGCCTTTAAGGTTATCTGTCTGAGAGTGATACTCATTAAGCTTTAAGCGACCGGCTATAAGCGCTTTAAGCATTTCTGCTTTCCATAGAACACGCTTATGTTTAAGCAGCGCCTCTGCTTTAAAGAAGTGATTAAAAAGGGCATTATAAACCTTAAAGATAAGATGTGTTATGACCCCCCTTATCTAAGACGGCACAGTACCAAGAACTACATACAAGCTTTGCCAAGCATAGGTCTAAAGAGTCTTATAATACTCCGCACAGCCTCGCGCGGTATTTTTATCAGTATCTGAGTGGGTCCGAAAATGGCCCCCTGCCCATCCCAAATTTTGGCCCCAACTACTAACCGGCCCCTGTAATTCTTGTATCAAGAATTACAGGGGCCGGTTACCGAGCAACCGAAGGAACTAATTTAGCGCTAATGCTAGCTGATCCGTGAGCACCAATTGTAATATGTCTTCAATCTGGGTGTCTCGGCCTTGCGGTACTAGCACGTACATGATACAATTAGCTTCGCTTCCATACTTTGGTAATTTTCCCAGGGTCACGGCTCGGAGTAAAATTAGCATGGCTTCTGTATGGAGTACGGAATGGAATAGCAGGATCGGCTAGGGTTTGCCAAGAGACCGAACTTTTGACAATAACTCGCGGTACGGAGTACAGGGAGAAATTAGTATGCTCGGACTATTCATTTGGGAAAGGTGGGAAAGGAGTCTCCCATAAAAGAACTTGAGAGCCTGGTCCGTCTGCGTCTTTTGAATTGACTGAGCTCTTTATTTTTTTTTTGAAAACTTTGACCTCCGATCAACCAAGAGTGAGGTTATCACGATGCTCTCCCGGGTGCCTGCGTTCTCTATTCTGGGCCTTGTGATAGTGTGGCTTGTTCATTTTACGAGCCTCAGCTATGCAGCCCATTCCGTTTCTCATAATCATTTGCACACACACCATCGAAGAGCCAATATTTAAGATGTTGAAGGTATCATTGATAACGGGCTTAACGAACGTGCCCATGCCTACGAAAAGCTGTTTTTGTGGGAGGCCTATAAGATAATTGGGTACGTTATCACCGAGAGGGTTTTGCCTTCTTAGAGCATCTATCCAATATTCCAGTTGTCCATGACTAAGTTTTCGGTCTTTCAATATAGTCAAATTGACGGTTACAATAAACAAAAGCTCATACTTCCTTTCCGCTTGAACAACGACGGAACAGCAAATTGAATGTCAAAGCTGAGTGGAAAATGAGAAGAAAAATCAATTAAAATAAAATAGAAAAAAAGGGTGGGAAATGTATAGAGTAGTCAATTTAGTACTAGAATATAGATTTATAGAGCCCCCCTTCGTTTTTTGGCCCTGCCATGCTTCCTGATTTCAATCAACACCTTCCTCCACTTCCGCCTGGTCTTTTCTTGATCGGCCTTTTCCGTCCTATGCGAGGGTCCGTATTTTTGTATCAAAAATTACAGGGGCCGGTTACTTCGCCTATGAATACTTGCTGGTCGAAGCACAATCCTGTCCTTCGAGAAGTTGACTTCCCCCCCTTCCTTTTTCTCAACATGGAACTTCATTTTCCCCCACTTGTCACTGCACGCAGCACCAGCGCCACTGGCATCACTGTCCGTATTATTTCCTAATGGCGGCTACCGAAAAGTCCGGTATCAGCCTTATGGGCCAATACAATATCGTTCTACCGAAAAGGCAGGTGTATGACTCTTCCGGCAAACCTATACCTGCATGCGACCCCGATCAATGTGCTGCGGCAATAAAGGGGGAGGATCTCCCCGTCGATCTAAGCTCGTTTTGGCACCAGAGAGCAGTTATCCGTGGGATTCGTGACTCACTTCAATTTGCAACAAGCCCGGCAATTCTTGAGCTATGCTCCGGCGACGATGGCCAGGCCCATCAATTTTCCCGCGCCCGCAATGCTCGCCTGATAATGAGTGACATAATCCCCGATATGCAAAATCCTGCCTCTCAGCCGTACTGTATCTGGTATCCCGACCTTGCATCAGAAGAAGTATATCTCGAAGTTGCCCGTCGGTATCCGTCTATGCGGTATCAAGTGGGCCGAGCGTGTGCTGCAGCAGGCTATACAGATCTCTACAAAGAATTGGACCTTTTGCCTGACGTTTCTATCGCGGAAGAATCCCGCGAAGTTGACAAAGACGCTGAAATCTACAAGATTATCATGTCCGCCCCCCAACGATATGCTATCATGGAAGATTTCTCTCGATCCGTTCATCTTGAAACCCCACGAACGCCTGTGTTTCTGAATGGCGATATGAAGCCCCGATGGACTTTGGGACAGCGAGTTCTCCCCGGTAAAAATTTACCCGAGACGACTGCTGATGATATTGACATCGAGGAAGATGGATTTATCGGCCTTGAAGATGTCAGCTTGAAGGATATCAGCGGAATGGAGGACTACGCTGAACTGGGCCCAGGCCAGTCCGATCAACTGTGGATGCCTCTTCCGCCTGATCTCCCAAATCTTGAGAAGCGCCTTCAGACACAGATGGCCGCGTGGGAGGGCAATGTGGATCGATACAGTCGACTAATGCACCCACGCAGGCTGAGAACCAAACTTGAATACAATTGTGTTCTTCGTGGCATTTATCACAGTACAACCTTCGCCAGATGGTGGGCCTATCAGCTGGAAACAAACCCTGGACGGGCTATCCTCCCAGGTAAATTGCTCAGTCAAGGCAATGAACGGGAGTGCAGAGAGATTCGCACTGCAATTAATGCCCGCATGATAATGAACAATGATATCTCTGGTATCGACGATGGCTCGGACTGCCTCCCGTGGGTCATATGGGGGCCCGTGAAGCCCTCTGCGAACACTTTAGCTGATCTGGTTCGAAAGTGTCCGTCCATGGGACATCAAGTTGCGATCACTTGTATAATGTGTGATTACGGTTCGATATTCCGAAGTTTAAAGCCCCCCTACACCAGATCCTTGTATGTGGCTGCCAGGCGAAGTGAAAATCCATTCTACCTACAATACCTTGAGGAAATCATGAAGGAGCGCGACATAACTTCCCCGGACTTTCACTACTTCAAAGACTTTGATCACACTGCACCAGGCTTACAGACTGATCTGGAGCCTAGAGATGATCTCACTGGTCCCACTGTCAGCTACCATGACATGGAGATCGGGTATGGGCAATATCCCTGTGGAAATGAACACGAAGAAACTCGAGGTACATATGGAGGCGGGCTAGCAAATCCGGGAATGGTGGAGAGATATATGTGGCTCTCAACTGAAACTGCACAGAAGTTGAAAGATGAACTTGACGCGCCCTACCCAGGTGCGGATATTGGTCTTTTGTATGATGATGGAGAACTTCGATCCAAGCTTTCACGCCGTATACAGCCCATGGATCGGTAGTATACAGGTTTCGATATGTCGAATACAGTCAGTCCCTTTGATTTTCGAGTATCATCTGCCGAGTATTGGCTAGCTTAGTTGCCGATGGCAATATCGCTCGTAGATACTAGGACCAACCTTTATAATCTCACATCAGTTCCAATCCCTCTTCCACGTACAATATAGCGCGTCGAGCACTGGAGTGTGGTATAATAGCAGTCTTGTAAATACACTCTAGAAGCACTGGCATATTGTAACAATTCTTATACAGGTAAACAAAAGCTCTCCAAGAAACTTGCAGGTTTCTTGAACTTGAATGAATTACCAGTACTGCGCCAAGCCTGAGGAAGCAACGAGGGTGTGTTTCTAGCGATTTGGGGTATGCTTTTAGCTTTTCTCACCTGGGATCGGACCTAGGACCTTGGTGATGCGGTGATCTAATGCCTAACACAAATGGTCAAGCATCTATACTATTGACACCACATCTTTCTATGCTTGTTACATACGATAACGGAATTTCTATTATACTAAATTCCGTCCTCGAGTTCGCCAGTTTGTATACCTAGGGATTTTTCAACTCCAATTGAGTTCATTCTGTTTGCATATATCGGCTTCCAGATTTAGAGGGCTCTCCATGTCATGATAATTTCTCCATTAATGGGTCGACGATGTCACCTGCCAACGGGGGCAATTATTCTGCTACAAACATTAAATGTTTGAACGTGCACCCTTTACAAATGGTCATGGTCACAATATCAAGTTGTTCACTTTTTTCTGTGTGTGCTTATTCCTGAGTATTCCCTTCCAACTATTTCTCGGCATCGGCTCTTCCACCCAAGCCGGACCAAGTTTAATCTTCAGCCCGCTCAGAAGCCTTGTTTGCCCTTAAACATGGATTTTCACCTAGGTTAGATGTCTGAATCGGCTCCGAATCATTTTCATAATCCCCACTGTCTGAACTGTCTGAGGGCTTCATGGTAGATAACTTCTGCTTGGCTAATTCTTGCTGAAAATCACCCACCACAGATAGGTTGCTAGAGACACAGTTCGCTTGTTCGGGCGGAGGTTCTGGTGTAGACATGGGTGTGGTCACCTAGGGTGTGCACGATAGTTAAGAAGTCTCTATTTCTGGGGTATCAGGAACAGTGTCTATAATAAAAAGAAAGTCAGATAATGAGAGAATGATGGCCGAATTTCAATGTATTGTGTTAGCTTACCCGGTAGATTATCTCCTCGCATATTAGGAGGAATAGGGTCTAGGTGATTAGGCCCTGTAGGACACGGGATTTTTCTCGCGGAGTGCGTCTCACTCGAATGTGCTCACTTAAACGTGCTTTGTTTCAACATGTTTTGTTTAACCGTTTTCACTTAAACGTTCTCACTTGAACGCTTGTGTTCAAACCTATCCTTTCGTACTACACGCTCCGCTTTTTAAACGCTGTCGTCATCAACGCTCTCTTTTTTTCAATCTTAATAAGCTTCTTTCTCATGCACACTAAGCTAGGGGTCGGCACGAATACATATTCGTAACATTTTGAGATATTCGCATTCGCATTCGCATTCGTAGTTCACAGACCTCTACGAATATTGGCCCGTCGCCAAGACCAACTCCCACCTAATAGGAGAAAGTATATCACGTGCAGTTTGTTTATCCAAGTGATAGGTTTATTTCAAGGACGTGTTTCGATGACGGTAATAGAGCTCAGAATGTCTGGTGCTGAATTGCAAGCCTTAAACCATGATAGCTCCGGCAGCTCTTCTGCCGAATTGCCACCACGTCCCCAGCGGTCTCAGAGAATAGACTACCACTTCTTGAATGGTGGAAGTGACGAAGAAGATATTGAAGATCATATCAGAAAGGAAACCCGACGGGATTCGCCACCTGGTCGCTTAGAATCGATTGGTCCTGAAGACTCCGCCAGCCAGCTGCATCTCAATCTACCTACTTCTTCGGAATCTGTTCTACCAGGGGTCTCTAGATGCTTTACAGAGGCCATACGGCCATACAATCACACAGCAAATCCCGCATTAAGCCACTGAATCAATGGCTTTGGAATCAATTTCGAGTTAGTCCTCTTCCGGGCAAGCAATGGCGGCCCAGGCGAAGCCGACAGCTGCTCGAGGATCGAGAGACTCAATGCATTCATTGTGGCTGGAAAACCACAGATTCGGCGAGGGCAACATCGACGACCAACATGAAGATGCACCTAGCCAAACACAATATCTTCGAGAAGTCCGGTCCAGAAGACCTGGGTGAGGGTTCCAGCGAGACGAAACAGCACTCAATTACTTCAATATTCCAGTCCCGAGCCGAGCATGATACTAGAGCTCTGTTGGAACAGAACATACTTCGATGGGTTGTGACAGATGATGTGGCATTTACGGCAATTGAGTCCCCTGCATTCCAACAGATATTCAAGGACTTGCCGGACGCTCCTCTTCCTTTCTCTTCTCGAACAGTTGTCCGCCGCATTGACGCAGATTTTGATCGCTGTCGGGTCCAGTTGATCGATGAATTAACACGGACATTCCTTGGATGTCTGGACAAGCAAGAACCATAAAGCCATTCTGGGAGTTATCGGTCACTGGGTGTCCACCGACTTCAAATATCAAGAACGAGTCCTGGAGTTCAGCGAACTTGCTGGATCCCACAGTGGAGAAAATATGGCAGAGACTCTGCAGAAGATGCTTGTCGAGCTTCAGATTGAGGAGAAGCTGCTCACAATCACAGCTGATAATGCGTCGAATAATGAAACGCTGGTGTCTGAGCTGTATTTTAACCTGTTGGAAAAGTACAACTCGGAGGATTCCAACTTACCCGACAAAGGACGTCTCCGATTTCAAGGTATTGACAGCTACATCCGGTGTCTTGCACATGTCCTCAATCTCATTGTCCGCGACATCCTCTCGAGGATGAAATCTGGAGATCACAAGTCTGCCATTGAAGCCTGTGATCTCTTGCAGGGAAATTAGAAAATCGGACGGCAGTCTGCGTTGGCCCGGATTCGGATCATGACTCTCTGGATATTGAGGACACCTCAACGACGACAGCAGTGGAAAGTGACTTGCCAGGCAAATGGCTTGAACGACAAGTTCATCGAGTATGACGTGGAAACCCGCTGGAACTCCACATACCGTATTGTCCAGGGAGCCCTGCAAGCCAAAGCACAGATCTGGATGTGGATAGAGCATCAGAACCAGTTTCTGCCATTTACAGCTGACGACTGGTTGCAGCTGCAACAGCTCGAAATGATCCTCTCCAAGTTCGATGAATTCACTCAACTGGTTTCCCGGCGAAAATCCCAGATCAGCCTAGCCATTCCCATCTATTACCAACTGAATGATATGCTCGAAGATGCAGCTTCGGCACAAGGCGACTTTTCGGGGCTTAGCTCTGACATTACCTCCGCCATCTCCGCGGGGATGAAGAAATACAAGAAATATTATGAACTGATGGACGCCCAAGATGCTTATTATATAGCTCTTATCCTTGACCCACGCTTCAAACCCCTCTTATTAGCTAAGGAGCACACCCGACAGCTATATGATCGATTGTGTTGGAAAGAAGCAAGCTTGCTAGCCCAGCTCCGGACCGGCATGGCGAGACTCAATGGATACCTCTATCGAATTAACGTTGCAGAAACGGATCAATGCGCGTGTGGACAAGCCAGAGAGACCGTAGAGCACTTCTTCTTTCGATGTCAGTGGTAGACCACACACCAGACAGAAATGCTACAATATACCCACACTCACCTAGGCAACATCCATTTTTCTGGGCGGAAAATTGCCTTTGGATGGCCAGAACTGGAAGCCGAACCTGGAAGCAGTGCGAGCCTGACTCCGACAGGATACCTATACCATCGAGTGGGTTTGTGCCCTTCCAAAGGAACCAACGCAGCTAGAGTCATGTTAGATGAAGAGCACGAGGATTCTTGCCACACCCTCGTAATGACCATAACGCATATACAATTGGCTCAATACGCGGTCACAACATCGTCATAGCCTGCCTTCCGAACGTGGGAACCAACTCTGCGGCGACCGTCGCGACTTCAATGATTAACCCATTCCAATCAATCAGGCTTGGGCTCATGGTGGGGATTGGCGGCGGAATTCCGACAAAAGTCAATTTAGGTGATGTGGTGGTCAGCCAGCCTGTTGCTGACTATCATGGGTGGTACAATGGGACATGGGAAAGCTAGAATAGGGTGAGAAGTTTGTTTATTCGGGCTTATTGAATAGATTTCCGAACGCCTAAATGCGTCGCACCTGCTGAGAGGTAATCACGATATACACGAATCGAAGATATATGAGTACCTGGATGATATAGAAAAGAAATTTCCGCGACTGGCGCCAAAATATACCGGGCGTGAGTTCTTGAAAGATCCATTGTTGGTATCTGAGAAAGTGCCTCGATCTCCTATGGAAACCCACTTCCTGTCTGGGTTGTATGAAGAATAGGTGTCAGAACCACTTCTCATGTACCCACCAGCCCATAGGCAGTTGCAGTGCTTGTATTACTAAAACTAAGTAATTTGTTATTATTACTATTAGTATCAGTCGCCGTCCCCCTTAAATTGCCAGATTCAGGGACACAGAAAAGCAGAGACCTAGGTATGGATGGTTGCTCGAATGCATATTTTCGGACATCCGTATTTCTCATATAGATTTCTCATCGGATACCTCAATCATCATTCGCCCCAGGGCTTCTTTCTTCTTTCTATACCTAACTACCTAGGTAGCTGACACGTTGATTATGCAAGCCCTTGATTCCAAGGTTGTACTAGTAGGTATACATCATGATCATTCCAACATTGAACCTTGGAAGGTTTGATTGAATAGTAGAACCTCGGAAAGACAAATTAGGAGACCTCGGGAGCATCCCGCAGTAGCATCCCTAGGTATCTAGCAACCTTATTGCACTTTGCTGTTTCACACTTTTTTATAACTGCCTGTAAAAAGAGGTGAAAGTCTCCGAAATCTTCTATCCTACTTCCACTTCCGAAATTCCAAGGTTCTGAGTCCTGATTTAGACAATCTTGATACCTTTGACAAGTTCCTCTAACCCCCCAGGATTAGCCCCAACCATCTCATTAACCTTTGCCCCCCCTTGGTAAACAGCGAAGGTTGGCATTGCACGAACGCCGGCCTCTTGAGCTGCATCCGGCTGTTCATCCACATCGACTTGGTAGAATCCGATAGTGCTCGACGTGGGGAGTTCTGAGATTCTCTCAAAGATAGGCCTAATAACCCTGCAAGGTCCATCCCAAGTCGCCCAGAATTCGACCACAACGGGCTTGTCCCCGCTGACAGCCTTATGGAACTCTGCAAGTCTATTGCAAGGAAAGGTTAGCATACTATATCCAAGAAGGTAGTATGAGGTAAGGAGCGAGTTTGACATTACTTACGAGTTGATATTGGTGACTGGCATCTTGAACCTTGGAAGTAAGTGAAGCTTGGTTGCAGGCCGAAGTAGCACTGGTAAGATAGAAGAGCACTGAAGGCGGGGTCTTTGGGGTTGAAGTTGAGAGGAATTCTAAGATTGGCACGAGATCAGTGAAAGTGAAATGTATGAGAGGAAACAGCACGAACTGTGGGAGACGAGCATACTTATATAGCCACCTGGGCACCACCTGGGCAAAATGTCAGGCGCCACGTACCAAGGTTCACGGGTACCCACATTAAAACCTTTCAATCTCGAAGTTGATAGATCTACCTTCATGCATCGTGATGACCCCTCCCTCCCCCACTAATATCCAGCTGCATATGATGGCTGGCTGAGCTGGTTACTTGTACACTGCATACCCGAGAGATTTGGAAATTACATCACAGCAATAGCTCATACTCTTAGGTCTTCTCCTAAATTAGGAGTTTTCATCTTCATGCATCGTGGTGACCCCTTCCCCACTATCCAGATGCATATGGTGGCTGGCTGAGCGCGTTACTTGTACACCGCATGTTTAACCTTGGAAGTGATTTGGGAATTACATCACAGCAATTGTTCATACTCGTTCTGTGCAACAGTTAGAGCATTTTCGATTTAAAATTACCTCGGGTGGAGCTCGCGGATTTCTAACTTAAATACTCCTGCGCTACCTAGCAGCACAATGAAACATAGCATCACATTTGCATTTTAATGTGCCAAGATGGAATAGTCGCGCAGACATTACTAGCCTACAACAATAGAACCACATTGATGCTTTATGCGTACTTGAAAGCGCTTTGAAGACATGTACTGGGTCTTCTAGATAATTTTCAAGGATTCTCTGTTTTACATACCGAGATGGTCATTACGTGGAATTTTGGCATGTTCTGTGGGTTAATTCCTCACACGTCAATAAACCACATTTACGAATGAACTCTACAGTCAAGTCAACTTCTCGTCTGGCATTCTGTTACTTTTGTGGATTTGGCAAAATCCACTTCGGAAACGAGGTATTAGGGCCATCTTAACCGATTAATTTCTAATCATTTACTTTAGGTTACTATCATACAAAATGGCACCTATTCACAAACCCCTCGATCGGTCTACTACCTTCGAGACCATGCTTTCTATCAGCCCTGCCTTGGGGCCTGTCGTTCTTCTCAATATCATTTCGCTTCATCCCGGGGTAGATAAGAAGTCATTCCTCAAAACTTGGAGTCATACCGCCGATGTCCTGAAGAAAGCGCCTGGTGACATCTCTACTCAATTGCACAGCGCTATTGGAGATGGCAACTTCATCGTCAACTACGCCGTTTGGGAGAACAATGAAGACTTGAAGAACGGCTTAGCTTTGCCTGAATTCAGGAAGATCTGCGAAGAATTCCCGGAAGGCACTGGGTTCCGCGCATGTGTCCTGCAAAAAGTTTCCATTCCTAGAGTTTGCGTGGGGCTGTGAATTTTCTCAACCAACAACACAGCAGCAAGGTAGATAGGGATCAATAGTTGAAACGGGGACTGAGATTACGGCAAATCCGGTGAGGCGGGCCGTCTTGCAGTAGTTACAGATTGGTTTTGGGCACTTAGCACGGTTATGTTGGAAATAATAATATGATTGATACTCCTACGTACCGGATTTCCTATGCCGCTTCTTGATCACTTAGAATTGAGCACAGGACGGTTCTTGCTACTTGGTCAGCCCATTAGTATTTCTTCACACTTGTTCATTTCCATACGTATGTGACTTTCGAATCCTTCCGTTATTACGATGATTGCAATTCTTCCATACGGACTGGAGCCCCAACAAAATACCACTTTACATAAAACAAGTTACCATATCCGAGTTCTACACCAGTAATCTAGAAATAAATTCATGCGAATAATAGAAGAACTTTCGACGGATATTTTCTTCCAGGGGTCCATTTGAGTGTGACTTCCCTGTTCACCAAGTCCATCCTGTGGTATCCCTGTCCCAGTCCGTCGTCTTCGGAGATGGCTTGGCCAAATGAAACAGAGCGTAGTACTTGTCATGCCACTCTTCGTTTGTATCAGTACGGCCTGCGCGTGAAACCCCTGAGAACTGCCTAATTTCCATCAGCTTATACTGTTCGCCACTCAACAACGGATAGAGCGTACATATTCCCGGTGGCCTTGTCATAGATGATCTTCGACATGATTGACATACGCGGTAGGTAACCGTACTTCTTCAGCTTTCTAATTTCATGTCAATCGAGAGGACGCCAGGCAGAGAGTCCTGTAGACTTGCGGAAAGGCTTCACTAAATTTATCGCGGATCGCTTGGCGCGACTCAATATCTAGCTCCCAGAATTCTTCTGGGCTTAGAGGCTCCCCGGGGACTTTATTCCAGACCAACTAGGTGATATACCCTCCCAGAACGATACTATCTTCTCCTTGCTCTCTCTCTCTTGGTAAGCAAGGAGGTCAGGGATAACATCACATTCATATTTCTTGAGCTCCTTTAAGGTCGTTAACTCAACGTGCTGTTGTGGCTTAGCAGCCTGCTTTTGTCGAATCTGAGGGCTCTGGTATTGAGTGCCAATGACTGGAATTTGAAGATAAATCTGCATAAAAGCCTTCTTGTTAGGATTTCCCTTAGGATGGCAGAGAAACTTAGCAGCTGCGAGCGGAAGTCCAAGGCCATCGGTAACGTCTTGCTGCATCATCGATTTAAATTGTTCAGAGAGCTTCTTATCGATCACCCAGGTCTGGCGGAGCAGGTGGAGAGGTGGCTCGGGTGGTGGATCGAGAGTGACGTCCATGTCGTCGAGGCCACACAGGAACTCGGCAGTTTCGGGATTGTTCATCCTGACTTGATGAGATTTGCAACGATAGATGAAGACGTATTGATAAATGAAGGCCTAGTAAAGCTGGTGTTTGAATGAGAGTGAAGGAAACGAGAGTTGTTGCTGGGAAAAGTAATCGGTGCAAAACAGAAATGCAAAGCGTAGGGGTGTCAAACCCTTTTGGCATCCACAACCTTGGTAGCGGTAGAATACTGCGTTCTGATTTGTCGGTGGGTGATAAGCACGAACAGAAGGTAGAAAACGCTGCACCTCACAACAGGTGTGTAGCTTTGCCTACTTACGTCAAGGGGAATTCAAACATAAGTGGCAAATCAATAGAAAAGGGGGACTGTCTAATGGCTTATCCTGAATGTGTTAGACAATGACTAAGTCAAACAAGACGGCTCGTTGAAGAATGGGATATTAAAGCTTCGAGTATACTGAAACCAGCATACCGACTAAGAAAGCTAACTAAGACGATGTGCGCAATCATATAGGTAAAATTTCCTCGACATAGTCATAAATAGCACAACACCAAAGAGCGGACACGATAGCTCTAATTCTTAAAGTCCAGCCCAGCTTCCTGTCTCACAGCACCGTAGATACCAGCGAGATCCCCTTGATCGCCCATGTGATTCTTGGTCCAGGGCATGGCGAGCATCCTTGCGGACCAAGTCAACAGCAAATAGAGGCTCGAACCTCTTGAACACAGCCTCGAAGAACTGATGCAGCGCATCAGTCCCCACGCCAGACTTCTGAGCAACCATCAGACCCTCAGCAATCGTCTCTATCATGCTGATAACAAAGGTGTTGCCCATAATCTTAAGCTCAGAGGCCTTGACAGGTACCTGGTCGCTGAAACCCATGGATGACTTGGCGATGACACCAGTAGTGTAGGGAATAACCTGTTTAACGGATTCTTTGGATCCTGCAAGAACGCAAATGACTTTTCCAGCTTCGGCCATGGCGGGAGCACCGAAGACCGGGCTGGCGACGAAGGAGTTACCAGACTCTTGAATCTTGGCTGCGATAGATGTGGTGGTATTGGGGTGAACAGTAGACAGATCAACAAAGAGCTTTCCCTTGACGTCTCCGTCGTTCAGGCCAGCATTGATGGTTCCAACGATAGCAGCATCACCACTGACGCAAGTGAAGATGATATCTGCCATAGAAACAGCCTCCTTGACAGATGCAGCGACAAGTGTGTTTGGATTTTGGGATACGAAATCATGAGCACGCTTGACGGTTCTGTTGTGGATGACCAGAGGGGAGCCGAGCGAGCCATTTGCCGCAAGGCTCTTGGCAATGCCCTGCAAAGAAGGCGTGTTAGAGTTGAGCAGACCAAAACATCATAATAAAGAAGTGTATGTGATACATACACGACCCATGTTGCCGAGGCCAATCCAAGCAATTTGAGCAGCCATGATAACGCTTGGTGATTTGAATGAGACTCAAAAATGTTGTGGAATAGTTAGAATCTTTCGGATTGAATAAAGGGACGGGCTATTGTATCAATCGCCATTTCAGTCGCCGAAACCAAATAGCTGGATCAATCGCGAGGGCTTGCTATGATAATGACTATATTGTTTAGTAAGAATTGAGGATGACGTTAATACAGGCTACAAAAAGGCTACACGGTGAAAACGACTTTCTAGATGTAACCTTTGACGGTGAGTGAAAACATCCATTCATAGAGAAATAAAAATGCAATAATCATAGCCGCTGCTGAACAAAAGCGAAAGCAAAAGTAAAAATACAGAAAAGAAAAAAGCAAATTTGACTCATCCGTGGCTTGTCCTCTAGGACTGCAGCATAGCAATGATTTAGAGACTCTTCATCGCAAGAATTGCGTCACGGACATCAGCTCCAAGCACAGTTCCAGCGTCAGCGTCACGAGTGGAGGTATCACCGGAGTCAAACGTCTTGTCTTGAACAAGGGATTTAGGGAGTTCCGACCCTGAAACACAACGGGCTAATGTAACCAGTGTCGACCGATTAAGGTACTCGCCGGCGGAGGGCCAAAAACGCGTGGCTTCAACCTTTTTCGCAACGGCGTCACTGGCTCCTCGGCTCTTTGCATTCAAGTACGCAATAATGAAACAGAAGTATAAATACCGTCGGCGAGGACGGTTATCGGAAACGAAGGTCAATGGCTTGTTGTCAATCTCCTATTATATCATTAATATAATACTTAATTCTAGCTTTTACAATACTGGCCATCAGTTTCATATAGGATCCACCAAAGGTACCGATGATGTCCTCCTTCTTTGATTCGTCTAGGACAACACACCTCCATTGAGTTGGACTTTTCATTGGGCCGGGCATAGGTACAATCGCGATAGTACCTTGGTCGAAAAGTAGCTCAATATTATCTGCCAGTGTGATGCCTAAATTGTATGAGTCAGTCATTTCCTTGGCCATAAAGAGAACATTCTTACCATTACGGGGGTCACCAAGAACTCCATCGCTGACTCCGAATAGGTGGGAAACTTCCTTAGATGTCATAGATTTAGGTACAAGATGGGCAGCTTTAATATTCTTTTGGGGAAGTACAGTGCCTAACACATGACACCACCCAAATCCAGGGTGACAATGCTCATTAACACCGTAGTACGCATAAACTTCCTTCTTGAAAACAGATTGATCAAACTTAGGACCCTTCTGTTTTGCACTTGCACCCAGCACATGGGAGATTAGAGTGTCGCGGTAAGCATGCTCGAGCAGGCTTTGGTCAACAGGTCCTTCAATCCTCTGGCGTTTCGCTGAAACTTCTTCATCAATGTCTTCGATGATCAATGGGCGTTGTGCCTTCAGGACTTGAATGGTTGATGACGACGAACGGAAGGACTTCAAGAAGGGTTGGATTTCTCGCTGAAAGGCGTCGTGGGAGATCTTTTCAGTCTGTCTTGCTTCGTTGAGGCCGTCTCGGACACATCGCATGTACTCAAGTTCAATTTCCATTGCCGCGAGTTTCACGTCAAGAATATCGGATGTTGTCGACTCGACTGACATCTCAGAAAGGCAGGACGCTGCACTCACAGACCTTTGCTTGTGAGTCTGTAGCGCCGACTGACGAGTAGGCGCCATGAGAGACGATATTCTTTCGGGGACCACGGGGGGCTCGGCAACCTTGTTCAGGATTGACATGTTGGCGGTATGATGCAGACAAGAAAACGAAGGGCTGATCAATCTGGACGAAAGAAGAGGTGACGGGCTGTTGAGGTGCCGGGAGAAAGCAATACCAGTGGCTAAGCTGGATGAAAAAAGGCGATAAGCTGATGAAAGGTAAGATAGACTTGATGCCTGTGATGAAAAGGGATGAAGGAAACGTGAAGAAAGGTGACAGACTGATGGAGAGTGCCAAGCTGGAGTAAAAGAAAAGCAACTAAGCCCAATTCGGATTTGACATGGCTGAGCCGCCAAATGTCGGGTTCCTGGGCGGGACTCTCCCATGGGACTATAAAAAGTGCAAACGTAGCCAAAAACCTGACTTTTAAATTACGCTATGTTTGATACCTGTATTTAGGCTGAACATAAGGGTAGCTTGTGGTTCTTATAATTAAGCTATACTAAATGGTACATAATATAAAAATTACGCGTTAAATCAAAGAGATCTATTTATTTCGAATATTTTATAAATTACGAGTTTGTGGTGAGGACCTCGGGAAGTGGTAGTGCTGATATACCTAGGTACGTGACGGCGTAGTAGGGTGCCAAACCCTAAAAGAATAAAACTAACCGGATACAGTAATTCACAGGTCCGCTGAATACAGGACAAAACAGACTATTTGAACACAAATTTGACCGTTCTTATTTGACGCTCTTTTAGGCACTCTTGATCTTCAAATTTCATCGTAGTCGACTTGATTCAACGCTCAGGTCTCACCGAATGGCAGGGATAGCAGAAAATGCATTAGGGGGAAAACATAATAAAGTTTGGGCGTGGCAGAAAAGCGGTGCAAGATCCCATAATCAGAGATATTCCTGGGCAACGCCACTATGTTACCAAATCAATGGTGTAGCGGGGACAGCAGGTCCTTCTGTATATTTCATAAGCAGCCCAGACTGCCCTGGTCCTGTACATGCAGCAGAAATCCCAAATATACTTCGGGACGACATGGATTTCAATAAGCGGTATTTATCTGATGTTCTAAAGTCACGGTTTCAATACAACACTCGCATCATCATCGAACGCTAAATTTGGTCCCACCCTGGAGTCATCCATGGATGTAGGAAAGGCTTAGTCTACAGCTTTCCGTATTGTTCCTTTTTCTTTTCCTTGCCTCTGGATCCTGAAAGATTCTAGAAAGTCCTTTCTGGTTCCTCTATTTCCCTTCCGATATCGAGTCTTTGTGTCTCTTTTTGCCGGCTTCGGGGCACCAGAGGAACTTGGCTTGCCAATAAAGAACTGTCAAGGTGTATTCAGGGAATTTGCTAAGTGTAGGTTGATGTTGTAATATAATCAAATTGAGCCTCTCGATATTTGATCAAATCTTGTTCTTTTATTGTTGATACAAATTAGCTGCCCCAATTACTTTCTTACATAACATTCGGCTCTGCACCCCATCTGAGCGAGGGGACACATGTGCAACAGTTGTGAGAATCACGAACCTGGTGGACATAGAGCCGAGTATAAGGGGCTGGTATAATATTTAGATAATGACCTTGTTATCATTAAGAAGGTCTGCCGGGTTGGTAAAAGAAATATGGATTTACGTAAATAAAAGCTATTAGATATGTGTCTAGTTATATGAGACTTCAAAACTAGGCATGCTTCCCATCAATGAAGCCTAATACCTGGACTTTTTCCAAAAATCCCCGACGTTCTTAATAAGCGCCATGTGAGCCTCATCATGGTTAACGTAGTAATCCCGATCTTGGGTGTTTATAAAGACAGAGATAAATGCAAATTTCATTCCATTCTATCAAATACTTCATATGGTTAGTAAGTTACATTTTTACATAATGTGCAAATATACGGCGGTTACCTGTAATGCTTCAACAGAAACATCACCGCCAGCTGTCAAGGAGATGATACAGGGCTTTCTAGTCTCGGGATGACGATATTTCTCACGGAGATCTCTCACTTAAGTTACGACCTAATTATACTACTGAGTATAGTGTTCGATCGTGACTGAAGTCCAAATATGCGGAGAACTAGTGACGAATGGATGCATGGTGGATCTCCGCCACAAGCCGGAGGCGGAAGCTAAACCTTTTAAAGAAAGATCATCCGGGCCCTTGCTCAACCTTGGTTACTCAGGAAAAGTTAAATCCCAAGGCAATAACTCCAGGTCTTTTTTCCTGCCCCACTGAGCCCTTTCTACTTCGGAGATATCATCATTCGGAGAGAAAGCCTGAAACTTTACTCTCTCTGCTCTGGCTTAAATGAGATACGTGTGGTGGATATTATGACAATGTGAAGAAAGGGTATTCAGGTCATAAGAGATTTCAAGGCTAATAGCTTAAAACACAAGCTCACCTCGGCATGAAATTGTAGAGTTCTGGCTTTTTTCTCATCTGAGAAGGGCCGTGCAACCTCTCATCATCGGTCCATTGACGTAAATGATCTTCACATCAGACCTATCAATCAGACTCCGAGTGAGAACTTTTTCCAGTCGTACTTCACATATATATTTAGCTCAGCTCTCATGATAGGGAACTGATGGAGGAAACGGTATCAACGAAACTTCTTTCCCTTTGCAAGCAGCCAAAATCAATTCGCCAAACGGAGGAACATTCCGAAAATGGCCATTCTCCAAAGCATTCGAATATGCATGCAAAGAAATCATAGTATCCGGAGGCTCGGGCGTTTCAACCGCCCAAATATTATTCGAGTCATCATCCCACAACTCAGTCCGCACATCAAAAGGCAAAGCATCAACGAAAGGCGTCCGGACAGAATAATTCCTTGTGTTCAGTGAATACGCACTCTTCAGCATCAAGCTGACAATGATAGTGCGCCGAACACTCTCGGCCAAAAGCCACGCGTGTCGTCGACTAAATGTCGGAGGAAGTTGGACGGGAGCCTGCTCCCATAATCGTGCTGCGATCCCGTCGAGCATGATGCTTATATTCTCTGAGTACTTTTCTGGATCACCACCTTCATTTAGAGCGACGATGCATTGCGCTAGAAGGAGAGCTTGGGAACAGCCTAGTAGCTCGTAGAATGATAATGATTGGTTGAAGCGGCGATACAATTCGGCTGATCGCTGATGAAAAAGTTGGAGAAGAATACCAGCACGGTTTTGTTGTTCTGCTTGGAAATGTATTTTGCAAAGTGCTTGCATATCGCGGATTGAGGCTGGGAGGCCTGATGCGTAAAGATCCGGATGAATGAACATTGTCTTGCAGCTTTTGGCAAAAGTGTTGGGGAATGCGCGCAACCCATTCACCAAAAATCGAATGGCTGCTCCGTCATACTCCTTGGCGATCTCCAATCGCAAAAAGGGGCGGATAGATGATTGGGTGCTTGGAGTGCGATTACTGGGGTTTGTGGGCTTTCTTCGCGCTTTTTGGACGCCATTTGAAACTGTCAGTGGTTCATTCACATATTCACAGTTTACACCTTTCGCTTCGCAGCGAGTACACCGAGGCCAACGCTGGTCGCATCGCCGCTTGCTCCTGGCGCAGGCCTGGCACGATCGCCGCAATGTAACGGCCTTCAACGTGCTAGCAGTCATTTTGGAAGACCGAGATCAGATGTGATCGGAAGAATTTAGCGCCGTCGAGGTTGGTGACTGGCTTGACAGGCTGATTATGAATCAATTCAGAAGACGTCGCTACCGTCAAACTCAACGCCAAACGGTCACATGACGTGTCCTGGAATACGCGCGTCTCAATGCTATGCGATGGATTTTCTTTCAAAATCACAATCTCAGATAACCCTAAGCTTAAAAAGATCGTTCTTATATCAATGCTTGGCACCATGTGGTTGATTTTACCTCGGCAATCGGCTGCAGAATCGGTCACCCATTAAGCCTCACCGGATGTGCACTCACTGCCCTCCTTAACTCGAAATTTATATACATTCATAAAGGGAGTAACTTACCCAATCCGTGTAAAAATAGCTAATCTGAATAATATTATTCAGAACTTGCCTCGAAACAGACTAACTAACTGACAATAATTAATCAGCAGGCCTGAAGATCATCCATTAGCACGGTTTCCGTTATCACCGTTCCATTTGAAATCCTAAGAGTATATGGCCCTTGATATACTTGTCTGTCATTTTATATCTGATCTCTTTCCTGAGTGCCCTGACTAATGAAATCAGTCGTGGAAATTCAAACAGAGTCATGATATTTCTTCATTTGATAGACGATTAAACCAATAGTCCTCAAGACCGTGTCTCATACCTATAGTACCGTGACATAGGTATAGCCTAAATAGGTGGACCGAATCATGTTAGACTTGTGCCCGAAATGAGCGGTTGCCATGTGGTTTCATAGTCTAGGCCACTTGTTTTCACTCTTCCGGCTAGAAGGGGAAGAAGTCTTTATGATAAAAAGAGATATAACAAAAAGACAACAGAACATGTCGTGATGACCCCGCAAAATCTCTCCACGGAACTACTTTCCTATTCTGGTGCGCGGTGGATGTATATAAATGGCCTGCTTACGCCTGCTCGTGTTTGTCCACCTTCACACACTTCCAGCCTCAGTTTCAAAAATGACCCAGATCTTCCTGTAATGTTCCATTTCTTGATGCATGATTATTTGCTAACTCGTGACTCAAATTCCAGTACCGGTGCCACGGGCTACATTGGGGGCGAAGTCCTCCACGCTTTGCAGCATGCGCATCCTGATTACGAGATTGCAGCCTTGGTTAGAGATAACGAAAAGGCCGGCAAAGTTTTGGCTGCATTTCCTAAGGTCCGTGTGATCCTTGCGGATTTGGACAATGTCGAAGTCATTGAAGAAGAATCCCGCAAAGCCGACATTGTTATCCGTGAGTCAATTTACCTGTGGTAGTATAGCCTATCATTAACTTTCTCCATTTAGATACTGCTAGTAACAAGCATCTCGAAAGCGTGAAAGCGATCGCAAATGGACTGGCGGGACGTCAGAATGGTACGCCATCTGCTACTACAATGTCGTATTTCGGGTTTGATCACTAAGAGAAGTAAAACTGCAGCTTATTACATTCAAGTTACCGGAGCCAGCGTTCTGGCAGGCCCCGAGATTGATAACAACTCATATGGCGAGCCCTCGGATCAAATCTTTGATGATTTGGAAAACGTTACTAGTCTCCGGGACATAATTCGGGCGTACAAAGATCGTCGAGTGGTGGATAACTACATTCTCGACATGGGATCAGGTGGCCCAAAGACTGCCATCATTTTCCCTCCTATCATATTTGGCACCGGTAAAGGCCCTGTGAATCAACGCAGCGTCCAGGTTCCTTCATTGGCTCGGGCCGCTCTGCTGCAAGGTAGTGGTCTCTATCTTGGCAGGGGACTAAGCCGATGGGGCATTGTTCATGTCTCTGATTTGGCCGATCTCTTTGTCAGGTTGGTAGAGCATGCTGTCAACGCCACTCCGGGTCCTATCTGGAACGAGAACGGCCTTTTCTTTGCGGAAAATGGGTTTGAGGTTGGTTCATGACCTGCTATGCCCCCAATTGTATGTGCTGACCGTCTTTTCTTCTTGCAGAGCTTCAAGGATATTGCTTTAGTGATTGCCAAAGAGGCGTATAGCCTCGGTCACATTGATTCGCCTGATGCGGTGAAATCCATGAATCTCGATGAGGCCAACGTAGTGATACCCAATGGAGTCGTGTTTCTAGGCACCAATGGTCAAGGCCGAGCTTTGCGGGCAAGAAAGCTATTAGGATGGCAACCCGAGGGCGAGAGCTTCCAAAAGGCAGCGCAGGAGACAATCATTGCTGAAGCGGCACAGCTGTGATCATTTTCAAGGAGCATTCATTGCAAGCAAGGATAGTATCTGCAATTTATGTTTGTTTGGTCACGGCATACCTTTCCAATATATCTCGTTTTATTTATTACACATTCCTTGCGTAGGGGACGGTGGTTCCCAGTGGGCATAGTGTAGTCTTAGGGCTTTTGTGCCCATAGAACTATATATCTGGGACGGGAACATTCCATGCGCTCAAAAGCTTCGCAAAAAGAAATTATAATGACCGACACGATGTATCTCAAACTGTCTACTCCACTACTAATCTTTCGACCTTATTCGACTGTAATAAGAATTGGCGAGCTTTGGAAACCATGCTAGGAAGCGACCGGATCAATTGAAAAGCTACTAGAAGCCATGCTTAGACTAAAAGCCGTCTAGATGTAAATCCCCCCTCCCACTTGCACATAATTTATCAAGAAGAAATTCATCTTTCAAACAAGTTTCTAATTATCGACAGTGAATAAAATTCTCCAGGCGAATGTAAAACAGTCTTAGTCATCGCCCTCCCCCCGCCGCCTTGTCTGACCGCCTCCAAATTTGCCGGACTTTACTTTTTTTCCTTTACGATTTTTATCACCGCCAAACAGCCCTCTTTCTCATCCCAATACATTGCTTTCTTTAACTCTTCTCCACCTCGTCGTCCGCAATCATCATGGCGACTCTGGCGGAGAAGCTTGAGAAGATCAAGTCTCCCAAGTTGCAGAACCAGCATCACGTAGGTTTTCCCGCTGCATACCCGGTGAATTGGTGAATTGACTAACATATTGATCCGTGAACAGACTGCTGTGGTGCTCTCTGCAGTTGAAGATACTCTCCGCGATCAAAAGGCAGACTTCTCACCTACCGCATATTTCGCCGCTCTCCTTGCACTGCTCTCGCAGTCCCTGTCCGCATCCCAAGGCATTGTCAACAAGGATCTAGCGACATCCGTTGTCTACCTTCTCGACATCACAACCGTTTACGTCCCCGCCCCAATCCTTTGCTCCAAATTCTCCCAAATCCTCGAAGGCCTTGCACCCGCGCTTTCTCTACCCGAGGTCGAAGCCCCACTCCTGCGTCCTTCCATTGGTTGTCTTGAGTCTCTGCTCATCGCCCAGGATGCTGCATCATGGAACCTCCCCCACACACAGGTCGGCCCACGACGTGCAATGGCAGGTCTGCTGAGTCTTTCGGTTGACCACCGGCCCAAGGTTCGGAAGCGTGCCCAGGAGGCTCTTGTCAAGGTTCTCAAGTCGCCCCCGCCGAGCCCGTCTTTGGATCACCCAGGTGCAGATATGTGCGCTCAGTCTGCGATGAAGACTTTGGGTGATAGCATCACAGCCGCTCACAAGCAAAAGAAGGGTCGTCACGATGCTCAGGCTAACAACCACGAGCCCCTTATTATTCACTCGTTGCAGCTGATCAAGACCATTGCCTCGGCGTCAGGTGGCTGGCCCAGCAAGAAGATTGAGCCGCTCAGTGAACTTCTGATGAACGCTTCCCGCTCTAGCAATGAGTACATCACCATGGGTGCCTTCGAGGTATTTGAGGTCATTTTCGAGGGAATGGCTGATGAGTTCTCGTCTTCCAAGCTGCCCCGTCTTTTGGATGCTATCTCCGAACTCAAGCCTGCGCAGAATGACTCCCAGCTTCTCCCACCTTGGATTGCAGTGCTCTCGCGCGGCTACGATGTGGCCGCACAGATCACACCTGAGGATACCTTCGAGAAGTTGCCGGATCTGTTCACCTTGATTTCTGGGTTCATGGCTTCGCCTTCCAGCAACATCCGTGTTTCCGCATCTGAGTGTCTGATCTCGTTCCTGCACAACTGTATCCCCAACTCTGTTATTGTGGATCCATCTGTGTATGATGAGAAGACCTTGGAGAAGTTGTCTCGTGCAGCCGTTGACCTTCTGTCCGTGAAGTACCAGGCTGCTTGGAAAGAAGTGTTCAATGTTTGCTCTGCCCTTTTCGATTGCTTCAAGTGGCGATCAAGCCCGTATCTTGTCAAGATTGTCTCCACAATCGGTGAGCTGCGCAGCAATGGCGGCTTCCACGGCAAGAAAGAGGCCGATGCTGTTCTTGGTAGTGCTATCGAGGCAATGGGCCCCGAGGCAGTCTTGGAGATTCTTCCCCTCAACATTATCGAACAGAAGGCTGGTCAACCCGGCCGTGTCTGGATGCTGCCCATTATGCGCGATAGCGTGACCAACACGAACCTCCGTCACTTCCGTACTGAACTTGTTCCCCTGAGTGAGGCACTTTACCAGAAGGTGGTGAACTTCGGTGCCGCTGAGAAGTCCGTGGAAGTGAAGATTTTCGAAACCCTCGTCCAACAGACCTGGGGTACCCTTCCCGGCTACTGCGAGCTGCCTCTCGATCTTGAGGAGGCATTTGACCAGTCATTCGCTGAGCTGCTGTCTAACGTTCTGTACAAGCAGACCGAACTGCGTGTCGATGTCTGCCGTGCTTTGCAAAACCTGGTTGAGTCTAACCAGGCTATCTTGGAGGTCGAAAACGATGAGGATGATCTGATTTTGCAACGCCGCATCACCAAGGCCACTGCAAAGAAGAACCTCGCTCATCTCGGCAGCCTTGCGAGCAATCTGCTGGCTGTGTTGTTCAATGTCTACAGTCAGACCCTTCCCCACTACCGCGGCTACATTCTACAGTGTATCAATGCCTACTTGAGCATTACCCCTGAAAATGTGAGTTCCCCTTCAGTTTCGTGTACAAATCATCACGGACTAACATTCTTAATAGGAGCTGAACGAGACTTTCAACCGCGTCACTTCAATGCTTGAGTCTTCTTTGGCTGCCGAGCAAGAGACAGCAACCAAGCAGAGTGCTCAGTCTCAGGGCTCATCCGACAAGATGCCACCGACCTCCCACACCCTGATTGACCTTGTTATCGCTATGTCAATCTACCTCCCTCGCTCCAGCTTCAGTGGCTTGTTTGCCATGGCGGCAGCTATCCTCAACAGCTCATCCCCCAACCCGGATCAGCAACTCATCAAGAAGGCTTACAAGTTGATCCCCCGACTTGCAACAACCGAGACTGGCCGCGCCGCTCTCCAGGAGCGTAGTGGAGAGTTGCAGGCTCTCATGCTTGCCACCACCGATACCACCCCTGCGTCTGGCCGCCGCGACCGTATGCTCGCTATCACCGAGATTGTCAACCACCTGCCCACCTCGGATCTGCACTTCATCCCGGCAATCCTGTCTGAAGTGGTTTTGGGCTGCAAGGAGAGCAACGAAAAGGCACGCACAGCGGCCTTTGACCTGCTGATCCTCTTGGCCAAGCGCACAATTGACTCAGAGCGTAACCCTCCCGGCACTGTCATTCGCAGATCCCTTGTGCCAGGCGTCGCGGACGATCTCCCCGATGCCCCCGCTACCCTCGAGGAGTTCTTCACAATGGTCTCAGCCGGTCTTGCTGGCTCTGCTCCTCACATGGTAGGCGCCACCGTCACCGCGCTTTCCCGTCTGTTCTTCGACTTCCAGACACAGCTTCAGCCTGAGATGCTCAAGGAACTCGTTGAGACCGTTGAGCTCTTCCTTACCTCCAACAACCGTGAGATCGTTCGCTCTGTCCTTGGCTTCGTCAAGGTTGCAGTCGTCGTTCTCCCCGACGAAGCTCTGCGGCCCCGTCTGAGCACCATGGTCCCCAGCCTTATGGCCTGGAACAAGGAGCACAAGGGTCGTCTCCGTAGCAAGGTGAAGGGTATTATCGACCGACTTGTGCGCCGATTCGGTGCTCCCCTCCTGGAGGCTATCGTCGGCGAGGAAGACCGCAAGCTCATTGTCAATATCCGCAAAGCACGTGAGCGTAGCAAGCGCAAGAAGAAGGAGGGTGTCGAAGGCGAGGACGATGACGACGAGGAGAAGGCCTCCAAGCCCCAATCCGGCAACGCCTTCGACAAGGCCGTCTATGGTTCTGACTCCGACTCCTCTGACAACTCGGACGACGGCGACAGCGATGTCGATGTCGACGACGTCGCTCAGATCAAGGGCCGCAACTCCAAGAAGAAGGGCCAGAGCACCCAGTACATTCGCGAGATGTCCCCTGAAGATAATCCTCTCGATCTCCTCGGCTCCAACGCTCTTGCCAGCATCTCCACCACCAAGCCCAGCCAGCGCTTCCTCAACACAGGCCCCGGCTCGAAGAAGAAGCGCGCCGCCAAGGTCGACGCTGATGGCCGTCTTGTCCTCGGTGATGATGGTGATGTCGTCGCTGAAGATGTCGAGATGTCCGGTGCTGGCGATGGTGGCGTTAACGCCTACCTCGCTGCTGTCAGCGGACCTGACGCCGTCCGTCGCGGCCAGAGAGGTAAGGTGAAGATGGGCCAGGCGTCGAAGAAGAATGCTGGCGATAGCATGGATGTCGATGAGGATGATCTGAAGAAGGACCTGCGCGCCTCTGGATCCGGTCAGAGCTCTGGCCGTCGTGGTCTTGGTGCTCCTAAGACTTCTGGTGCGCCTGGCGGTGGTCGCATTGAGAAGCGTCGCAATACTGGCACCGCTCCTAGGGGTGGTGGCCGCTCGGGATGGGGCAAGAAGAGATAAACTATTTACTTTACAGTAAGTCGTATCTTTTTCTTGGCTCGTCTGCCGGGCTTGAGTATTGTGGGAGAGAAGAGGGTGGCATTTCGCAGATCCCGGAGTTATCGTTATGAGTTCCCCTGTTTTTGATTTGTTTCTTTTGTTTCTGCCATCTGGTCTTCGGTTCCTGTCGTGCTTGGTTAGTGTTGACGTTCTCATAATACCCTCCGCTGGTGATTCCGTTGACTCTGGGCTTTTTTCTGTTTCGATGCAGAGTTATTGGACTCCGTTCTTCTCATGATATGATTACGATTCTGTTCAAAAGTTTCTTTTTAAGTCAATGGACATAGATATTGTTTCACCTTGTCGTCTAAGATGTACTTACACGTAGCCTATAAGGTGTGCATCGATGGGCAGGCCTTCCGTATTTAACAGCACTTCTCAGGTTGTTTTGCTGTATCGAAGCTCTATCCAATGGGCGAAGTATCCGATATCCCATGGCGCTGGTGAAATGCTGCTAGTCAAGTAAACCTAACTACAGCCAAAAACCCAGAACCCCAAATGCATTATGACTTTTATCATATTTTCATTTGCAAAGCAGCTTATCATGCAAAAAAAAAAAAAAAAAAAGTGTATCGAACATATCAATCAGAACTTCATGAACGCGAGCCAGCCAACCAGGCAGCTCAGCAGCATTTCCCACAGTCCCCATCGTTTACCCAGAGAAGTAGACGTAGAGTGCGATGCAAAAGGGGACAAATAAAAAAAGAAGCTCACGAGCTCTAGACCAGACGGCATCGCATCCATCAAAGTCATAGCGTCGACAGCTTTCTCGCAGTATACAGCAGACGCAATAGTCCACCGCTCGAGCATCCGAATCCAGCCAAAACTCCATCGCCGATGCAATTCAAACAACCACAATCCGCCACGGCGCAGAAATCGACACCGTCGCTCATCAGGAGGCTATCGACCGGGTGTACTGACGCTCTTTCGTTCCTTTTCAACACTCGGTCTTTCAATGCAGGTATCAATCGAATACCCGACCTGGGAAATAGAGCAAGTGGTAAGTCGACAGAGTACGCAGACTAGACGGAGAGACTGGTCTAGCATACACTGACCCCAACAGACCAAACACAGACAAGCAGGTGACGATAATAACTAGAACAGAATCTCCCCACTGTGCTCTGGTTCGAAACCGAGCGCTTGCAGCTCATCGTAGCGCTTCTTGTCGCCCGTTTTCCGCTTCGCGTCCTCCTTCTTCTTCAGCTCGAAGACTTCTTCGATTGGGGCTCTGGTCAGTGTGGGTGGGATATCGTCTTCGCGGTCGAGGTCCTATATATCAATAAATCGAGAATTCGTTAACGTAATTCCTTGCTGGGATAACTTGTTGGGTTTCATAAGGCAACTTCCGTTGGTAAGGGGGTGGGAGAGAGGATTGAGATTTGGGGAATTGATCATACCACTTCGCCAAGCAGGAGCACATTCTCTCCACGAACGATGAAGATGCCGCGCGAGACATCAGCGTACAACTGTCCAGCGTAAACACGCTCTACGGTATCCTGGAAAACAAGGTTTGCTGTAAGGTTCAAATGTCAGATAAAGGGCGAGAGATTTGGGCTGAGTGGGCGCCTAGCATACCGAACTGGTCCCAGCTTCGGAGGACACCAATGAGTTTGCGGCCGTCGCGAAGGATGAGCACAAGTTTCTCTGCAATTGCGTTAGCTATGTTCTCCTCGCTCGCTCTTTCTGCTATTGGGTCGCTTTGACTCGGCATGCACAACATACTATCTGTTAGGTCAAGCAGCTGTGCGGCGGTCGTGAACATCTGCGGGGGTAATTGCGGTGGGCCTCCGGTAGGCTGAGGGCCTGCTGGGCCAAGGGCATTCTGGGAGAATTGTTGATTTTGCTGCGGGGTTCGAGAAGCCGGGGCAGGGCTTTCGTTTAGAGATAGGCGCTCCATCGTGTGTTGGGCGGAGAGAAAATCGGAAAGCGGTGGGAAAGGGGACAGGCAGGCGGTGGTGGGAGGAGACTGAGAGAGATTTAGGACTTTGATGTGGATGTTCGCATTCTGCTTCTTTTGATCATCGCGATGGATCGAGGTCGCAAAGGCCGTCATCAAGGGCGGTGAGTTTGTCTTGTTTGCTCGGGATCTATACATTTTGGCCTTTGATATTCGTTCACTTGTCAAGAGACATAGTTACTCTAATGGAAAATACACTTGCAATTCTAAAGGGCTCAAGAAAAGTACATGCTATACAAAAGCGAAAGGGGGAATATCCAAAACCAAAAACCAAAAACCAAAAAGACAACAGAAAGGCGTCTATATCTACAAAACCCCGACACCCCTCTGCTGTCCCCTCATCCTCTCCTCTCGCCGTTTACTATATGGCGCATAGTATGGCTCATCGGCAGAGCCAATACTCGCCCTAACACCATCCTGCGAGCGATGATAAGCCGGACTCGACGGCGCGGGCGGCAACTGCATAGCCTTAAACTGTGCATCGGTGATAACCCGCATTCCATAAAGATACCGCATAAGCTCAAAATCCGGCCGACTACCCGCAAGGGTCTGGCCAAGACAGTAGTGATCCACATCGACATGGTCGAGCATACGATCCCATGCAGAGGGGGAGTCTGTCAGCGAGGCTCGAACAATGCCATCGAGAGAGTGGGCCGACTCAGCGTCCTCGAAAACCGGCGACGACACGGGCTCCGAGATGCCGTCGACAAACTTGGTATTCGGACACAGCGGACACCGCGCTGACGGAGGGGTCGGGTGGGAGCGAAAGTGGCTGAAGACGTGGGTGCGCCACTCCGCGCCGTCGTCGAAGGACTCATGGCAGTCCAGCATATGGAAGAGACATGCGTATGTGCGCTGCTCTATGCTGGCTGTTAGAGATATGGGTATGGAGGGCGTCGCGGATGATATAGAGCCTGCTGCGGTGGTATCCCAGGATGAGAGCGAGGCGCGCGATAGAGCGGGCTCTGGGGGGCTGTCGGTGGTGATTAACGGTGTCATACCACCGAGAACGTAGATCCCATCTGTGCTGTTATCCCCGTGTGAGGATTCCACGCCAGTCCCGGGCCTAGTATCCACGGATGATATTGACGGGGACGGCGATGCGCTAGACAAGGCCGGCATTGTGGGGGAAGACGACATGGCGGTGACGACGACGCTGGGTTGCTTTTGCTTTTTGGGTTGTTTTTGCGACAAGGCGGGGGTCCTACTTGAAGCCGTGCTGGTGCTGGCGACCGAACTCACGCTGATACTGACACTGCGGGCAGAAGAGGATCGACGATGATCTCGATCTCTATGCCGGTCTCTATTCGAGCGTGAAACGATAGGATCGAAGTCGCCTCGAGGGTCATCGGGGCTAGGCTTGCGCTCCGACATGCTCCGTGCAAAAGATGGGAGGTCTATTGCGGATGGATACGGCTGGATCGCGTCAGAGTCAGGCCGGGGGTTACATAGCAATATAGCACCTGGTAGAGATGGAGATGTATAAAGGAAGAAAAGTAATACGGAGGGGAACGGAAGGGAATACATACACCCTCCAATATCAGATCAACAAAACTTTAGATCTGCTTTGTCAACATGCATGACATGAGCCGTTTCTGTGCATAGGTAAGGCTCTAGCAAATGGGCTGAAGTGGGGGTGTAAGGACTTTTGGAATTTTCCAATCTAAATCTTTAGGGCGGGACTTTGGAGCTAGGAATTTGTATAAAGGAATACTATGTAGAGTATATCTTATAAGCCAAAAGTATTTTCAAACGTTCTCTTTGATACATAGTCTGGGATACAATGCACGGGCACAGAGATCATACGGTTCGTCAGGTTTGCGCCGCTTTACTATACTTGCGAGAAGAAATATATTAAAAACATTACATTACGTGTTCGTCGAAATTTGGAGTAATTAAAACGACACAATCGAGACATAGATTCTTCACACGTATTGTACAAAAGTAATGTTCTCGGTACCTTTACTTGACTGAAGGATTCTTTGATTCTATTCCTAGAATAGAGTTATGATACCGTTTCAGAGTTGCAATACTGTTTCACATTCGTAATCTCAGAAACGTTGTAAATGCACCAGGTCGACTATATAAAACTAAGGCCAAATGTACAGGCCAAGTGTACGGATTGCGGGGAGATATCACGTGCAAATAAGAAAGACCTGAAAGAAAAAAAAATATGGAGTGAAATTTCTTCATTTTGCTCACATGGTGAGGAATTAAGTAAGAGAAGAGAAAGGATCAGAATTGAATTGAGACCACAGGCCTCAAGAGAGGAGAATGACAAAAAAAAGAAAGGTAGAAGCAGGTCTTTCGACACGGAATTTTGAACTCGAAGTAAAAAAAAAGGAAAAAAGTCTCCAGAGAGGAGTGAACAGCCAGTAAAACAAAAGATCCCAGTCCGTCTATTTGGTGGAAGCGCCAGAGATAAAGAAAAATCAAAACCAATCCGACACCGTTGATGCCCGCAAGCCAGAGTAAAAATGCACAAGTCTATATCGTTTCGTAGCGCGCATAACATAAGTTTTCAAGGCATAAAGTTGCAAGAGAGTTAGAACCGGTCTGCCAAGTCACCGCCAGCAACAGAATTGTTGGCTGACGAGTTCATGGAGGAAAACCCGGCCGCGGGGTTGAGCATGTCCTGCACCGCAACCTTGGGAATCTGGGGCACGGGCAACTTGCGCTGCGTACCGTCGGGTTTCGACATGATATCGGAAATGGTTGGGCCCATATGACCCTGGTTCGGGCTGTAATAATTGGGGCCTTCGGGTTGCGGTTCCATAGGCGCTAGCGCAGGAGTGTGCTGGAGGGACAGGTGGCGAATCGAAGGCAGATGCAACTCGCTGGCACCGAGAGGGCGCAGACGGGGCGAGTGTGCAGGAGTGGCCAAGGGAGTGTGGTCGGGGGTAGGAGAAAGAGAATCGTGAGAGAAAGTAGGAGAAGAAGGAGCGGTGGAGTTGGGGGAGTTGGGACGAGAGCGCTTGACACGGTGGCCATAGCCGTCATCCTCGTCGTTGGAGTGCGAACGGGTCATGCTCTGGGAGATGGCATACGCAGAAAGCGAAGGGAGGCCACGGCTAGTGCCGTGGTGACGGGAGCCAAACATTTGGGGTCCTCGAGATCCGTGGAAGCCCATGTGGTCATCACGCTCTACTTGCGACGCAGCGGTAGCCAGAAGGTTGATATCCATTCCGGAAGAAGCGCGATCGGTGGTGCGCGAGTAAGGACCCAAATTTGAGCGCATGTGATTGGCGTAGTTGGAGAAGGAGTGAGGAGGCGAAACATCCGGAGATCCGACCTGCGAGACTGGAGCGGATCGAGTGATGGGCTTGCTGGGAGGCGGCATCATGTTGGCGGCGTTGACCATGCCATTATCCTGGCCTGCAGCGGCCGCGGCTGCTGCCAAGTGCTGAGCCTTGTTGCTGCGGCGCGAGTTGGGGTTGTTGTGAATGCGCGAATGGCGAGTGAGTTCGTCGGAGCGACTGAAACGCTTCGTGCAACCGGGGAACTGGCAGGCGTGTGGCTTTTCACCGGTGTGCGTGCGGATGTGCCTCGTCTGGTGCTCCAGGCGATGGAAGGCACGGTCACAAAGAGGACACTTGTACGGCCGAGGCAGATCCTGGCGGACCTCCTCGTTCGCGGGGCGTGCACCCTTCATGAGAGGCGGTAACAAGCTAACTGAAGAAGCCATTGAAGAGTCTCCTGGAGTCGAGGGTGTTGAGTCGGGAGAGGATTCGTGAGGATTAAGTAGATTTGAAAACCCCACTGAAGAACCCGGTGGTGGCATGTGAATTCCCTAGGGGCGAATTTATGAAAATTTGTTCTTGAGGGGGACCGATTTTATAGCAGGGGTCCCAAGCTAAGGTCGATCAAACACCCGGTTGGGATAAGACGGTCGATCGGGATCGGGGTGATGCGCAGGGAAATCCTGATAGCTTTGGAAGAAGTCGAGTAGAATTTGTGGGGAGGAATAAAGTAAGAGGAAAGGAAGAAGGAAAAAAAAAGAACCTGGAGACGACGATCTGGGGAGTCACAAATAATATATGGAATGGAGGGGGAAGGGAGAAATCGGGGAGAAGGGGCAGTGTCGGAATCGGACTTGGAGAAAAGAAAATTCTGAAAAATTCAAGTTCAAAAAGCAAAAAATTGAAATTGAAATTCAAAATAAAAAATGGAAATAAAAAATTAAAAAATTAAAATAAAAAAGAAGAGATTCTCAAGAAACCAACTGTGGGGGAGAAGAAGGGGAGGGCGAAATAGGAAAAGTGGGAAATTTTGAAAAAGAAAATTCAAATGGAAAATTACAAAAGGGGAAATTTGAAAAATCAAATATTGAAATTTTAAATTTTTGGAAAATTAAAACAAAAAGACCTACCCTTAGTCGAATAGGGGTATTGACCTCATATGGTTACAATTTAGATTCTAAATCCATTAACTATCAACATTTAACGCTATTAATCCCAATATGTAGCATATACTCCAAAAATGGAGGAGAAAAAAAAGGAATCAAACTACGTAACTGCATAAAGCAAAAATGTGGGGACTCGCATTTTTCCTGAAGAACCGTGTGGCGTGAGGTGCGTGTCCCTATCCGGCTATCGCGCCTCTGGAGAATTTCTTATCAGAACATGGGGAATTTAAGAATTTCTACTGGCTCATACTATAGCCTATCTCGAGAGGCAGAGTGGATGATCAAAAAATGATGGCATGCGGAGAGCGGATGACGAGCATAATATGTATGTACTCCGGAGTACAGTATAAGGGTTGAGATACCCTCCAAAAAAGAAAGTCTGGGGGTTACGGTCATTCTAGGCCTGACCAGACGCACAATGGAGATCCTGGGGACCATCTGATCCTGTCACGGAGTGACGATAGCGAGGATCATCGATGATGTCGATACCAGGGGTGCAAATATCCGTCAACTCTTTTTATAATCATTTAGTCACGCGAAAACACAAATTAACAGGTCATCCTGTGCAAAGAAGGTACGAAAAATGACTTTCCGATTGTTCTGCGGCTTCATCATCCGGAGAATCATCCCTCCCCCAAACCCTACAATGGCGTATAGAACCCTGGAATCCTCCACTTAGGTTCGCCGACAAACCCCCGGATTCCGGGGGTTAAGATATGATTTGCTATTATTATTATTTATTTATATTTATATATTTCAGCAGGCCTCCTTAATTGTTTATCATACGATAAAGCGAATGAGCAGTTCTGATAGGCGCGGATCACCCTAATTATTGATAGCCCCGATGCAGCTACCATGCAGCCGTAAATCCGCGTGTCTCGACAAAGGGACCAAAGGTGCTAGTGTCAGCCCCTGTACAATGAGCACTCGGCTGCATTCCTTGCGTAAGAAGACAGCGGTATCCCCAGCTCTGCCAAGACACCCAAGTATAGAACGTGACCAGGGGGCGTAGATTTCCTTTTTCTTGGCCGGCTGAATCTCAAATCGAGGGTAATAGCCGGGGGTCTGGGGCCCCGGTTCTCAGACAATAATAATATATTAAAATATGCATTTACTCCGTCTTATTCTCCTATCCGCACAGGTTCACGCTTCTCTACTCCGTACTAGATAAGGAATACACAGGCTATTTTCGCCCGAAGTTCCCCCGGAAGAGGCAAACCAAAGGGCCGAGGTGCGGGATAAACGGGAGAAAGAAAGATACGCCCACTCGGCAAGGCCGTCCCGCCGAGAGTCCGGTTTCCCCTTTGGATGATAAGGCGTTATCTTTGGGGTCCGGGGTGAAGGGCTCCGAGGGATGTCAAGGGACCTCGGGAGTACATTACATTGGGCAAAATATATATACACTTACTCTCTAACCTCTACCATATTGTCTGTTGTATATTGTCTATACAATATATATCTACATCTTCAAGTCCAGTGCAGGGGCCCTTTAGTGGCAGATCTTAACAGAATTACTACTCCCCGGGCAAATTCAGCCGATCCCCACAGTTCCCTGGGGATATTGGCTTAGTCCCCTTGGCAAATCAGGACCATTTAGCAGACAAAAAGCAAAGACAAAAGATAACGGGGCTTATTCAAGGTCCAGATTGCTATGCCGGCCCGACTACCGAGTTCGTACTTTTGAGCTGTACGGGGATCTGGAAATTGCACGAATCCCTGTTCTCCTGGTTTTTGGGGAATAAAATGAGCTCGCAAATATACCCGACCGTACCGAGCACACTGCCGTAATCTGGAGTTCTCCATTTTTCTCCACGGGGAATATGGCACCATGCTGTATACCGGACTCGGCGTTGCAATCTGCAGGAGATAGCCTGATCTTTTTTCAATTTTTATTTTTTTTTATTTTTATTATTTTAACCCAAAAAGCAGGTACCAGTCTATAAGCAATTACCCGCTTTTTGCCGATATTTGCGACGTGTACATAGTACGTACATATGTTATAAATCTTGAAACTAAGATGCGAGGTGTTTCTGTTTCAGGTGACGACTTCGCTAAGATGTACCTGTTACGCTATATGTGTAGAAATTGGGATATATTTACTTTGTACACAGCAGACACACCGGATTCAAAGCCCCGACATTTCCCCTACCCCGGAACCCGTCTCACTTTCCTAGCCAGGTCCTCACAATCGAAAGATCCACAAAGCGAGCTACACCGTGATTTTTCAAGTGCATGGATAGGCAAAGGGGGAAACCCAAACCGGTAGTTCCGATTGCCGATAGCCCAAAATCGTAATATCATGGCGAGAGAACCTAATCCCACAAACCGGTATAATCTCCTTTTTTTGGGGGGGGGGAATGAAATTATCAAGCTGATACAATACCCGGTGATCGCCATTCTCCAACGGATAATTATTCCATATCTCACCTACCCCGCAGTCCCCAAGGCCTATCGCTTTGGGAGAAACCCGAAATCGCACCGACAGGAAACGATCTGCGACTGACATCTCAATCTTGATGCCAAATCTGCCTTGATCGTCACGATCGCCCGTAGGATGTGATCCTCCGATATCGCTGTCGTCATGGGGGCGCCTCTCCACAGGTCGATCTATCACGCCATCCGGGGAAAGCTGACAACCTATATTGTACACGAGGGTACTTATAGCTTTGCAAGCATACGCACTTGAATGTACCGTGTCGGATGAAAATTGGATGATCCATGGTACAACATACTTTTAGCATTCCTCTTCCCACTTTTCTTCCGGACAATGCTGATCAATCCCATTATTCTGGCATGCAGACCCGCGCACCGGGCGGGTACGTCGATCCTGGATGGGGACAAAAAAAAAAGGGCCAAAACTAAGAGGAAAATGCGCAATAGAACAGAAAAAGCAAGGGAAAAGAAAAAAAAAAAGCAAAAAGTTAAATGCTGGAAAGAATGACAATAATACTCAATTAGGAGCGTGGAGATCCCTCCGGACTCCATCCGTTATCAGTCCGGAGCCTCGTTGTCCTCCGTGTGGCATTCCCTTTTCTATCCGAGCTCCTTCAGATTTGGGAATCCTTGAGGGTATCTATATTCTTAGTCAAGAGGTCACTAACGACCAGTGAGATCTATTCCTAGTACCTAACAGTTCGCTATCAATATCCCCGCACCCCCCCCCCCCCAGATCGTCACGCAAGATAGCGTCGGGGGGCTTGAGAGACGAGAATACAACATAATTTTTTATATTTCTCTATTATTCACACCTTCTTCCTGGAGAACTTTTAATCCTGGATATTATTAACCCTACAGAGATTTTCCAGGCCAAGGCAATATTGTGTGAGTTCGGGTCTGGCCGCGACCGTCCCTTTCAGCCCACACCCCCTTGCTACATGGGACTTAAAACAGTCCCGGTTCTCGCGACTCGTCACTGGCTGTACTACATCCAACACGGTGTGAGTCATGACGTGCTCACGTCTCAGCTCGAGGAATATCCAAGCTGAAAGCGCCTAATAGAAAATCAAAAAGGAAAAAAAGGAAAAAAGGAAGAAAAAAAAGTGACAGGCCAACTAACAACAGGGGATCGACTCATCTTTCGTGCTCCGTTTCCAATCGCCCTGCTGGGGCCGGGTTCTGTCTCTTGTTTTGCTGCCTGGAGACCCCTTCCATCCTACCGAGCGAGGCGCCACCAGTCAGCAAGACAAAGACGTAATTTTACGGGTGTAGGCAAGAGCGGGAACAGGGTGCGTTAAGATGATTCAGGATATAATGGAGTACGGTTGTATGTAGTATATTCAGTAGAGTTCCATCCTGTCTCAAGGTGACATTTGGTTATGCTTGGCAGGTCTCGATGCGGGGGAGTAGTGTCAACTAAGGGAGAATCCGGGGTAGGGTTGGCTTTAGAGCAACATTCCACGAAAGTCAAGGAATGAGGGGATCTTTCGGGTCCAGTTACTTTGTACAGCGTGGGGGTGTAATGTATATGTTTCTCAAGAAGACACATATATGCCTTGAAGAATTCACAGTGCAACCCTCCAGGGCTTTTTTTTTACATGTGATTACATAATAGATTCCCCGATTCAGCCATGGCCAAGATTACCCATCTAGGAAATTCTTTATGCACACACACTTTGCCTATTGCCCTCAATTCCGCCAAGGCGAGTGATCAGCGATCCACAGCTTCTGGAACAACTAACCCCTGCGCCCAATAAGCGGCGTAAATGGCCTCACACTGATATCACCATTTGCGGGGCCGCTATTCCGGAGTCCGCGATCAAGCCATTGGTGGAATTCTACATTTGTCCGGGAGATTACACCCTATCTACAATTTAAGTACATAATGATCTGGGCATGTGATATTCTGGGGAATACAGTAGATAGCGTCAAAAAAAAAAAAAAAGGAGACGGAAGTGTAGCGGGGAATAGTGTCCGCTACCGTGTCCAGTTCCCGGTGAAGCCCCCCTCCCCCCCCCCCATTCCACCTAGGCACCTGGGTACCAACACAGAGGGGGGGGGGGGGGGAATCTCTCTCTTCAACTCCACTGAGCGATTTATCTTACCCCATATTTGAATGAATACCATAATACAATCCACTCATCTGGGCACGGAAGCCGGGATCAATTTTCGGAACACAATGCCCCTGTCGCTCAGATCCACATTGTCACAATTCCTATGTAACCTAAGTCTTGGAGGACGCTACATCCAGGTACCATATGCAGTAGATCACTTAGTCCGACATGAAACAGATCCCTTTAGTTTACACTTCCAAGGTATAACCCTAACCCATTAGAGGTTAGATAAAGAGAGAGAAAAAAAAAGGTACTAGAAACCCTTTCTCTCTTTCAATCATACAGTGGGATCCGGGGCTTAAACCATTTCGCCCCAAACACACACCATAACGGGCGAATCCCCGAGATCGAACTAGACGTATTTAGATTTCGCTCGCGGGAAGAGTCCGCTCCGAACCAGCGGCGCTCTCGCTAGCACGTGTACGGGGGATTTTCTTGGGAATAATTTACATTGAATTATGAATTTCTTGAATTATTGGAATCCGCACGAAATTTTAACTACGGGAGCTCCGGAGTCTGTCTTCCCAATTAGGATACCATGAAGCGGGGGGCCCAGATCTCCACGGGCATGATAGCTTCACATGTATCTGTCACATGCGGAATCATGTGTATCTTGTTGACTTTGTTCCCTATAGGGGATGTGGTTTTGATAAGACTAGAATGCGCCCATATGTGGCTGCCTCGGTTTCCCCATGCAGCATACCTTGCATTGTGTACAACAGGAAGTACCTGGGGGCCAGAAGATGGCGTCATTGAGGGGCCCATGTGTTTTCTCCAGATTTGTTGCCCACATTGATAAGAGATTGAGATGGACGTATTAGACACGTCTTTGCATTCCGGATATCCTTTGTAAGCACCAATCCTTACCTAAGGATATGTCCACGGGTGATATTCTATGACGACAGAGCTCATAACCTAGATTATTCTTCTGCAGGTACCAGACCATGGCATCAGCCCATAGGGCTGGAGAGAGGTCAACCCTCGGGTGATGTCGGAGGATATGACATTCTCGCACAAGCTTATGGCATTTTCCCAGTTGCGGGGCTTAGTGCCATACGGGAGTCTATCAAAACTCCACGATGATCAGGGGGCGTTTTTTATTTTATGGAAGTCAGGATGAGGAAGGTGTGCCATGTCTTGGCTGTCCGTTTTGGCCTGAAGCGTAGTATAGAACGGATATATACGGAGTAGTTTTGGCACTATAAAGCACTACTCGATGGCAAATTCAAGGAAGTAGATTTTTTTTTCACGGAGCAAGCACTGAGTCGAGTAACAGTAATTCAAAATGGAGCTCGGTGAGACTTGGAAAAAATTTTTCGTTCTCCCCCTGTGTCAGCCCCCGTGCTGGAGCCTCCCCGATTTGCGCAACTCGGGCGAAAACCCCTCGGCATTCCCGTGCCGAGTCGGCTTCTTTGTCTCTTTGCTCACCGTGCCGGTTTCAATTTCGTTCTAGGCGAGATTTGTATTAACTTGGTACTCCCCATACTGTCCACACCTATTATTATCATTCAATACCGTATGGTATGTATTGTCGGTTTTTTTTTTGGCTCCAAAAAAAATCTCGCTACCGTGCCACCCCGAGATTCTTCCGAGGTTCGGAAGTTGGGAGTCTGGGGTGAGCCGTGGGATGATCTGGATTCGCCGGGCGTACTACCCATGCAGGTAATCCCCTAGGCTCTTCCCGTCTCATAGCGCTGTAGAGAATGCTTGTCTAAATCCTATTATTGCGTATCGTTAGCCTATGAATGGAAGAGCCTCGGGATAACGGAAGTTCCTCGGATATAGCTATTAGGTAAATCCTTGGGGCACAGTCCTGTGTCCTGGGTTTTGTGTATCCAGTCTACTCCGCATGTAGCGGTGAGGCCCGGTGGAGTTTTTCAAGTCTGTATGGCCAAGTTGTGGAGATCTGATAAAAATTTGCCGTCTGGATCTGGAGTGTAATTTGCCTTCCAAACCCTCGATTTGCCTCTTCGGCGAAAAGAATGTCCAAATATTTAATAGGAAAGATCAAAATAAAGATGTGAGGATAATAATTATGGAACCCAAATTACATTCTGTCAAAAGAGAGAAAGCTAAAATATGTCAGCCAACGATGTATATTCTTGGACCTCTCATACTCTCCAAACAGTTGAAGCCCACTCGACAATGAACTTGCACAATAGTCATAAATATTATTACCAATTCCAATGCGAATTACAGATGCTTACTTAGATCTTGACAAAGAGAAGCAAAGGAATTTCGTAATCGCAAAACTCTGTTCTGTATCATCAACGGAGTATGATCAGTCACTTCTTGACTATAAAAAAGCGGCATATGGACATTTTTTTATATCCGTGTAATCACTTTGACCATTACTTTGATCATTTCCCCTCTATAGCAAACGCGCGACTAGATCAAAAGCTTACGGTAGTAAAGAAAATAGACTCCAGGGCTAATTTGGTATCCGAGGTCCCTGTCCATTCCATATCGAGATTCGGACGCATCAATATTAAGGTTCTACTCTAAATATTTATTTCCGACTATTGACCCCCGCAGGTTTCTCTCATGTCCTTCTCCTCGGCTGATACATGACGATCTGCTCTATTTTTCCCGCTCACCCCGTCTCTTCTGCCATGTCCCCCAAGCTATGCCAAGTCGATCCCCCTGGACGCCGTGAAGGGGACCTTGGATACCTTACAGCAATCCCTCATACGGATCCTATGAAAGGAGATCAAGGTTTCTGGCTAGGTGGTGCACATCTCGAAATTGTATAGCCTCAAGCTAGGTGGCTAACAAGCTTTTTCACCTGTGTAAAGAAGGGTATGCGAGATCACGGTAGTGTCACAGCCTAGGTAAATAGCATATCATGCAAATATACCTACAGTCCTTTCCCTCTATTTGTGCAGGTCTAATCCTACGAATGATGTGGAGCGGCATTCTTACAGAGCACCCTTCCATAACCACGGGTATACCGTACCGTTATGATAGGGTCCCTGACGGACCTCTACATGCACTAGAGATACAGGCTTAAATGGCCACTGTTACCACCCCCGTACCAAGTACGAGTAGGCGGAGGTCTTTACGATCTCTCACAGTGCTCCTTGTACTGGTGGTGGAGCTTGCCGACCATAAGCTAGCGGCGACACCCGCGATGTTCACCAGCCAACTTGAGGCCTTAACCTCCTCTCCAAGGAATCGCATGCCTCGTCAAACTCTGTAAAGATGTGAACCGATGGAGACTTATCAGATGACCTTCCTGGATGGAGCCAAATGTCCTCAGCCAAGGGTTCAGGATAAATTGGGCTTTGGGAGGACTAGATATTGCTGCGAAGACAGGCAGTCTTGAGATGTTTGATATCCTACGTGCTACTGGAGTAGATGAGTCTGCATGGGTGCGGGAAGCATCGTTGGATGATGTAACTATCAGGTCCAAATTCAAAAATAGGACTATTTAATGTCCTCTGTCTCTATCTCTTCGCCTGTCAACGAGCTATTGAGGCTGGGAACCAAAAACCATGTTACCGCACCTGCTTTCCACTTGTGGGTATTCCCCAACTATCGTCTCAGGCAGCTCTGGGCTAGCCTCCTGCCGTTGTCGCATATTATCGCCCGCTGCGATTCAATCAAGGCTGGCATGCAGCGGTACCTGGTAGATCTAGCAAGATTAACTTTGATATTGCTATTATACCTGCGGGTAGTAGTACTTAATTAGGAAATACTCTCCGCGATTACTCCTATCTCTGATGTTCGCCTCAGGCACTCTGGAAGCAGAAATGACGTTTCTGCCACACCCGGCCGCCCGGGGAAACGAGAATCTCAAGTGTGAAGTCCAGACTAAGAGCGCTATCCACCCAGTCTACTTTATACAGCGAGTCTCTGTATGATTCGATCCTACCAGCAATCCCTCAATCCAAATCCTAGACATTGAACAACACCCCCATTCCAATATCCCTCCAGCCTCGAGCTCCGGGACACAATGGCACCCCCGCGCCAGCGCACTACAGCTATCGTGGACGACTCGAGGTCTGAAGCCTCGAGCGGCACGAGAGAATATCAAAAAGCTACCAAGTCCCGCAGACCAGCTGCCGCAAAAGAGAAAGCCTCGGTCACCAGCGCTCCCGTCGTGGACCACCAACACGCCGAGGAACAGCCCCGAGTATGTTTTATCCCAAGTGAAAGAGATCGATCATCGCAACTCTACACACCTCAAAAGTCAAGAGACCATAAACTAATCTCCTTTCTCTCTATAGCTCCCCTGGACAGACATCCCCCTCGATATCCTCCACTCCTACCGCCACGTTCACAAACTCCCCACGCCCTCCGCCTTTTCGAGCGACTACTCTCGCATGATCCTCTCGCAAGGCGTCGGTCTTCGCTCGCCAACCTCCCTCGCCGCCCGCCGCGCTCAATCCACCTCATCCCAGAACCACTCCAACTCCTACCGAACCCACACCTCGTCGGACTCCCTCTCTGACTCAAACTCAACGCTGCGCCACACCGTCGGCCAGGACCGCGTGAGCAAAGACCAGTTTGCGCTTGTTGTCCGGAAGCATTTTAACAGTGCTGGTCTCTCAGAGCAGGAAACCATTGCGCGGTTTTTGTATACTGTGCGTGAGGACAGGAGAGGGAGGCAGTTTCGATTGCGGTTTCAGCCCTGAGCTGAGGGGTGAGTGTCCTGCTTTGGTCTCTTGGTCTTTTTTTCCCGTTTCGCGGCATGGGAAATGGGATTATACGGGGCTTTGAATGGAGCTAGGGCTGTTCTGCTTTTTATTCCGCCGTTCTGATGCTAGCCCGTTCTGGTTGACGGTGCACTCGGTTCGGTGCAGTGAACATACATTGCGTGTGTGGTTTGTTGGGTTGCCTTGCTTCGAGGATCAGGCGGCCTGTTCTCTTTTGATATTAAGATACCCATTGGCGTTCAGGGTGTTGATATTGGTTGTTTTATCTTTCTTTCTTGGTTTGTGAGTCGCGGACTCTATCTTCTACTATGTATACTTCGCATATCATATAATAGTACAAGACACAGCTACACTCATCTATTGTGTCTTTTCCAGTAGGCAAAATTTCTATATCCGTTTTCATCACATATAATGCTCTGGTATGGAGTGGAGTCATCGAATGTATGGATTTCTAGATGAAGGATATATATTGAACCAGCTTCTCAGGAAGCACACGTTATCAACACTTACAACTAACTATATATTAACTATATTTACTCAATAAAGCAGTCCACCATGATCGAATACTAACACGAGATGACCATAAACGTACATAGGTGTTGGACGATCCCATCTCCCATTGCTTGCTTGGTAGCAGACCGAGTGCTTCTTTGCTAGGTCGTATAGATACCCTGCTTTTCACAGATTGAATGATCAAGATTTCTTCCTTTTCCGTCTCTCTTAGCCGGTAGCTGTAGCCAACGATAGGTATGTAGGCTATAGCCATACATCATTCAATGTCAGGAAGATGCAGGGCAACGCGTCGAATAATCCTTGATTTGAGAACGCAGGACCCTATTTGCTAGTATATGTTTCATTTATCATGTACATAAGCGCATGCATGTCCTCTCAAGTAAGCAAAGAGGGCAGAAAAGACAAATAGATCTGAAGCAAACGTGAGAACAAGACAAAAGCCTTTCCACAAAAGAAGCAGTTCAGACAACGTAATAAAAAACCGTGAAATAGCAAAGAATCAATCGAGGGTGACCTCAAAACAACATATATGCCTGCTTTCCCGCCATTCCCTTCGGTAAATGTTCCATGTTTCATTTTGCCAACTAGGTTCAACCGATCCTAGCCCACTTCACCTTACCATATAGCCAGTATTAGCAATTTCTCAGATACATTGATGTCAAGTTTATTTCCAGGCGTTGAGACCAGCCCATGGATCGGCGGAGGAACCGGACTGTGACTGCGACTGCGAAGGAGTCTTGTTGTGCCCGTACGGTCTGCTCTGCGCATAGCCACCGGGGCCAGATGGGTATATACCACCTGCTGCAGGGGGGTAGGCTGTTTGCTGGGGGCGCGGCGGAGGTGGAGGGGGAATGTAGCCCTGGGGAGCCATATAGTGCGATGACTGAGGGACAGCACCAGGAGCTGGCGTGCCGGAATTTGAGTAGCCGCCGTACGGGGTCGGGGTTTGGGAGAAGAATTGCTGGTTTGGGGGTGGGGACACGGGGGTCTGGTAAGGATATGCCATGGGGTTGTATCCCTCGGATAGGGGAGCTGCGGCGCCTTGCTGGAAATGCTGGGCTTGGTAAGTTCCTGGGCCACCTCCCATGTACTGCCCCTGCCCGTAGGGCGCTGGAGAGTGCGAAAGGGGCACACCGGGCATGGTAGGCGGGTAGCGGGGTGACGGCTTTGGGGACGGACCGGTGGTTCCGTACGCCGGCGTCTGAACGGGCGGGGGTGGTGACTTGACTTTTGAGGGCGGTTTTGCTGACACTGTGGAGGGTAAAGTTGAGGAGTTCTTAGGTTCCGTCGACAGACGCTCCATCAGTTGGCGCAGCTTCTCCCTCTCTCGATCTTCTTGCTCCGAGACACCGCTGGATTTGTCGCGGTTGTTGGAGGTTTCAGCATTCCTGCGGAAACTGTCGAAATTTTCGCCCATGCCCTTCTCGCGCTCGATTTGGCTGAGAAGCTGTGCACCTTCTGATCGGCGATTGTTGATGAAGGTTTCGACATTCTTGCGGAGACTGTCGACATTTTCACCCATGTCCTTGTAGAAAGTTCGTGCTTGCTTGATACCCGATGAGAGGCCATAGAATGCTTCGTAGACTTTCTTGTATCGAGTTAATACGGAATTGCGTTGTCTTGTTATAGACTCGTACTTCGAATTCTCAGATTGAACTCTTTTGTCTTGACGAAGGTCATCGTGTATCCTTTTGAGGTCTTTCATCAAACCTGATTGTTGTTGATTCGCCTGCACAAGTCTCTTCTGATACGGATGGAATTTTTCTAACTTTTCCTTGAAGAATTCGGGTACTCGGCCGACAATCAACTTTTGGTTTAGAATCAATTCATTCGTGATGTCATCTTTGCGGACCTAAAGCAAAGATAGTTAGAATCTTGTCGTGGACAGATGCGCTAGAATACCCACCTTATCTTTGAGATCTGAGAGAGTGGTGGACTTCTCTCGCTCCACAGAGTGCAGTGTCTCTAAGATCTCCTTCATCTTGGCAATATGCTCTGCAACAGAGGTATCACCCTCATCATATACATCATCTAGCAAAGTACCTTCCGCCGGACTCGTGACACCGCTTTTGCTCTTACCATGCTTCGAACGGGCTTTGGTCAAGGCTCGCTGGAAGAGAACATCGGCCTCGTCTGTTTCGCCAGCAGATCGCATTTCATCAAAATCGATCTCATACTGCCGAAGTGTGGAAGACAACTGAGAATCACTTGCGCTGGCCTCATTGACAGTGTCTCGATATGATCGGACATCCCCTCGAAGTGTAGTATTGAGTCGAGAGCTGGGCTGCTGGCTCCAATCTGCTCCATACTTTGAGCGCATCTTCTCGCACACGCTCTCTTCCAGATCTAACTGCTTTGAGCACTGGTCTAATTGGGATAGCACTTCTGCCTTGCGATCCTGCAACTCGTCGAATGCCCTGCGGAAGGGACTGTGGCCAGCAAGTTCTGAGCACCAGCGACGGAAGTTCTCGTCCACTGGGATCTCTTGGTTCATGCCTCCCTCCCAAATATCGAGAATGCCTGGCAGTTTGAGATCGTCCAACCAAGTGAGCATCAGACTTTTGGCCTTCTCGGCCTTTTCGGTCTCAGCTCGGAGCAACGTGGCCTTTTCTTCGTCGTAAAGACTGACGGTCTCGGTTACACTTTCGGGCACCAGGTTTATGAAGATGTCCGGCCCAATGATGCGCTGAATATCTTGTCCCTGGTACAATTCGCTAACCGGGATCGCCTTGGCAGCAGTAACCCTGGCAACTGGTGAAAGACCTGCCTCATTAGGCACTGGTTGATGGTAGATGAAGTCATTGTCTTTGACCATGGTATTGAGTAAAGCTTGCACATTTGCTTGATTATGCTTGATAAGATCCAGGAGACTGGACCCCGACTCTGCCGTCAGGCTGGTACTCGCTGGAGGCGACGAGGGGAATGTTTTTGCCCAGCTTAGAGCAGTGGCAGACTGCTTATCAGCCATCTGTAAACGAGCAATAGCAACTCCGTGAGATCCACTTTCACTGTCTGCAACCGCTTGATAATATGATGCTACTGATCCCATATGTGCTGCCTTGGCCTGCACAACAATTGTCCAGACCTTGTCGAACACATTCTTGTCGACCGAATTTTGCATTATCTCGGCACTCTGTGAGTAGAGATGCGCTGCTTGTCCAGCTAGCTTGGCTAAGAGCCCGGACTTCCTCTGATCTGCTACTTGTTTCTCAAAAAACACCTCTTGGGCTTGAGCAAGTGTGATATGTATCAGTGTCTTGACGGTGTCCCCTTTCAGGTCGGTTGATGGCGGATGTAAGAAGTTCTCATTAATATATGTAAACATCCCAGCGGATGCCTGGAAAGAGTGGTAGGCGGTCTTGAGGCCGGTATCGTCAGCGCGGCTCTGGTTGGCAGCATGGCAAGATAGGATGGCGGCGATATTAAAGATAATGGATGCCTTTTCGTAGGCCAGTGAAAATTGAGAGGTAGACGTATGAGTGAAAGCATCGTACCTACAGGACAAATACGTAAGCACAACCGAAATACACACGAGAAGAATACCCCTACCATGTGAAGGAGATCTTGACATGGTTGTCATCGACGGGGAACCTCAGGTCCAGCAGCTCCAGCTGACCGTAGTATCGATACAACAGATCACGACCGATAGCGCTGTCTTTTCCTACGCCCCTCATGTCCTGGCGAAGCCGGTTGAGAGTCGCGCATTCTTTATTGTATAGCTCGGGGTCCTGATTATAGCTCTGTCGAATGTAATCCTTGAGGGGCTGGATCCAATCAATCTCGTTGGTCTGCTTCAGCGGACACGAGAGCATCGGTGACTGAGCCATTGTCGGATTCTTGCCAGGAGCGATATGCTCCCATCCAACGAAACGAAAACTGCTCGAGAGAAAAAACGCGGGGCAGGGATGGTCGGAAGCTCCGTGTCTGAGGGATTCGGAGTCAAGGCTGTGGGTGTGGGGTAAGGGAGGCGGAACGTCAGCGCCTGACGGTCCCTACTTTGTCAATGACGTCGGCCTATTAGGTATTCTTTGATGCAAGCAGCCTAGAAGATGGCAAGAAATGCGAGAGTTTTTGAGTAAAGAACAGAGTTGCCTAGAGGGTTGAAGTGTGTGTTGGAGGGAGAGGTGGGATGTGATGTCTGTGACTGTGCTTCGATGGGCGGCAAACCCCAAAAACAACCGGTTAACTAGAAACACATAAGACGACACAGCCATTGAAAAAAAATTTGAATTTTGAGTAATATAAGACAATTAATAGATGAGAATGATCATAGTATAGTACAGTCAGAAGTGGAGAGCTTCTTAGACATCTATCACTCAATAATAGTAATACAGTATTCTGCCCCCCAAGACCTGGGCAGAACAGGTCCCCAATATCGCCGGCGCTATGACATGGGTGAGGTAAATACAAACGGATATAGAGTACATGATGGTTTAAATTTTTAACTCGATTTCTTCGAGTTATCC